ATATATACCCCGTCAAACAAGCCCTGAAAAGTGAGAGTGCTCAATAGAAACTGGGAACTGAAAAGCATCCTCACAGACAATGTAATTAATAGTTAATTAATTAATAATAAATCTAGTGGCAGAAGAAGTTTGTCACTCGTCACAAAATACTAAAATTTAATTTTTGACGGTACCTGCCACAGATAATAATGCATGTAGAAACTTTATGAAATCAATATTATAGATGAGCACCATGAATGATTGGGTCATATGTCTATTAAATAATGAGCTTCGATTTCTAGAGGGGCAGAAGTGTCATTTTCGATTCTCTGTTATTTTTATATATGAGCATCCGATAAACCAGCAGTTATATGTGTGTTGCGCATGAATCGTAACAAGAGTTGACTAAGCTTTGTTTTAATTAAATGTTTGTTGCAAAAAAATGTACGGTGGACTAAAATAATTATATAAAGAACTCCTCTGTTCGTTTTGGCCTCACATGATGAACCAAAAAGTGTTTTTTTTTTTGGGCCAAAGACTAAAACATTAATAATACATACTCCCTCCTATTTAGGGATTGGATATTAAAAAAATATAAAGTATTTTTAATTTTTTAAAATATAATTATTATATTTTTTTAAAAAATATTTCTATTGAATAAATTGCTTTATATTTATTTTAGGGTGAAACATCTTATTAAATAAAAGTAAATATGAAAAATATGGTTAGTTTGAAGATAAGTAACTACTTTATTAGAAGTAAGATTTAGTTAAATTTTTTTTTTTACATTTTGAACAAAGGGAATATAATTTTTAAAACATATTCCCTCTTTTTCTTTGAAAGAATGACAGAGAGGTCTCAAAAAGATTAATTAATTCAAATTAGATCTTAAGTGTTAAATTGTAAGAATTTACAACTCAATCTTTTAATTTTACAACTCTATGATGAATTTGTAATTTGTATTTCAAATTTTAACAGAAAAAATAAAGGTGCATCAACTATCTTGATTCAATTGTTACATACACAATTGATGTGATTGTGAATTTTGCTTACATATTTTTTTTTTTGGTTTCCCAATGTATCCTCATCACTAGAAATCATGAGACTAACTCTTCAAAAAATCTAAGCACTATTTAAGGGATTGTTCTCTCTCACATAATGCTTTCCAAATACATATCTAAGAATTGAATTCTGGAATTATATTTCAAGGATCTAGGTGGCTACCATTTACATCACATCCCGTATGTTGCTTACATTTTGATGGAGAGGAAGAATGTGGCAGTGCATATCAAAGCATTGATTAGGTTTGGGCGACCTCCTAGAACATGGGTTTGATCTTGATCCGTCCAGATCCATACAAAGTTGAGACCAAATGGGTGGACAAACTTGACGTGTCGCAATCAAATTTGTTGAGAGTAGGAGAAATGCCCAGATCCGCAAATGAAGCAACTAATTGGGGGGACTCCCTTCTACTTTTACTTTTTAGATTTTGGTCCCCCCTCTTCAATTATGCTTCTCAAGTTCTCATTTTACACTTCTTTATCCTTCACAACATACCCTACTTAAAAAGTTGTGTAGTTGTCCGACCATCTGGATTGGCCCAATCTTGCACGAGATCGTCAGGATGGGTACCAGCAAGATGCATGCCTATTCCATCTCGTTTCATTTCTTGCAGCATAACACGAGCAAGGATTATCTCATTCTTGCCCTGTTTTGTGAATACCCTTTTGCCTCTTTTTTCTTTCTTTTTTATATAATTATTTGATTGGATCATATTTGAGCACTGTCAAAATATTGAGCGCAATTGAAAGTAACTCTCTTAGCAAAGATAGTTCTTCTATTTACACAAATTCGTATTCAAGACCTTGATTTTCTTGTTGAGAGGAGATTGCAAGCATTTGCCTTACGAGTTGCCGCTTGGATGTGGTTGAATGAAAGTGTCGGCCCAAGTGATGAGGCCCAATTTGTATAGCAAAGCTCGTTCACAATTTGTTGTCTTCCCATTTCAACTTCAACAACTATAAATTTCATGTCTTTATCAAGCAATGTCACTTAATTATAATATTTGTTTCTTTTGAGTAAAGTTTCAATTTAACATTTCGCACACTAATACAAATTAACTCAAAAAAAATCAAATACGAAATTGTTCATAGATTGAATTTTTTTATTATAAAAAATATAAAAATATTCAAGAAGACGGTCTAAATTTAATTAAACAACCAATTCAAATTATTTCATTCAATGCACATATATTCACGGATGTGTGAAGATGCAGAAGTACAGGCCACTGGCCAACGTATTCAATTTTTTTTTGTAAATATAAGAAGCAGGCTTTGTTGATAATGAAGAATATCCCCTTCAAGTGAGTAGACCACTCTCAACTAAATACCATATATGCAAGGGCTGAGACTCAAATATCAACCATTTATTTAAGTGACGGGAATATTTATCACTCATACCAATATTAATTGATAGCATATCCTAGTTTTAGAAGAAGCCAAGTTAGTCAAATTTGCCTCCTTAATTACTATTTTTTAAAAAAATTAATGTGGTGATCAGAATAAATTATTAAGAGAGTTGTTTTCTAGAGTCAACAAGGAATGCTCTCTCTCTCTCTCTCTGTGTACACACACAAATATATAATTAAATTACTAATACTAACGGTGAATGAAGTCACTCACGAGATCTGTGATTCTTATTCAATGGGTATGATTTTTTATTTACATATCGTAATGAAGATTTATTTATTATAATAAAGGGAATTATGCGTTTCAATTTAATTAAATTAATTAGTCAAAACTCACTCTTCTAGACCTGTACGTGCAAGTGAGAATTCGGAAGAATCATTCTAACTTTGAGCTAGTATCGTATTTGACTTTTTGAATAAAGCTTATCTTTTTCGACCCAAAAAAATAGAGCTTATCTTTAATTTAATTAAAACAATTTTGAATGCTTTGTAAAGCATACATGGCAAAATGAAAATGTTATAGGAGAACCAAGGTTAACAAATTAAAAAATGGACGAAAATTCCTTATGCATCTAAAAGCATAATTTAATTGAAAATTTTAAAAGTTTAGTTGTAAATCTCGAAATATTATAATATTAGTAGAAAATAATTGTGAATTGAAGAAATTTTTTAATTTGTCAATTACACGAGCATGTGCAAATTGGGCTTTTATAATTCATAAAATTTTACTAATTTATAATTAATCTTTTAAAATTTACAATTGAATTTTTAAAATTTGCTGCAACTAAGCTAATTGCTAATTGCATGAGAAAACTTTTACCAATTCACTTGTATTTTTTTTACCCTTGATTCTTTTCTATATATCCTTTCAGATATTCATAATCCTTCAATGATATTTATTTATTTTGGTGGTCCTTTTGGGTCATTATTTTAATTCAAATTGTATCTCATACTATTTTTATATCCTGCACGTGTTAGGCCTTTGGTCAACTCTTTCGTTTGATCCTTGACAAGAACTCCTTACTCTATAATTCGTTGACTTCATAAAAAAATGGTGAGTTCACATTCAAAACTTGAGTTTAATTTTTTTTTTCCCAACGTTAAGCTTAAGTTTTATGAATTTTTAGGAATAATATTGCGCTCGCGCGCGCATATATATATATATATATATATATATATATATTAATGTATATTATAGGCTAACAGGGGCTTACGGCTTAATCATGTGCAATCATGATTGAACGTGGCACCGCAAGGTTTGCAATCATGTGCAAGCTGTCCCCACGTGATAAATCTCCTCGTTACGTCATCAATGAAATACATATGATGTCACCTTCTATTTTAAACATTCATCTTCAAAAAGCTTACTTTGAGCAACACAACTACTTATATAGTCATGACTCTCTCAAGTCCTTCCGATATGGGATTTGACAATTTTCTCAACCAATCTATAATGTTTCCGTCACGGGTGGCCCACCAAAAAAACTCACCCATTGGGCAAACTTAGATCTGACTCTGATACTACTTTATCATGGAGTTATTACTCTCTCTTAAAAAAACTAGTTCATTGAGGTGTACAACGCACCCACTTATATAACCAGAACCCTCTTCAAATTATTTCGATGTAGGACCTGACAATCAATTAAGTTCTTATAAATTTGGTTTGAGTAAATTGATAAATTGCTTTCTAAATTTATATACTCACTAGCGCGCGCGCGCACTGAAAGGAATCAAGTGGTTTTAAAAGAAACAAATTATGAAAAGTACACATTTAAAAATTTAGAGGCTACACATTGAATTAAAGTTTTACATCTAAATTATTTTATATGTATGTTTTCAGTTCGGAGAACTCGAATAATTTTGAAATATCAATAAGTTGCACATGATTTAAGTACTAGAATTTAATAAAATTAATTATTTTAGTTTTTTTTAGAGAGAATCACATTAAATGACCAGTCAAACAAATTATTTACAAATAAAAACTAATATAAATTATCATTTTATATTGATTATCGTCCGAGAATAATTTACTCGAACAATCCTTAAATGTGATTTTCCTTTTTATTTTATAATTACAATCTAATATTTATTATTACTAATTAATTTATATTCGAATGTTGTTGTCGAACTCAAATATAGAGTTTCATAGGAGTGATAATTATTTACCACAGAAAAAAAATTAAAAGAGATTCATAATTATTGAATTATGGGCCTGACTTAAAGGGATATCAAGTAATTATTATTTTTTTCCACAAGCATTTAAAGGTAATTAACTTTCAATTCTCAACGAAGTAGAAGTAGAAGTAGTCACAAATTGAAACTGAGTTAAACTTGTATTAATTTTTAAACAATTCAAAGTTCCTCAAGTAGCATTTCAAAACTAAATTGATAATTAGATGTAATTGAAACCATGAGATATCTTGACTTTTAAGATACGCGTGGTTGTCTTGTTTGATTTGGATGATAAAAATATGACATGCACAACGCGGGGATCCCAGTGAAGTTGGATGGATCTTCAACTCATTATTTATTTCTCAATTCAATAATTTACATCTCAGTCTTAACTATATAGCTATAAAGACGAGGCTTTCTCCTCCACTAACCACAAGACGAACTACTTGTCGCTGAATCCACTTGGTTATCTGAAGAGAAGAATACTGTTCATCATTGCGAACTATGAAGGTAAGCCACATTAATCCCTTCTTCTTCTTCTTCTTATTGTTATTATTATTATCAGAAACATTTCTGAGAATTTTCAGACTCAACCCAGCAACGTGACTTTGTCCTTCTTGTTTAATTTTGAGTCTTCCATATGTTTGTGTGTGTGTGTGTTCATACAATAAGGAGATGTTTTGATGAATGAAAATGGGGTTGCAGCAAAAGATCGTGATCGAGGTTCCATTGAAGTGCGAGAAATGCAGGACAAATGCCATCACCATAGCTTCACAGGCCATAGGTGATTGTCACACACACACACACAAAACCTGAAGCATTTTGTTTTGTTTTAATTTTCTGATTGGTGTCTTCTTGTGATATTATATATATATATATATATATATATATATATGAAGGGGTTGAATCAGTGACGCTTGAAAGGAAAGAGAGAGATCAAGTAGTGATAACAGGAGAAGGAGTGGATGCAAGCTTGGTCACCAAGTCTTTGAGGAAGAAGCTCAGCTATGCCCACCTTGTTGCTGTCTCCCAAATCGAACCCTCTTAATTAATTAAATTTATCACTTTCAAATGTCAATTTCATTAACTGCCCCATAAGATCATCTTATAAATCCGCTTGTTTGGTTTGGCTTATTAGCACTAACAGTGAACCAATTCATTGAAGACTTTCCTCATTTTATTATGGTCGCTTAAATTTGAACACATATATTTGAACATTTTGCCATGCAAAGCAAAGCAATAATTGAAAAGAGATATTTTTCATTCATTAAAAAAAAACAAAAGAAAAGAAAAGACAAGGGAACCTTACTTAGTATCTAAACTATTCAAATCAATGTCAGCAGACTAAATGCTTGCTGCTATTTTTTTTTATTTCTCTTATTCTTCCTTGTGCTAATTATGGTATCCTCCTAACCCAAAAAAAAAAAAAAACTCTATATTCAATGCTTTCATCTATGATTAGCCTCATTTCCCATACGTATATGCCAAAAATGTCACGCAATATGCCAAATAAAAAGGAGGACAAAACTCAATATCTTCCAGAAGAGAGGGCATTTTGTGGTCGCTTTGTGGATGCATCTCCATCAATATTTTCTACATCAATGGAATTACCAACATTTCCATGTTCTCTTTGTGGATGCATCAATATTTTCCGTTTTCTCTTCATGCTTTTTGGGACAGAAGCAGTTGTCCCGAACAATTCTTCATCACTATTTCCGTGTTCAAATCGGACGGCAATCACTTTTCTAGCATTTGCTTCTAGAATCTGCATGAGGGACAACTTGGATCTTAGATGAGAGCTACCATATCAATATCAATATCAACATCAATATGATCATTTCTTAGACCACGTTAAAAAAAGCATAGGGGGACCACCTAGAGATCAATAGTCAAAATTCCATGCTCACTATTCTATTCAGTTCAACTTCTGGAAAGGTATGGGAAACAACAGCCAATTTCAAGAGGACTGTGTTGTAATTCAAAACAGATCAAATTTTTTACCTCAAGTTTGAATGACCGATACTTTCGCTTTAAATACTGGTGGTCAGTGTCTGATTCATCATTTTCCCTTTCAAAAACAACTTTGGTGCTTTCACCACTTTTTGGGATGTATCCAAACGCTTCACACGCAGAGCCTGATACTGTCTCACACTGGTGATCCTGCAATATAGAAAGCTGAGCAAGCATCAAGAGACCTGTATTTGTCAAATATATTGTATGTTCACGTTTTCCCAGTCGAGTTCACAACTTACGTAGAAATGACTAGCTTTTGTGATGGATTAGCCTAAACTAAAACTGAACATGGTCCAATAAAGTTGTGATGTTAAATAAAGATGATCTAAATTTAATTAAACAACCAATTCAAATTATATGTTCATGGATGTGTGAAGTTGCAAAAGAATGGGCCACCGGCCAACGTATTCTATTTTCTTTTTTTGGGAAATATAAGGAGTAGGCTTTGCCAACAATGAGAAATATCTCCCTCAAGATATTAATTAGAGGGATGTGTAGATCATTCTTAACTAAATGCTATATATACAAGGGTTGGGGTTCAAATATCAATCGTTTGCTTAAGTGATGAGAATATCTATCTCTCATGCTAATATTAATTGATAGCATATCCTAGTTCTAGAAGAAGCCTGGTTAGTCAAATTTGCCTCCTTAATTACTATTTTTTATAAAATTAATGTGGTGTCCAAAATAAAGTATTGAGAGAGTTGTTTTCTAAAGTCAACAAGGAATATGCTCTCTCTCTCTCTCTCTATATATATATATATATATAAAATTAAATTACTAATACGTACGATGAATGAATTGTATCTCGCGAGATCCGTGATTCTTAATCAATGGGTATGACTTTTTATTTACATACCGTAATAAAGATTTAATTATTATAATAAAGGGAATTATGTGTCTCAATTTAATTAAATTAATTAGTCAAAACTCACTCTTCTGGATCTGTATATGCAAGTGGGAATTCGGAAGAACCGTTCAAACTTTGAACTGGTATAGAATTTGGCTTTTTGAATAAAGCTTATCTTTTTCGGATAAAAAAACTAGAGCTTATCTTTAATTTAATGACTAAAGTATACTTTTCATCCTTTAATTTTATATAAAGTTTTAATTTAATCATTTAATTTTATAAAGTATCTTTTTAATTCTTTAATCCTAACATCTTTAGTTTTAAATGATTATTTTTTGTGTCAATCATTGTTATTTTAAAAAATTAAATTTAATATGTCAACATTTGAAAATATTTTATCAATATTTAAAATTTTTATGTAAAAATTTGTTGGAATAAAACTAACAGTGTTAGGATTAAAAGATTAAAAATACACTTTATAAAGTTAAAAAGCTACAATGAAACATTGTGTAAAATTAAAGGACTAAATGTATATGTTAGCTTAATTTAATTAAAACAATTTTGAATGCTTTGTAAAACATATAAGGAAAAATGAAAATGTTGTAGGAGAAAACCAAGGTTAACAAATGAAAATATGGACGAAAATTCCTTATGCAGCTAAAATCATAATTTAATTGGAAATTTTAAAAGTTTAGTTGTAAATCTCGAAGTATTCCAATATTAGTAGCAAATAAGTTGTGAATTGAAGAAGTTTTCTAATTTTCAAAAGTTCAACAAAAAATCTTGTAAGTTTAGTTGTAAGCTCTAGAAGGTCAATTATATAGAGAAATATTTAGATAGGCTAGGTGTACCACATTATTTGTGGTCTGATCAATAAAGACATAACATTTAGATAATTTTAAATATAAATTATTTTGATATTAATAATAGTAGAGAGAGAAAAAATAAGAAATTAAATGTGTATTCTATCATAAAAATAAAATTAATTAAAAAAAGTCACACAAAATTATATTTAAATTATTTGGAGCAATTTAATTGGACAGATTACAAATATTGTGGTACGCCCAATTTGCTTAAGTATTTCTCCAATATATATACAATAATTTACAATTGGGCTTTTATAATTTATAATTTATTTATAACTAACATTTTAAAATTTACAATTGAATTTTTAAAATTTGCTGCCACTAAGCTAATTGCTGGTTGCATGAGGAAACTTTTACCAACTCACTTTTATTTTTTAACCTCCATTCTTCCTTATATATCATTTCAGAATTTCATAATCCTTCAATGATATTTATTTATTTTGGTGGTCCTTTTGGGTCATTATTTTGATTCAAATTGTATCTCATACTATATCCTTCATGAGTTAGGCCTTTGGTCAACTCTTTCCTTTGATCCTTGACAAGAACTACTTACTCTATAATTCCTTTACTTCATAAAAAATGGTGAGTTCACATTCTTAAACTTGAGTTTAATTATTATTATTTTTTGCCAACGTTAAGCTTAATATTGCGCGCCCACACACACATATATTATAGGCTAATGGTGCAATGTGGAACAGCGAGGTTTGCAAGCATGAGCATGCATGCAAGGCTGTCCTAACGTGATGAACCTCCTCGTTACGTCATCAATATGACATAAGTATGATGTCACCTTCTTCTATTTCAAATATTTTTTTATTTAAAAGAATTATAATCAGATTTTATATAAAAAATTAATTACTGCAAGATCCATTGATAATTAAATTAAACTGTATTGATAATTAATTGTGCTATCAATACAGTTTAGTTCAATTGTCAATAAATTTTACAATAATTAATTTTTTTGTATGAGATTTTAATATAATTTTTCCTTTTTATTTTGGTCATCAACTAAGTTCTGATGGATTTGGTTTGAGTAAATTGATAAATTGCTTTCTAAATTTATAGAGTATTCACTTGTGTGTGTGTGTGTGACTTTTAAAATAATTTATTCCCTGAAAGGAATCAAGTGATTTTAAAAGAAAAAAATATAAAAAGTATAATTACATTTAACCATTTAGAGGATACACATTGAAAGTTTTACATCTAAATTATTTTAAAAGTATATATTCAGTTCAGAGAACTCGAATCAATTTGAATATCATTAAGTTGCACATGATTTAATTACTAGGATTTTAAAACTTAATTATTGCTTTAGTTTATTTTATAATTACCACCTAATATTTAGTATTAATAATTAATTTATATTCGAATTAATGTTGTTGCCAAACTCAAATAAAGAGTTTCATAGCAGTCATAATTATTTACAAAAAAAAAAAAAGAGTTTCATAGTAATGAATCATGGGCCTGGCTTATTCTTTTTCAAAAACACTTAAATGTAACTTTCAATTCTCGAGGAAGTAGAAGTAGAAATAGTCACAAATTGGAACGAGTTAAACTTGTATTAATTTTTAAGTAATTTGAAGTTCCTCAAGCAGCATTTCAAAACTAAATTGATAATTAGATGTAATTGAAACCATGATGTATATTTGACTTCTGAGATACGCATGGTTGACTTTTTTGGTAATAAAAATATGACACAACGCGTGGAACCCGGTGAAGCTGGATGGATCTTCAAATCGTTATTTCTTAATTCAATAATTTACATCTCAATCTCAACTATATAAAAGATTATAAATATAAAGATGACGCTTTCTTCTTCACTAACCACAAGACGAACTTGTCGCTGAAACCACTCGGCTATCTTTTTTTTTTTTTGGGCCAAAAAACCACTTGGTTATCTGAAGAGAAGAAGAATACTGTTCATCATTACGAACTATGAAGGTAAGCCACATTAATTAACCCAGCAACGTGACATTGTCCTTCTTGTTAATCTTGAGTCTTCCATATATATATATATATGTATATATGTATATGTAGATGTATATGTAATAAGGAGATGTTTTGATAAATAAAAATGGGGTTGCAGCAGAAGATCGTGATCGAGGTTCCATTGAAGTGCGAAAAATGCAGGACAAATGCCATCACCATAGCTTCAGAGGCCATAGGTGATTGTCACGCATATATATATATATATATATATATATATACCTGAAGCATTTTATTTTGTTTTAATTTTCTGATTAATTGGTGTCTTGTTGTGATATATATATATATATATATATATAAATGAAGGGGTTGAATCAGCGACGCTTGAAAGGAAAGAGAGAGATCAAGTGGTGATAATAGGAGAAGGAGTGGATGCAAGCTTGGTCACCAAGTCTTTGAGGAAGAAGCTTAACTATGCCCACCTTGTTGCTGTCTCTCAAATCCAACCCTCGTAGTTAAATCAATCACTTTCAAATGTCAATTTCATCAAATGCCACGCAGGATTATCTTATAAATAGATTCAGTATGCATCTTAAATAGATGGATTCTTCATCTGATCTAGATTATCCAATTTAGTATGAATATATCTTTAATGGTGCAAAGAGTAAAATAGTGTTATAATCTTTTGCTATAAATTTTTTTTTTGTTGTTGTCCAAAGTATTTCCACAATCAGTAGTCATGGGATTAATTCCTCAAAGAATTAGAACACTATTGAAGGGCTTATCTTCCCCCAAGTAATTTTTTTTATATACACTTTCAAAAATTGAATTCTAGAATGATACTTAAAGAGTTCAGACTGCTAACATCTGTGCCACATTCACTTAACATAAAAATCATATTTTAATCTTAAAATATAAAATATAGTAAGATTCGGAGTGTCCCTGTACAATGAGTTATACTATGCCCTTTGCCAATTGAACTAGTCCTAATTGATTTAATAGTACCAACCGTGAACCAATTCATTGAAGACTTTCTTCATCTTGTTATGGTCGCTTAAACTTGAATATGTTTGAACATTTTACCATACAAAGCAAAGCAATAATTGAAAAGAGATATTTTTCATTCATTCAAAAAACTAAGGAGTCTTTCTTAATATCTAAAATATTCAAATCAATGTCAGCATACTAAATGCTTTCTAATATACATATATATATATATATATATTTTATTTCTCTCATTCTTCCCTGTGCTAATGATGATATCCTCCTAACCCAAGAGAACGAAAACAAAAACAAAAGGCTCTATATTCAATGCTTTCATCTATGATTAGCCTCATTTCCTATACGTACATGTCAAAATTGGCACGCGACCTGCCAAATAGAAAGAAGGATCAAAACTCAATCTCTTCCAGAAGAGAGGGCATTTTGTGGTCACTTTGTGGATGCATCTCCATCAATATTTTCTGCATCAGTGGAATTACCAACAATTTCGCGTTCTCTACGTGGACGCATCAATATTTTCCGTTTTCTCTTCATGCTTTTAGGGACCGAAGTAGTTGCTGCTCCTGTCTCCATCAATTCTTCATCACTATTTATGTGTTCAAACTGGACGGCAATCACTTTTCTAGCATTTGCTTCTAGAATCTGCATCAGGGACAACTTGGATCTTAGATGAGAGCTACCATATGAATATCAACATCAATATGATCATTTCTTAGACCACGTAAAAAAGGCATAGGGGGACCACCTAAGGATAAATAGTCAAAATTCCATGTTCAGTATTCTATTCAGTTCAACTTCTGGAAAGGTATGGGAACCACCTGCCAATTTCAAGAGGCCTGTGTTATAATTCAAAACAGATCAAATTGATTACCTTAAGTTTGAATGACTGATACTTTTGCTTTAAATCCTGGTGGTCAGTATCTGATTCATCGTTTTCCCTTTCAAAAACGACTTTGGTGCTTTCACCAGTTTTTGGGATGTATCCAAACGCTTCACACGCATAGCCTGATACTGTCTCATACTGGTGATCCTGCAATATAGAAAGTTGAGTAAGCATCAAGAGACCTGTATTTTTCAAATATATTGGATGTTCACGTTTTCCCACCAGTCTAGTTCACAACTTACGTAGAAATGACGAGCTATCTTATGTGATGAATTAGCCTAAACTAAAACTGAACAAAGTCCAATAAAGTTGTGATGTCAAATAAAGATACAGAGATAACATTAAAAAAATATGTTTTAAACTTAAATTTTTCACTATGCCTTGTGCTAAAGACTCTAAATTTGACTAATCCAAATTGGCTATTTCATATTTTTCCAAAATATAATTAACACTTTATGAATGCTATGAGCGTAGAACAAACCTCTGGCATCTTGATGTTCAATTGTTGTGAGAGGTGATCAACAGATGTATTTGCGTCCACATCAAATACTCCCTCAGCTCGGGCTACAATGGAACCGGTTTTTTTCTGAATCTCCTCCTGGCATACAACCAAGAGAAAATGAACGAAAAGGCTTTTAACGTAAGTCTTACGGTAAACCACTACAGTGGCAAATTACTTGTAAAGAAGGAAAAGCATGGGAATTTATAATTTGATAAAGCCGTTTGTCTTTCTGCATATCTAACAAAAGAATCCTTTTCAGGAAATCATGAGAAAAAAATTATAGTGAAGCCAAAAACACTGCCAAACCCTAGATGTGAAAACAGAGAGACCCCTATGTTTAATTGAAAGAATTGTTATGCATGAGGATGAAAAATGGAAAGAGCATGAGGATGTGAGCGGCATGGATGAAAAATGAGCTTTGTAACAAAAACCAACAAAAAAAAAAAACAGGAAGAAAGAAATGAAAGCAAAAGAATAAATAGTGAGCCTCACCTTCGAGTCATTTTCATCATAAATTTCACCAACAATTTCTCAAGAAGATCTTCCAGAGTAACAACCTGTCAATTTCAATAAGAATAACCCAAATAAATTTAACTTGCCAATTTGTTGGAATTTATATTCAGACTGCATAATGGGTTTCAGAAAAAATACTAGAGTTTTATTACATGTAATTAACTATATTTATGAATTAAGCTTCCTTCCGAACGAACTAGGCAACATAAGATTGCGATAAGCAGAAGCAAAATGAACAAGTAAGGTAATTAAAAACAAATTCATAACATTGGAGGGAAACTGTCATTAGAAATTGGTCATCAACTGTACCAAGAACTAGGAGAGATAAAGGCTAGAGATCAATGCGAACAATGTATAAACAAGGGTCTTTAGAAATTTAAAAATTTGTAGTTTGAGTATGAAGTTTCAGGTAAATAAAAAATTGTCCATGCAACAGTTCATAATGGTTGGCAGTAACAATCTTATCGTTGATTTCATTAGCATTTATCTTGTACCAACCAAATAAACAACCAAGAGTACACTGTAAGTAGAGAAAAGAAGAAACAAGAAACCACTGACAGAGCATGTTCTTATCGTTCCATCATACACTTCCTTTTAGTTTCCTATTGTTAGCATGGTATACCTTACAGTGGATCAAATAATAAACACATAATATTCAGATTCTATGCAAACAAACAGAACTATTGGGCTTCTGGTAAGGTTTGTACATACTCCCACAGTGCCACCATATTCATTAAGAACAACAGCCATGTGAACCTTCTGACTTCGAAGCTCTTTAAGCAGATTCCAAGCATCCATTGAATCTGCAAAACCAATAATTGGAGTTTATTCATTCAATATTCTAGACTGAACTAAACATAAATAGATGCGTCCCTATGGCAAACAATCAGCAAGGATGTTTTCAGAAGCACTACTATGTTAGAGATATATTTCCAAGAGTCTGAATCACATTTAGCGTCCTCCAGAATTCATTCTAAACATGCCACCGTTGACACATCACAGCGGGGATTACTGCACATTGAGTGAACAAAGAAACTTGTGACCACTGATTCAGATCGATTTACATACTTAATGGACAGAGGCTAAGAATGGACTTTATGAATAAGCAGAAGTAATTGTGGTCATTGGAATCATACTATTCACTATTCAAATTGTACAATTTGGCTGAATTCTCATAGGCGTCAAGGATGGCAAAATCATACAATTCCATATGACTTGACAGGTTCAGGCTGGATTAGATTGGTTCTTGAGTGACTCAAATGAGGAAAACTAAGTTTCCACTTGCTTTTAGCTATTGATAGGCAGGAAAATAATCCTGAACAATCAAAGTACATAAACTGACACATCACAAGGTAGTCCCATTACTTATAATATATCAACATTTCAATTTGCACGCAAAAGTCTTTTGCATGATAATTGGAAGTGTTAACAGCAGTAGCAGCCACAAATAAAATACATGAACATGATTTCCACATAAAGATTGAAACAGAAATAAGTTACCAGGCACAAAATTTGCAGGCTTGCGAGCCATATCTCCAACAGTAGTAATTTCTAGTTGCTCACCCTTCAAAATCAAACAGAATATAATTCTGCAAACTATGAGATGGGGTATGCAATTAATAGGCAAGGAACTTAGAACTCGTACAATGTATGGCAGGACTAAAATTTTCCAACCTTCTGGACATACTTCAGAAGATCCATAGCATAGGCAATACCCATTATATTATCTACCCTTTGCTCAAAAACAGGTACCCTAAAATATAAAAAAATAAAATCAAGTTAACATATTTATAAAGGGGAAAAAAGCAGAATCACTGGGAAGCTTTCTATACCTTGAGTAATGATAATTTGTCCACAAGTCATGAAAATCTACAAGGCTAGCACTGGCATCAATTGCAACAACATCAACAAGAGGTGTCATAACCTCTCTGACCTGCGTGTCTTTTATCTCCAACACATTTTGAATCATATCCTGTGAAGAATAATTTCATTCAAGATACTTATTGGATAACAACGTAGCAATACAATGGTCAAATAAATTAAGAAAGGATAGTATTAGAGCCTTTTCAGATGCACCTGAATAGTGTAATGATTTAAAAAACATATAATGAAAATTTGTTAGAAAAAGGACCTACAATTCCCCCCCTCCATATGGACACTTAAAATTTATCATGTTTTCAAGATATATATTTTTTAACAACATTTCTTTAAAAAATCACTGTCCTAATGTTAATATATTCAATTCCATTTTTTAAGTATGAGAAAAAAGTAAAGCCTCGTCAACCAAGCAAATTCAAAATATTTTTAACCACAAGCTTAATTGATTTGTATTTAAAAAAAAACTACTTTTTTCTGGGTGAAAATTAAAAACCAATACTGGTTACCTGTTCTTCCTCCTCTATTGCCCCGCTTAACTCTGCACCTCTTAACATCAATTTTAGCTCCTCTTCAGTTACATATGGTTCACTGATAGATGAAAATGAAGGCAACTATTTAGTGCAAAACCTAAAAGATTTAATAAGAATGTCCCAAAATGATAACTTTAGCAGATGTGTGCCTTCAATATGGATATTATCAACAGAGTTGAAATAAACATATGAAAATATTAGATGACTTGACAATAGATGAAGGTTGAATATGATTGCTTTGTGCCACATGGAAGTATAGTTATACAAAATAAGTTGGTAAAACAGGATTAATTTTTTAAACTAGCATTCAAGAAAATACATTAATGACCGATTTGTTCTCACTCAATATATATATTCTGCAATACAAATGAAGGTGACGGTATAAAAAATAATATATATATATATATATTTTGCTGCCTCATGACATATGGCTACCAACAGTTTAAACATATATCCTTGCGTAATTTACAAGCATTAGATACAATATAAAGAAAGAAAAAAATCATTCTCTGACTAGCTTTTCTGAAGACCTTTTTCCCTTTAAGCCGAGCAATTTCAGCATCCCCATTGAAAGATAAGTAACAACTCTTCCTACAGGATACAATACAAGGGAAAGCCATGCCACTGGCCTGACCTGGAGGCATCAGAACCAATATTTGTTACAAAAAAGAAGTTAAAATAGAAATATCATGCAAATGTAAATAACAAGCCGTTGCTGAAAAGAATAAATGTCTGATTTCGAATGACTATATTCCATAATTTTTTAAGAAAAGGACAGAAAAAATACAACTTACCACAAACCGAGCCACCTCTGTGGCATTATGAACAGCTATACTTTTTGGAGTAATTTCAGTGAGAAGCAAAATGGCAACCTTGTAAGATCATGCAGAGAACACAGGAGTTAGATCTTTATGGGAGAATTAAATTTAAAATAAATTTCTTAGGGGGTGTTACTTGCCACGAATGATACAAGAGAAAACACATAGTCAGGATATCATGCAGGTACCTAATATCCCATTTTTAATGAAAAGTAGTTTATAATCAGAAGTAACAAATGAAAAGTATAGAACACAAGAAACCAAGATGATATCATATTGTTAGCCTAAATAAAAAATCTATCTCAGCCTTATACAGTTACAAACTAACTGACTCACTGCAAAATTTTTCTTTAGATTTCTGTTAAAGAGGAAGAAATGCCCATGCTCAAGAAATGGAGGTTAAAGTTAAAGAGGAAGAGAAGAATGCAGCCATATATTATAATATGATCTAGCCCCAGTGTGGGATAATGGAATGGGGTAGCAACCCAAGGACTAGGAACAGAAGAAGAAATCCCAAGGAATTTGTGGAACTAATCAAACCAAGCTTCAGTCAAATGCCTAGTGGAAGCATTTTATAGAGAAATGTAACATTTATGTCAGAGATTCACAGGTCCCAGTGGAAAATGTATTTACGTCCAAAATAAGTTCGAATGCAGTGGAATGTGATCAATCTATTTAAATTTTCTATCAATACTGGAAAAATAAATGTATAATTCCATTACAACAATAATGTTTAATGTTTCAAGTGAACAACAATCAGCGGTCAAGCTCACAGGACTTGGAGTTTCCCAATTCCATAGCCTAAACCAGGAAAAACATGTTCTAATTTCTTAGGAATACAAGAGTTTTCAAGTAAGGGCAGCAAAGCATACAGTCATCACTCCCGTTGCTGCACTAAGACCAGCTTCACCAAATATTGCAGTTGCAGCATCTGTGACCAGAGCAGTTGCTGCAATATTGACCACTCTGAGCACAAGAAAATAGCCTAAAATGAGAAAGATGTCATATTCAAATTGGAAACATGAATGATATTTTTCACCATTAAAATCAATGAAAGGGAATTACGTTGTGCCAATAAGTATGGTGGTAAGGAACCGAGTGATATCAGTCTGAAGTAATTTGAACACACCATTTTCAGATTCCTTTTCAGCCAGTTCACGGACCTTGTACAAAATTTCATTGACAATGATCAGAGGACAAACAATCATGGAAAGAAAATAATATCTTCTATTTGATAATTAAATCAACAAAAATTAAATTCTTCAATCGCGACATCCTGTAAGTGACCTAAGACATTATAAACTTAACTAGCTCTGGAGAAGTCATTAACAATACTTCTTTGACCAACCAGGCCAAATTAAGTCAGTCTAAATGACGACGCATTCATATTCGGACAGGAAGAGAAAGATACCTTCCAAGGCCAAAGGGTGGTAATTGAAGTCTCTGCCATCGAGAAAAATGCTGAAAGACCCAAAAGAATTGCCAGTGTCAACCCTTGGTCCTTAAAGACCTGAAGCACTTGAACCACTTTAGGCCATGCATTCCTAAGCAGCAGAATGCTCTGTCCAATAACTCCATGTCCTGCCTTTTCCACACCTTCAACTGCAAAAACTCGCTGACATCCATACACCAATACCCCACAAATCGTAGCAGCCAGAATAATTCCCCTCTGGAGTAATTCCTGAATGAAGTCCAAATTTGCTTTCGAAGAAGAACTCTTTCTACGCAAACAGTTACTGCTTCTGCTTCTATCTAAACATATCAACCGAATTCTACGGAATAACCTGTCATCTTGCTCATTCCTTGAAACCAAATGGCCTCTAAAAGAGCCCGGACCAATACATTTAGACACCAAGGGAAATCGGTGGTATTCAAAGTTTTCAGCTGAAACCTTCATCGCCATTCTCCTTGACCGATTCTGATGCGCAATGTAAAGTAATCTTGAGGAGCAGTTGGAGAATGGCTGACACATAGTAACACAAGATTCGGGTGCCATCTCCAAGAATTAGAAGGCAAGGAAAACAAGCATGAGATTGTTTGCGAAAGAATAGGGGTTTATGACAAAAGGTGAGTACGTATTTATGCAGGCAAAGAGAAGAGAAGAGATTGTTTGCGAAAGAAGAAATTGTGATTTCTTGAGCATAATGTTGGTGCCAGAGAAGCTGGGCTTCAATTCAACTCTGTTTTTGATGCTGATGCAGCGTAACAGAACAAGGGCGATTTGACTCATGTCAGTCAACTTTCAAATCCATAAACAAGAAGAAGTAAATCAAGAATCCGTCATTTTATATTCCAAGATGATGCCTTGATTCTTGTTTTCCCCGGAGCATTACTCGACCTTTTTTTTTTTTTTTTGGGGAAATACTACTTTGGTCCTTGCATTCTACTCTAATTTTATTATAGATTTTTACACCTTTTTTTAATATTTCATGTCCCTATACATTTTTTCATTAATAGTTTTAATCCCTACATTTTTAAAAGGATGTTGATGTGACATAAACAATATTATAAATGCTAACATGTCAATTAATATTATTAATTTTGTGTTTATGTGTCCAACTTATATTTGAAATTTTTAATAAGCAAAAATTTAAAAGGAAAAGTCTATACATGAAATTTGTATGTTTTGCTAATTATTTAAAAAGTTCATGTCAACCTTTTAATTTTATATGATATATGCTTTTAATTTTTTTTATTAAAAAATTTCATATCAGCATTAGTTTGATACATAAATAAAAAATGAATGATGACAATTAACATGTAAACATACGCACTATTTATGCTACGTAAACGTCCCTATAAAAATGTAAGAATCAATATTATAAGTGAAAAAATGTGTAAGAATCTAAAGCATAAAAAATAAAGTGCATGAATGTATACGAAAATTTAAACAAAGTGTAGGAATTAAAAATAAAATTTTTTATTTTTTTTTCTTTTGAAAGAATTTTAACCTTTTGTTTGTTTTGTGACTCACCGAACAAGGATAAGCCTAAGTGGCAACTGTTAAGGCGTTGAAGATTATTTTAATTTTAATTTTTTTTGCCAAGAGATTATTTCAATTTGATTCCTCGTGACCAAGATGTAGACTTGTAGAATATGATGAGCTGCAGCATACAATGGACCTTTCTCACTTTTTTTTCTTTTTTTGAAAAAGTAGAAATTATTTCATCATTTTTTATTTTACCCTCTGCTTCTTATTAGCTGTATTTGAACTCAGAAAAATAATATATATATATATATATATATCAAAAATAAACATCGTCGTGATAAAAAATTAAAAAAATACTCCTTCCATTCTTAATTATTGGACAAATTTACATAATTAACTCGTGCTAATAAAAATAGCTTTGATATTCTGTTACATGTCAATCCTATATGGTTTTTTAACAGTTAATATTCCGTTTCTCAGTTAGGGGATACCGGGGAATTAATTGATTAATAACAGAATTAGCCCTTCAGCGTGGGAAATGTAAATACCTTACGTGGCCTCTGATTACTAGCATCTAATAAAAAGTCAATACACATGTGTTCCTCATTTCCTTTGTACCAGTGTCACTGTTTCTTAATTGCTTTATGGATACTGAACAGTTAACACACAAATTTACATTTTAAAGGATCTTAAAGTAGCACTGAATTGGTTTATTAAAAAAAGTAAAAAAGGTAGCGCTGAATTCAGCTTGGCATTTAACCTTTAAATGAAAATTAATCATTTAATTTTTATAATTTTAATTTAGTTACGACAGCAACTTAATTCTTAAACTTAAATCATTATAACTTAATCTTTATAATTTTGATTCAATTATACCTTAATTTTTGAACTTTGACTCAATTTAATTCCTATAATTTTGGTAATTTAAAACATTGATCCCAATGTTTTGAGAACTGGATCGGATCGAATGATCTGACTGTTTTGATCGTTGCCCGCCAAGTAAAATGATTTGGTTCAACTAATTAAACCAAATTTGCCTTTGGACCTGATTGAGCTAGGCAATTTTTATAGAATTAGATTTAACCCAGAAGTCGGGGGTGGGTCAACCCGATTCAAAGTCAAAAAATAAAAAAGAAAAAAAAATTAGGCTAAGTCATTTAGATTTACGATTTCTCTTCTCTAATATCTAATTTTCTTTTATCTTCTTTTCTCTAATCTCTTATCTCTCCTCCATGGCCTGCTCAATCTTTTACTTCTCCTTCAACCTCTGCCTCTAACTTTAACAATCCAAGAATCTAACTTTTGATGTTGAAATCTCAAGCACCATCAATAAATTAATGTTTATCTATATATTTGTGTATATAAATATTATTTTTATTTAATTTTTATATCACCAATTCAACCGCCAGTGTAATTGGTTGAATCATTAAAATCACGACGCGTTGCTCTTTTTAATTTGACGTCTGATCCAAATTTCAAAACACTAATTGATCCTTATATTTTAAAAAAAATAAAATTATTGAAAACAATTTTAATTTGCATAAAGATTAAAAGTTTTTGTAATCTAAAATATTAATCTTTAAATTTCAAACTAATTTTAATCTTTCTATTTTTTTCTAAAATATAAGAACCAATATTTTAAATGATTAAAAATATAGGAACTGAATTACACTGAGAGTTATACAAATCAAAGTTTAAATATTAAGTTATAATTAAATTAAAACTATAAGAACTGAATGATTAATTTTTCTAATTTTAAGTGCAGGTTTGGTTACATGACAACAAACAATCAAAATCTTAATGTGGCTACCATTTTCTTGAAAGCAAAGAGAAACCTTTAACAAATATAATGATTCATTATGACTTACTCTTCCCCAATTATTTTCTGTACAACAAAGGTGTTCAAGTTATTACAGATTATTTCCTATACAAATTCTATCAATAATCCAAAGGCGTCTCAATAAAAGAGAAACATAATACGAAGAAATTTATTTACCATTTGATCTCCAACGCATTTTTATAACCTGTATCTCAAACATGAATGTTGAAATAAACTGTATAAGGTTCATCTCTGAAGGAAAATAATGGCTCCAAAAGAAAATTCCTGTTTGCTCCTTTAGCCACAAAGCTGATGGCACTGTACTGGCTTAACCCTGTTTCTGCCTTGAAGCTGGCTGCTTGATTGAAAATAATATTAAAATCAGACTTGCATTTCAGCATCACACCTGAACCAGAACCACCATTATACACAAAGCAATCCTTATTGCCTTTGGATTCTAAGGATATAGTTTCATTTTGTCCATCCAATCCTGCTACCAAAACAAACACGTTAGGGGCCCCACCATGGGAAGTATCTGCAATGACAAGAGGATGGCCTGCTCCTTGGTCCATCAAGAGCATCCCAGGAAGATCAAATGGTTCTAACATCACTGATTTGCCGATTGCATCTCGCAAGGTTGAAAACTCCGAAGAAGATTCGGTGAAGATAAGTCTAAAGGTTGCATGAAGAGCAGATTCTGTGCCAGGTTCAGGTAGTTTTTCCATTGTAAGAGATTGATTTGAGTTTGTTAAAACAAGAGTCGGCTCATCAAAATCTTGGATAAAAGTTGCTAGTTGAGTATTATAACTTGAAGGGATTGGAGTAATCCAGTCAGCAATAGATGCATTTGACCCAACTTTGATGTCCCAATCACCACTGGTATGACCAACAAGAAGATAGGGCCCGTAAAGAATTGCTTGTATAGAAGCATATTCTGACCTGTCATCTGGATTTGATTCAAAACAATCTTTCAGTATTGTTTGACAAACATTTTCTTATGGCACTGAATGGCGCACACAGATTACTACCTTTTATAGCCTCTGTTCTAAGAGTAATGGGCAATTGAAGGGTCAGCTTGTCACTGGAACTCCACTTTCGTGTGACTGACAAAAAGTTTCCTACACGTCCACAAATTAAAATTTTACTTTCAACTTTCAGCCTTTCAGGAGTTGAATTTACTGTATATATATATGAACTTCTGGTCTTCTAGACCGAAAAAATAGTTGCATTTTGATCTGAAGTCTAAATTTAAATAATTGTCTTTTTAGCTTTCATTATTGCTGACATGTAGGTGGCATGCAGAATAGCATGTCAGCAAAAGGGGAGCCTTCCCAATTGATGTTGACTGGAGGGATTAAATTTCATCATCTTGAAGACTTATGGCCAGATCAAATTAGTAGAAAACTACACTGAAATCTCCGCTTTACAAATGAAGCCAGTTAAATACCTGGAGACGGCAGAGATAAAATCTCATCGTTTAAAATTGCCTTCGCACCATCCAAATGTGTCCATGTTGGTATTCGGAAGTTCAACGTAGATGAAATTCCAGTCCCCTGCAAAAGTGACTTTCAATGGAAGGAAGCAAAAGAGCAATCTGCAGCATCTTATGGTAAAATCTTCAAGGTTTTCTACTAAAGGTAACAAATTGACATCATAACCTCCATAAATCCATCAACTATCAGTGGAAGTAATCGAACCCTGTCGTTTAGCTGATTTTTAACAATTATAATAAATCCATCATTTCAGCCATCACCTACCATTGGAAGTAATTTTCTTTATCAACTATCAGTGGAAGTAATAAAACCCTGTCATTTAGCTGATTTTTAACAGTTATAATAAATCCATCATTTCAGCCATCATCTACCATTGGAAGTAATTTTCCTTTAGCTATTAAAATGAAATAAATTTAAGCCATTGAATCGTCATTGTCATCTTGAAAGTAGCATACTTCTCAGGAATCACTTGTTTTCTCATATCTGACGTAGTAATGATGTATTAATCATATTAGTATTGTACACAAACCAAAAGAAGTAGAAAAGGAATGGCATGTCTCCCGTTCTCATGACTAGGGTCCCGGATCGGTAGAATCATAAACAAGGCGCAGTGCTTTTTTGAAAACTGAAACCTTAGTTAAGAAGCGGGCGAGAGAGACCCAACATGATGCTTAAGCCAAGAGTTACGAAAGATGAAAATTTGGCCATGCATAATACAGTGTAACAAGTACCTCTACAAGAGAAAATGTCAATGTAACTCTTAGGTAAGGATCCCATGAAGTAGCAGAAACTACAGTCTGATTAAGCACGACACCCCCAGATTTCCAATTAAGGGAGCTTGATATGTACTGAATGATGTAAAGTGTAGGGTTCTTTCCTTCTTCTTCAAAATAAATAGAATCCCCCAACTTTGAGAATGATTCAATCCCTAAAGATGACCGAAAAAGAAAAAAGATGATTGAATTGAGATATGATTATCCTGCAATTTGATATAAATTGAATTATATGGTGAAGGAAAAAAACGCAAACCTGTTCCATAGCAGCACCAGAAAGATTCAAACTTTGTTCCCCAACCATGCCATGTTTTAGCTTTGGATACCCCAGGACCTTGTGGCAGCATATATATCATCACTCCAGGATTTGTACCTCTTTGTATACCCAAAACACCATTTGTTAAGGCACGCTCATAATAATCTGCATACGATACTGCCTTGGTCCACCTAAATAGGTTCCGTGAAACCTGAGAAAACATTTAATTTTTCATTGCTGATATAGTGGAAATGTTCGACAATAGCTGATGCCAAGGCATAATGCATAGAGAAACTACAATAGAAAAAACTAAAATTTAGCTGAAATGACAATTATTACATGCACATTCTCGCATACAAATATACATAATAAATCCATATAAATTATAATAGCATGTTTTCACATCCTATGTCACCTAAAAGATATAAAATTAAGTTGTGAAAACTTTTCACAAACTCGTACATTTTTCCACTATGGAAGCATTCCATAATGAGATAAGAAAAGGATAGATGATTGACTGCTACCTTCAACATGTTATAAGTTGTGCAAGACTCTTCATATTTCTGTTGTTTTCAGGTTTTCTGCCATTCTCTTTGGATCATGCCTATACAAAAGTTAAAATAGATGTGTTTAACAAAATGGGGACTAACTGCCATAACAAGAAGGAAAAAGAAAATTTCTACTCGAAGCCCTTGTAGCAAATATATATTCAATGGATGATTTGCTGTTTAAGAAAACCAGAAACTAATAATTATATCTCTCATTACCAGAACTCACTGACTGATGTCCCTCCAGTTGCATAACTGTGAGAAGAGTTAATGATGTCCATGAAGAATGTTCCGATTTCCTAACACAGCAGAAGGCAATAACAAATGTAATAAGAAAATAGAAATTTTCACAAAGGGAAACCACTTCTAGGCTTAATGTGTTTCTTCAATGGAACAAACACAAAAGATATTTAGCATTGGAAAAAAGAATAAAGGCCATGAATAGGCATGTAATTGAAGTTTAAACAATGGAGACACGAGACAAAAACCCAAATGCAATACAGAAAAACAAAGGATACATATTGACATTTAAATTTTAAGTTTGAACCCTTGAGTTGCTAAAGAAAACGGAGAGGTGAAGGCCAATACCAGTTTATATTATTTTTGTTTCTAGCGTTCAGGTTTTAGAGTGAGCATGCGCTTTGCAATCTATAATAGAATGAATACCTAAAGTTAGTGGGTTTTGAATATTTGTTATCTCCAAATTATACCCCAAAGTCAAAGTGATTCTTAAACAAGGCATTCACTACAAGTCTCATCACAAGTAAAATCTTTTAATAATAGAATTAAAATAGATAATTAAATTAATAAATAAATTTATGCCTGCAAATAGTGAAAAGCATTGTTTTGTCATCAAGTTCCAGGAATTTACAATATGCATACAGTTGTTTACCTTATAAAGCGGATCACCGGTGACTTCATACCGCATTTGAGAGCCAATAACAACAGGAATATGTGTATTGGCATGAAAATTTGCAATGTCATCAGCCTACACGAAAAAAAGGACCAAATTTCATTACTCTTATGCTTTGCAAGAAAAATTAGTACAACTTATAGACTGGAAAATAAATGCCGAAGTTGAAATCTGAGTATCAAAATGTTTCAGTCAAAGGGGAGTACAATATTTTTAATGATATTCACATAGAGGAGACAATTTTATTTGGGATAAAGGAAGAAATAGTGACTGTTTAAATATGGTTAAAATTTAAAGGAAACCTGCATAATGAACAAATATAATCCCTACCTGCACAGCAAGCAACCCTAAAAAGCATGGCTTGTCAAAAAGGTGAGCCAACAAGAGATGCTTCAGATCTCCCTGCATAGGAAGAAGACGTGCAATTTCAGGATTGAATATAGCACAGATAATCAGGTCTATGATCTGTAATTACCAAACTGATACAGTTCCTATACATAGATAAAGGAGTCAATACCATCATACAGTAAAATGAAGTAACAAGATTTGTTAGCCTACCGTTATGCTGTATAACTTGTAAAGGACGTCATTCATCCCTCCAGTTTCCTCATTCAGTGATTGATAGTGTCTAGTTATACTGTACTTTGTAATCACGTTCTGCACACGGCTGTAGAAGTATTCAGCCATCCAAGTCACCATTTTTAAAGCATGAGAGTTTCCAGCTATAGTACATTGATCTAACAGGCCAGCCATGATCTGTCAAAGTTTGACTAGCTTAAAACCCACAATATTAAGGCCAATAGTAGTTACATTCTCAGCAACCACTTTTGAAGGTACCTTGTGAATGGTGTAATATGGAGCCCATACAGGCTTAATATCTTCAAAGCGGTCAAAAAATTCAGAAGGAAATGCAGAGAGATATCCTGAGCCAAGTTTCTCCTGACAGGCGGACAGATTGGAAATCAGTGTTGACATTTTCTCCTTCAGGCTATCATTGTGTGTGCTGGCCCACATTAGAGCTGAAGCACTCAAGTAGTGACCTTCAAAATGTCAAATGCAAGCAAATATAAATTATCCATGAAAAGTAAATTAAAAATGCATATAGGTGCTGCTACTTGCTAGATCATAGAGCTTTAAAAGCCCATGGAAACGTGCATAAGTGTGTCTATACTTCACAACCCTGAGTGTGAGAGAGATATTTCCAAAGAAGTTACGAAAACATCAACGTGTTATTGTACAATTGCTGAGTTATATGGCATGTACAGAAGACTCAAAATTTGCTGAGATAGAGGTTATAGATATAGAGAAATTGCACTATACAGTGATGTTTGTAAATGCTCATTTAGGTTTCCAGGGATTGTACTGGATGCTGATAAAGGACATGAAGGAGATGCTGGCTCAGTATTCGTAAGTTACTTACATCTCATTGACAATGATGAGACTTGAGGGGCACACTGGTTTGCAAATGAAGCTCACTGCTCTGGTGCACCCTCAGGCTATCTTGAGGCCATTAAGGGATACATTACCACTTGTTTTGTTTCCATACTTTTAAGGGTTAAAGCGCATTTTTGTCCCTGCACTTTCCTTTGAGAACCGCTGAGCACCTTATACTAATAAGTGGGACATTTTTTCCCTTAAACCATTTTTCAGATGAGCAAAAATCCCCCTCCATTAACAGGTCACCAATAGAGGTGTATTTTTGCTCCTCTAAAAAATGGTTTAGAGGGAAAAAAGCTCTACTTATTAGTACAAGGTGCCCAGTACTCCTCGAAGGACAGTACAAGAGCAAAAATACATTTTAACCTAGAAGTAAATATTAGTGACTACTTTAGTTTAACTAATAACTACTTTCCTTCTGGCAATGACCAGAATGGAACAAGTAATTAGCAAAGGGGAAGTTGTAATTGCTAGTTCTATTCTAATCATTGCCAAAAGAAAAACAGTCATTGTTAAACTAAAGTAGTCACGGATATTTAAAATACTTGGATTTTAGTGAATAAAAGATTTGCACAAGGAAAGTTGTAATTGGTTTTTCTATTTTAATCATTGTCAGAAGAAAAATAGTCATTGCTTAAACTAAAGTAATCACTAATATTTATTTTTTTATTTTAAATTGGAGGTATTTTAGTTATTTGACCAAAAAAAAATCATTAATGTTTGAAAGATCCCTAGGAACTTGAGAAGGATCATGACATTTTGCGAGATCCCATTGTCATTTGCATATTTCAAGGGGTTAAAATGCATTTTTTCCCTTATACTTTCCTTTAAGGAGCACTGAGCACCCTATACTAGTTAGTGATCCTTTAATAGAGGGGGATTTTTATTCTTCTGAAAAATGATTTAGGAGAAAATATGTTTCAGTTATTAGTATAAGGTGCCCATCACTCCTCAAAGGAAAATATAAGGTGCACTTTAGCCTTACTTCTAATGTAGTTTGAGTAAGTGTATTTAAAAAAAAAAACGAAAAGAAAAGAATGCATGCAAAGTATATTACATGACAAAAACAAATGATGGATTCTAAGGAACTCTTCAAAAACAAGCCTGTGTGTAAAAATGCATGATTTAAAAAAGCAGGAGCGGGAGAATACTTGTAGATAGTTACTTGTTTGGTGAGTTGATTATGAAAAACACTCAATTATGGATTTATCTCTGGATATTAAAGTCATAGATAATAATTCGAACTTGTAATTTTCTACCAGACTAAAGAAAAAAAATTACCGCTTCATAACTACAAGGCTAACGCTGAATTACTAGGCTTCCATTTATTTTTGATAGCCCTTTCTTCTTAACTCCTTGTATTTAAGAGATCTTTACAAGCAACCACGAGTAAGATAGGTGTAATTAAATTTTAAAGATACCAATTAGATATGAAAGAACAAGTAAGAATAAGATGGTCAATGAAATGAACTAACCAACAAAATGACCCCGGAGCTCACTGTCTGGATTTTCCCAGCCTCCATAGGGCGTACCAGGAGTAGGGAGACCAGCTGTCTTCCTGAAGCTCCAAAGCAACCTGTCAACATCTAACATCAATAGATACTCCAAATTTGTAAGCTGTGCCCGGGAGTGGAATGTGTCCTGATGCAATCTCACATCATGCAAAGACACTTCTTTGAGAATCCCTTCTGGTGGCTTGAACACACCCAAATTCTTAATTTTCCTGTAAATCGCTGCCCAGTCATTTTGCACCTCGTTCCCTCTCAAGAATCTCCTTGGCATCAAGCCTTCCCAATCAGAGTTATCCATTGGGCTCAAATGATCATGCAACATCATCTTCCATGTTTGATTTTTGGACGTCAATAACTCATACCTAAAGCTATGTGATTGTGTAGGTTGGTTGGTGCATTCTTTGGTAATACCCACAGCACAATCACATAGAAGCAGGACAAGAAGCGCGTAAACAAAACCCTTCATCCTCCTGAGAAATTGAGATTTCGTCAAACTGGTTGAAGTTGCAGGGTAACCCAGAAATGAAGAGGTTGAACTAATTTAACAGAGAAAGGAGGAGAGTTTAAAGAGAAGGACTTTTGGATCCTCACCAATTTGTAGCTTGCATGCTGCAATTTCGACCATCGATGCTGAAGAGTTATTGACTTATATACTGTTAAATTAGGTCGGTTCAGTCACTGGGTCAGCAGTACAGTTCCTTATCCATGATCCATGAATATAGAAGAATCCCTTGAATAGATAAAACATAAAAGTCAACCTTTTAATGTTTACTTTAATATAATCAAAATAAACAGGGAAAAATAATAACAGTCGGGTTAGATCAAATCATAAAACTAAATAATAACATTACCATGTAAAGGCAGCAATATTTAATTACTTTTTATTAAATTAACGCCGTAGTAAAGTCATAAATATCAGATTAACAGTGTTATTCGTTAAATGCTCACTGAAATTCCGACAATATGATGAAGTAGGGGACATGTGATGAGCACGTGCACGCTTCCGGATCGAATACGCTCCTCTTCTCTGATGTAAGAGAAGACAGGGAAGGAGTCGCTGTCGTCGTGCCGGAAAAAACACGCTTCTACGAGTACTTCTACTGCACTCTCGGCTTGCCTCCCTTCCACTCCACTCCTTGACATTGAAAACAAAACAAGAAAAATCGAATCGAATCGAACCGAATCAAGCCCAAGAAAAGCAGTGAAGACGAAGGAAGACAAGAATCTTTGAGATCAGAAAGGCCGTCGTCGTCATTTCATGTCCATCTCCTCAACAAGCATTAGCAATTCCTTTTTCTTTTTACTTTATGTTTTGGGAGATTCGTTGCCTTCATGATCAAGTGATAATATAGAAAAATGCAAACTTTATTTAAACTAATTGTATACTATGATGCACCTTGTTAATGGGTTTTTGTCCCACGCCGAACCGCCACTGTGTTGAATTATTTTTTTTAATTATTAAAAAAGTCACAATTAAAATTAAAACAAATATACCATATTTATTTTGTTTGGATTAAAAGATTTATAATTAATGTTAGAATTTAATTGATGTAAGGAGAAAAGTTTGTAACTCTAACATGATTTATATTAATACTTTTTTTCAAAAGTTAACTGTACAAAATAAAATTTATTTAAATAATTTAATTTAAAAGTTAATTAAGATTTATAATGACAAAAATAAATATAATTTTTTTGTGTTTTTACTATACAAATTTATTTAATTAATTACAGAGATAATTTAGTTTAAATTTTTTAATTCCATATATAATGATTATACTTAACCAGTCAATTTTAAAAATTGGATAAATTGATTAGTTTATCTTATATTTAGAAATGGCAGGAATACTCCCACTATTAATTCTTTTTTTTTTTTTTGTGTTTTTGCCAACATCCTACTATTAATTCATAAGGTTTGTTCACAATTAACTAAATTAGTAAGTAAGCAATCTATATCCCAAAAAAATTGGTAATCTCATTCTTTTTCTAATAAACTATTCACCGGCCAAATATTAAATTATTAAATGAATTTTCCAGGACAATATGAAAGTAGAGTGAAGAAGACCCCAATAGCTTACTTCAAGAGCTCCTTTGATCAAGTGAATGAAGTGAGAAGTAGGAGAAGAGGGCAAAGTCGGGCACTCTGGAAGATAATAAAGAGAGAGAAAACTGATAAAAAATTTAAAACCCATTAATAATGCTCCCAACATCCACCCCAATCCTAAACACTTGTTGAAAAGCTCTGTCCAATAACTTTGTTCAAAACGCCCATTCTCCTCCAACGCCCGTTCACTTTTCTTTTTCATTTAAACAAGATTTAATGAATTTTTAATGTCTCAACTTAAGTTTGAATCATTTCAACTTAAATTAATATGTTATCCAAACATGCTCGTCACTCTTCAAATAAACATTGCTTTGAGAGATTCCATCGTCACTTTTGACCATATATATATATATATATATAGAAATTAATAATTGCGTGAATTCATCAAATTTCAAATGATAATTTAAATATTTAAAATTTGGATTTAAATTCTCTAAAATAAATGTTCATAAATTTATGTAATTTTTTTCTTTTTAAGAAAGACAAAATATTTTATATTTTATAAATAATTAAATGAAAGGAAATACTAAAAAAATTAGAAGATTTAAATCCTAAAATTTCATATTCTCTACCTCAAAATGTATAAACTATTTGTATTTTAACAATGATAAATGAGCAAATTACCTTATAAATTTTATGTTCACTAGTACTATAAACCCTAAATTTTTTTATTATGTAAATTATTATTTTAATTTTTTAAAATAGTATAATCTAGCTTGTTAATAGAAGTTAATTTTAATTATTAATTGATTAGAACATGACAAAGAAGAACATAAAAAATTATGTAAAAGGACATCAAAATTTGTTGTTCTTTTCTATACTTTTTGATTTTTTTATTACAATTCTGTTATTCATTTATGTAATTTGTGAAATTTTTTTTATTAACTAACTGTCAAAATTATTTTGTGTTCGTAACAAAGATCAAAATATACTATTTTAAAAAATTAAAAAAATAATTTATATAATAAAAAAATTCAGAATTTATGATGAAGATGTCAGAATAATTTCTTTATTTACCTTTTTACCATTACCTGAGTGGATATGTCGAACTCACTTTGCAGTCTTTTCCACCGTGGCTTTGTAGTCAATAGAAAAAATTACTTCAGCTATCTATTGCTCTTTATTGTGTGAAATTTCCCCTATTTCTGGTCATTTTACAGGCTACTGCACGCGTATATAAAATTTGTGCAACTAAGTCTTTCCCCACTCTAGTATTATAAATTTATAACAGAATATACAGATACTGTTTGCGCTGGATGCTCCTATGCACCCGTTGTATATTTGAGCAACTCACTATATTTTTTTTTAGAATGATAGAGAAATTTTAAAAGAATCAATTAATTTAAGTTAATTTTTAATATCAAACTTTAAAAATTTATAACTCAATTTGTTATTTTTGTAACTCCATTATAATAAATTTATAACTTACATTTTAAATTTTAACAAAAAAAATAAATTTCTTTATTTTTTAATCATATTAAAATTTAAAAAATAAGTTATAAATTCATCATAATACATTTGTAAAATTAAAAGAATGAATTGTAAATTTTAAAAGTTTGACACTTAAAATTTAACTTGAATTAGTTAATTTTTTAGAAACTCTTTATCATTTTTTGTTTTTTTTTTTGGCTCTGAATGATTCTTAAACTATACTTTCTTAGATTTCCAAGTTTACAGCATGCGTCAGTTCGATCTCCCATGGTATTAAATTAATAAATGTTATAACACAGATAATTTAGATCTAGTGATAATAAACACACTTACAATACATTAAAGTGGAGATACAAATTTACGCTTCTTTCATATGTAGCTTCTTACTTTCTTGTTCTCATTCAGAGATCATATTATTGAAATTTAAGTAAACCCAATCAATTAAATTGATAAACTGTTGAATCAATTTAATGAAATGCTTTATTTATGACTATCTAATAATAATTAAATTACGGTTTTGACAATTATCTTTTGAACTAATACCTTAATTAATTCAGTGATAAGTCCACCTTTCAATACCCTGAATTAGGGCATAATGTGACTGCCCCAATTAACATTAAGTACACATACTTTTACGTATTTACTAAATACAGGCTCCCACCTTACATCTTAATTTATATCTTAGACATGAAATGTCAGTCAAAATGTAAGTGTGATTGTGAGATGCCTTTAGCAGACCTGATCATAATCAATATATGAAATTGTAACAAATTGTTCTCAAATCTAAGAAGAATGTAGGGCTTCACCTCCACCAATTGAAAGAGGCACTGATAAAGGTTTGCTTCCCTGATCAAAATCAATAAATGACTTTGGCAGCCTAAACTTCGCTTCTTTTGTCAACTGCATGATGAGCACGCCATCTCTGAAGAATTCGTCTCATCTCAGAAGACTCAGGAACTGGAAAGTCCTCATCATCTAACCCTTTATGCAACATATCTTTCTGAAATTGGCGTGTAGATTCTCTTGACCCATATTTTCTTTTTAACATCCCAATAACATCCTCCTCTTTTTGAATGCTTTTCTGCTGGGCACTCGCTGCTGATAAACTTGGATGCCCATTATTTCTGACAAATTGAGAAGTTCCTTCTTTTTTATCATCATCATCACTGTCTTCAATCTCAATGATGGTTCCAAATCTTCCACTAGCTGGGGAACAAAGAAAGATAAGTAAGGGTGCTTAATATTAGATCTGCATTGAAAAGAAGTCCAGGAAGAGCTCGGAAAATGAAGAATGCAAAATTCTGTAACCCAACGGAAATGATTGTCAATCTCTAAATTTGTCCCCTCATATGATAACTCCTTGGATTTGAAGGATAAGTACAGCAGAAGGCCATCATATTTTTAATTGAAAAAGGATTTTAATAAAGGAAATGGGGATTGGCAAGGATCAAAGTGGCTTTAACACCATGTTAAAGACCACTTCCAGTTCAAAAGCTTAAATTGTAAATAAATGCTCATGGATAGTTTTACTATTATGCTCACAAAGAGTTTTACCATCATCTCTAACAAAAATAAATGGTTGTTGCTTCAACAATTTATGGAAAGTACAGCAGCGTTGGAATTTAAGTCTTTGGAGATCTATTATTTCCTAAAAAATCAGATTATATACACAAAAGGATATGATTAAGGAAGAAACTACTCCCTTCCGTAGTGTCTTCTAGAAAACTTTCTTGGTCTATAATATAAAAGTGTCATGCAATATTATCCAATGATTTGCCATTTTTATCCGAGTCTTTCAATGAGTGCTCTCGTAAATTGAAAGAGTAACAGTAATGATGTTCATATTGTTTTAATTGATAAGGGTAAGAATGGAATGTTGGTCTATTTTTATTTTACAAATTTAACGATGTAACACTTCTCTTAAGATATGTGAGGTAGCTGGAAATATCTTCTGTTTATGACTAAAGGGAGTGCAAAATGGAGGATTATTTGCCTTGAAAGCAAACAAAAATAAAAAGTACAACAAAAATCAAAGAAAGCCCATACAGTTATTTAAGACCTCAAAAGTACCCACAAGCATGACAATCAAATCATGATCAGAACAACAAAGAGAACAAAGATTAAGAATCCCATTTCATATGAGAGTTCTGGCTTTAATTCCCCCATTCCTAATGGAAAGTTGCACTAGAAGCAGGCGCAGAGAACTAAACTAATAGATAGTGTGACCGTCGTGAGCATTTTGTTATGTGCTAAAATTAACAGAAAAGAACATATGCCCAAACAGTATTTTGGCCCTTGAAAAGGAAAAACAAATCATGTTTGCTTGGGAAATGTATACAACAAAGTGACCCTTAAAATATATATATATATATATATATTCCCCTTAATCAAACTAATACCAAAGCGTGACCCATAAAGAAAAACAAAAGGCTCTGCAGTGTTCCAAAGGAAAAAAAAAATTGTATAACGAAACAAATCTTTTGTTGCTACATGATTGCAGTAAACATTCATGGTTTCTTGGAGAGTATTCCCCTTCAAATGCGTTTGCTTGAACAAAATACGATACATGGTTAAGCAGTCTTTTTCCTAGTCACATCAAATGAAACCTTTCAAAAGAGAACTTAGAATTGAAAGCAACTTGAAGAATGATCAACAGAGAATTGAACAACCAGCTAACATGACAAGGGAAAAATGCAATGATTACTTCTCATTGAGGTAAATGATGAGTTAATTGATTACTCCAAAGCAATCCTAAAATTATCTTGATTATCTAATTTTTAAAGTCATTAAATAATCTAATTATTTATAAAGCTTCATAAATAATAGAGCACAATGGCATCGTATAATTCATATAGCCGACTCCATCCAGTGAAACAAGGTTTGTTGTTGAATCAAATTTTTTAAGCCATTCAATCAATCAATGAATAGAATCACGAAACGGTCATCAACTTCCCTTGGTCTGTATTAAGAAACATTTCCTTAGACTGGATCATAAGGTCATCTATTGCTCGCGTTACCGCACTAATTTTTTTCCAAGTACCATACAAATGCAAACTCCTTTCTCACCATAAAAGTCAAATAAGCATATCAAGAGAAGCCACATAAATGCATACCTGATACGTTCTTGCTTGGATTGCTCGAGGACTGCCCAATGCCTGCACAAGTATCACCATTTCTTTGTGAAACATTACAATCTGCATTGTTGTTTCCAGAATAACCGCCATGAAAATGGACTCCGTCAGTTTCCCTTTCCTCTTTCATATCCAAATTAACCCCAAGATCAGCTCCATAACCCTCCACATTGTTTCGTCCCTTCATCAACAATTGCGTTTCGTATTCCAACCTCAAAAGCCGTTCATTCAGCTCCACAAATTTCTCCTTCCATATCCCGAGCTCACCCTCTAACTTTCTGTTCTTAGCCCTAAGCTCTTCAACAGTCGTATCTTCGAGCCCATTCTTCTTCACGGCAGCCAACAATTTCTCGTACAGCTCTTCGCCCCTCTTCAACTTTTCACATCGTCCCTGGCATTCCTTCAACTTGCCCTCGATCTCCATCCTCCCCAACCTCTCAAACTCTAAAATCTGCCTCATTTTGTCTGCCTCGCTTTTGAGATGGGCCTCTCTAGCGACCAAAACCTGCTCGACCTGGTCAAATTGTTGTGTGCGAGTTGCAGTTCGCAGCTCAGAAATGAGGTCCGGTATGCTCATGCTGACTAGCTTTTTGTCATCGCGAAGTTCACCGGAAGCCGAGACCCAGGTTCTCTGAAGTCCATTAGGTGGCCGAAGAGCCTGATACTGTGCTCGCTTCTTCTCTGTTTCCGACGAGAAAAAGTCGAAACGTTTTTTTCAGTCTTTTAATATTATTTTTTATCTCAATTTATTTGTATCATCTTACACTGGGAGTCATACCGTTTGGATTGGGAAGAAAAGTTGAGAGGAAAGAAAATGGAAGGAGAGAAATAGAGAAAAACAGAAAAGAAAAGTAGAAACGAAATCGAGCTCTATAATCAGCAGAACTTATCAGTTCAGGTGCTAATTGATGCCCATCTGACCTGATTCTTTTGTATTCATTCTATAACCTAACTTGCTCCTCAGCTTTCATGAAGGAAAATAGAAACGAAATCGATGCTCTGAATCAAGGCTTAACAACTCGAAATGATGGCAGAAAGCAGGAAATCGAGCAGAAAAATGTTAAAGAAGAAGAACTAACCTTGAGTCGAGGAACAAGGCTGCATCGAAGAACACGCTAGAGAAGAAGACGAAGCGGCCTGAGCAGTATGCGCGAAAATGAAAATAGACGCTGTGAAGTGTGAACTGAATTGCGAGTCGAGCGCGAAAACAGATAGTAAGAGGAGGGAGGAGGGTAGAGGGGGAAAAAAATTTCCCACGCTTTTGGCGCGTGTACATTCTACCGTTCTTTTACCGAAGAAAATACTGTTGGAAACATGGAGAGCTATTAAATATAAAAAAAAATTTAATTTTTTAATCCTTTAACTTTTAACTCACTTGTAACTCAATTTTTTAACTATAATTCACTGCAACTTAATTTCTCAACTATAACTCAACTTAGTCCCTTAATTTTTGATTCATCTATAATTTAGTCTTTATTTTTAAATTTTTTTTTAAAATTTTTATCAAATAAAAGGGATAAAAAAATGCTTATATTATTTTAAAATACCCTCCTCTTACCCATTAATGTGAGTTATAAGTTAACATAAAAAAAATTAACAAAAGTTCAGAGACTGATTTGTAAGTGATTCAAAAGTTGAGAAACTGAAATCATAGGCGAGTCATAGTTGAAGGACTGAGTTACAAGTGAATTAAAAGTTGGAGAACTGAAGGATCAATTTTTTCAAAAATAAAAGGGTAAAGATACTCACAAAGTAATCAGCTACGAGCACTCGGTATTTTAAAGTGAAGAAAAATAAAAATATTCATAACGTTACATGGATGGATACAAAAGTAATCAGACTGTTAACTTTAACAATACAGTTAACTTTGACCATTAAATGCTGACTATACATGTCACACGTCAATCTTTGCTAATGTGGACTAAAAAAGAAGTAAAAATATTTACGAAGTCATAGGCCAGGGCAAAAATACCCATAATGTTACCATAATTGATGCAAAAGTAATTAATACATCCAATCCCTTAAATATTGATCGTTTAGTTGACATCTACGCATAAATTAATTGTTTTTTTTGCTAACGTAGACAAAAAATATTCCAAGATAAATTTTTACAGATATTAATCAATAATGTTACTTTAGTAGGTGCAATAGTAACCAATCCGTTAAAATCAATTTCATATGATTTCTTTTCATCATCACATATCTCATCCCCTTCCTTTCTCCTTCCCCGCTCATTTTTTTTGTCTGTAAAATCTGAGATTTAACATAGTGAGATAGATTATTCAAAATTAAAGATCAAGACTGAGCACATCTAGTTTAAGAAAACATTGTCACAACCTTAAGCTTGTATTCATGACAGATTCAAATTTTTCAGATGATTTTCATCAATGTTGTAAAGAAACAAGTAATTTAATTTGATATTAAATCAAAATGATATTTTTTTTCACATAATATTCATACAATAATCGATTAACTTTTAGAGAATTTCATTTAGAAATATTTTTATCTACATTAGTAAAAAAAAATAGTCAACTTTTATTTAGGTGTTAGCTAAATGTTAACATTTAAGAATTAGATGGATTGGTCACTTTTGTACTAATTTTGATAATGTTATGGGTATTTTTGCTCCTGGCTTACAACTTTATGAGTATTTTTGCCTCTTTTTTAGTTCACGTCAACAAAAATGACACATAGCATGCATAGTCAACATTTAGAGGTGTTAAGTCAAATTTAACGGTCTAATTACTTTTACACCCATCCATGTAATGTTATGAGTATTTTTATCTTTTTTATCAGTTTAAGATGCTCAACATCCGTAGTTGATTATTTTGTGAATATTTTTGTTCCTTTACCCTATAAAAAAACTTCTCTTGATGAGAATTTAAACTTTATTTGTAAATATTCCTTTCACTTTCCTTTATCCTCTAGAAGAGAAAAATTTATTTTCTCTCATATTTTTTTCATATTTTCTTTTTTTCAAGTTTTTTTCCATTCTAATATAGCATTAAGATTTTCTTACTTCATTAATTTAATTATAAGTTCATGATTAAAAAAATTACATTTTCTTACAGAAAAATAATAAGTTAAATGAGTTTAAATATAAAAAACATTAAATAAAAAGAATCATTTTGCAATTTTAAAATTTTTTGTAATACAAACAATGGTAAGAATATGCTATAATATATTTGAAACTAGTCACGTTTTGAAATGTATTTATATGGAGCTTGGAAACCAAAGCTATGCTGATTATTATTATTATATTATGGTTTGTAAATTGCGTAACTTATTACGGATTTTATTTTGTATATTGATAAATTGATTATTTATATTTCTTTTCTTCCCTTATTTGATTTTAATTCTAATATACTCCCTTCACTTAAAAAAATGTAAGATATTTTTAAAAAGTTGAATATTTAAAAATATAAGACATTTTTAATCTTATGAAATGTAATCATTGGCTTTTTTTTTTTTAAAATATCTCTATTGATAATAACTTTATATTTATTGTAAGGTATTTAATAAGGATAAATATGAAAAGATAAGGTTAGTTTAAAAATAAATAACTACTTTTATTGAGGGTAAAATTCAGTTAAACGGAGAGAGTATTTATTTAAATTTTGGGGAGAAAGAAATTACAAAGGTTCTTAATTGAGGTTTCATTCCTAAATTTTGGTTCTCTCGCATCATTGTCGCTCTTCATCACATGACTGCATAGTTACAAAGGTTTTATTTTCAACCATTAGTCATAACAAAAGGCATATCATAATTGAGGTTCACCAATAAAAAGGATTGATAACATAAATTGATCATGGCGGTTCAACAACAATAAGCTTATGCAGCAACATAACATTGATGAGTTTTTTGGAATTAACAGTAAATCCTGCTTTCTCTTCACTGACAAGCCAAAAGATTCTGACATGTCAAGATCTTCAGGCTTAGCATCATCAGGCAACTTCCAATCAAAATGAAAAAGAAAATTTGCTAGAGAGAGTTCAACACCAGCAATACCAAATATGATTCCTGGACATATTCTTCTTTCTGCACCAAATGGGATGAACTGAAAATCAGACCCTCTGTAATTCATTGAGCTCCCATGAAACCTTTCTGGGTAAAATCTCTCTGCTTCAACCCAATAATTTGGGTCCCTCCCAATTGCCCAAGCATTCACAATGACTTTGCTCTTGCAAGGTATTTCAAACCCATTGATCTCACATCTCTCACTACATTCTCTTGGAAGTAACAGAGGAACAGGAGCATGAAGCCTCATGGTTTCCTTGATGACAGATTTTAGGTATTTCAGTTCATCAATACTTGCTTCATCTACATACCCTTTTCCACCATACACTTTTCTTGCCTCAGATTGTGCTTTCTCCATCATCCTGGGATTTTTCACTAGTTCTGACATTGCCCAGTCTATTGTTGTGAGTGTTGTGTCACTTCCAGCACTGAAGATGTCCTGAAATTTATGATGACATTGCTAACAATCAACAGAATCACCAAGCATTGTTTAAGCACCGATTAAAACCATTGCTTTAGGAATTTATGATCAAAACTTGCTTACTTGATGTCATATCTTGTATCTTTATAATATAAAAACTAACAAGTTGCACTATTCCGTGCAATGCATAGGATCCACAGGAGTTATTATTTATATTAAAAATGTGTGATAAAATATTGACCAAAATAGTTAACTAGACAATCAATCAAACAGGATATTCACCCTTTTATCTACATACTTCTCTCCCATTTAAAAATATAAAATATTTTTAATCAAATCTCACTCTTCAATAAAATAATTACTACTTTCTAACTAACCATATCTTTTCATAGTTATCTCTATTAAACACTCTAAAATGAATATAAAGTCATTATCAATATGGGTACTTTTAAAAAAGACAATGATTACACTTGAAAGAATAAAAATGTTTATATTTTTTAACATCTAACTTTCAAAAAATGCCTTACATTTTTTAACATTCAACTTCTCAAAAAATGCCTTATATTTTTTAACGAGGGAGTATGTCATTTTTAATTGTCTAACAATAAGAGAGAATGTTCTGAAACAGCCACTCAAGTGAATAGAATTTTTTCTTTTTTTTTGGTTACAGAATTTTTGGAAATCTGGTTTTGAAAAAGTAGTTCCAAAGTAAGCAGAAACGGAAAGGAGGGCTAAAGAGGCACTTGGATCATTTTTTTTTTAGTACCAAATCAATTTTATTACTTGATTTGGAATCAAGCATGACGTTGGGTAATAGCATAGTTACCATTATGGTCGCTTTGACCTCACTGTTAGACAAGGGATGTTCAAGGTCGCTTTGCCGCTGTAGCCTCAAAAGAACATCAACAAGATCTTCTTCTCCTTCAACTTCATTTCTTCCCAAACCTTTGTTTCTGTGATCATTCACAATATTCTCAAGTATCATATCCATTCCGTTATGAACTCTCTCAAGCTTAGCCCTGAACCCAGTAAGACCTTGAAGAACTCCAATGGAAGGAAAGATATCAGCATTAGAGAACCCAGAAGCTACCTTTGTCACATCCTTCATTATTCTACTATAAGCTTCTTGATCTCCAGATTTCCCACCAAAAGCAGCCATTGAAGTCAATCCATAAGTCAATGAACTTATCTTCTCACTCAGATTGATAACCGAGCCTTCACTGTTTTTTATCTCTTGCACAAGATTTGACAGTTCCTTCTCTCTGATGGATCTGAAGGACTCGACTCTCTTTGGTGCTAGAAGCTCAGTAGTACAAATCTTCCTCATCTGTCTCCAATAAGACCCATAGGGGCTAAAAGTCATGCCTCTGGAGCCATAAGTTATGATTTGTGCAGCAAGAAGATGAGGCCTGTTTGCAAAAATTAAGTCATGTGTTTTGATGACCTCTTTGGCCATTTCTGGGAAAGAAATTACCGTGCAGGAAAGCTCACCAAGCTTGATGTGCATGAGAGGGCCATATTGGGATGCCAATTTGGCCAGGGAACGATGGGGAAGAGATCCTAGCTGGTGGATATTGCCTATTAGAGGAAGCTTCCTGGGTCCTGGAGGCAATTTGGGATTTGAGTTCTTTGATTTTGATCTGGAAAGTAGGCGGGTCGCTATGAACAACAACAACAAGAGGAAGAAACAAGTAGAGATAGCCGAGAATGAAAAAATTTCTAACTCCATGATTGCTATGGTGAGCTAGCTCACAGCACTCGGTTATTTAAATGGGTTTTGAAGACTTCAAATTGGCTGGTCCCCCAAAAAAAAAAAAAAAAACAAAGACTTCAAATTGTGATATTTCTGATCTCTGAATTGCATGATGTAATCTAAATTAGTTTTTTCAATACAACTATCCAGTATATGATGTTATTAAGTATATCGTCACATGATGGCAACTCGGCCATGTTTATCCATATATTATTACTGTATTTGTAATTGTCACCATTTTTCACTAATAATTTTAAGGACACGTGGGTGGTTGGTAAAAAAAAGGGGGGGGGGGGAACGCAAGGGTGAACTCAAAAGTTTAAGTAAAATTAAAAAAAAAAAAAAACATTCTAACCTATGCTAACTGGGCAGATGTCGCCCCGAAAAGGTGTTAATTATTTGTTAAACTTCCCTAATCTATGGGTCACTGATTCCTTCATAAAGAAAAGTCGAATGAAAGTACAATTATAGAAAAATCACAATAAGCTCCCGTGACCGTGGGCCATGGTGGTAGAGAGTCGGCTTTTTTTTTCAATAATCAAGTCCTCAAAATAATTTTAGAATATCATTTCTCATACAAACTTAGTTTCAATTTGATCTCAAGGTCCTACAAAATAATTTTAGAATTTATTCATCCTTTGCAGATTTTTTTTTTGGTAAACTGATCTTTGCAGATTTTAAATTGCTTTAGCATGTCATAGATTGAGATTTTCCCTAAATTAAGACCTGTGTCATTGACTTTGTATTTGTATACTATCATTAGCTTCATTCTTCTTCTTCTTTTTCATATATACATAGCTTCATCCTGCGGGAATTTTCCAATCAAAGTCACACAAAAATTCCAAGTGATGACATCCTAGCATTGCCACGTATATATATTAATGGAAGGCTGAGAAAGCCATGAAAGAAGAAAACAACAAAAATCATTTCCGGTCACCCAGAGGAAGGTTTCTAAGCGAAGTTTATGTAATGCAAAGATTATAGAACATTCTGAATCCGATCTGCCATGAACAACTCAGAAGACAGAAATTTGAATCGAATATAAGATAACAGACCTGAGAAAATTTATTCACGCACAGACAACAAGAAGAAAAAGAGAGGGAGACCAGAAGAAAGAGACGAGGGTGCAAACAGGATGTCAAATAGTGAACCAAAACATATAAAGGGGGAAAAAGAACCAACAGAAAAGCAATGGCTTTGAAATATTTAGTGGATCAAGAATTGGATGAGTGGGGAGGGGAGTTGCCTCCTTATTTTATCTGGGGTTTTTTTAGAGGGGAGATGGGAGATAAAATATTTATTGATTAAATTACTCCTTTTTAATTTTGAAAATCTCAAATGATCCTTAATATTAAAAAAAATATTACTAATGTAAGATGAAAGTGTTCACGTCCTTAAAATAAGAAATTAATAATTCTAATATAACTATTCTATGAATCCAATAATATTTCAAAACAAAAAATAAAAACCAGCTTAAATCTGAAAAGGATAACATTGTCAACTTATTATTAGCTTTCATCCCCTCTTAAACCAAACAAAGGTTCAATAAAATCCCCTCCCTTCCTCTCCAATCATTCCAAACAAGGGATTATTAATTCCCTGCCTTTCCGTTCCCCTTCTCATCGTTAAACCAGACTAGAGCTAGTAATTATTTGGTCCAGACTAAAAAAACTCAAACTTATAAAAAACTTATAGAGCTAAGCTTGTCCTCAATACTCTCGTGTTTCAAGCTAATTTAAGCCGGCTGAAATACTCGAATTGTCAAGTTTTTTTCATTTTTAAAAAATACATTTCTATTTTTACTTTAAAATAAATTTTTTTTATCATTATAAAAATATAAAATATACTTTTTAGAATCCTTAAAAAATGTAGAAGACTCAACTTTAAGAAAAATTTGTGGGTCTTAAAGCTTAAAAATCAATATTAAAATATATTTTAAAATTATTTTAAGATATTTATAGATTAAAAATAATAAAAATATAACAATATTACTATTTTTAATTTTTTTAAGAAATATCTATTATAATGTTCTCAAATATATGATCTCTCAAAATAAAATAAGCTAAAACTTTAAAAATTAATTAATATTTAAGATGTAAATATATTTCTTAAAAAAAAAAATTAAACTGCCATTTGGCCATTCGAGCCAAACCTGAATCCATCAAACTTGGTTTGAATTTTTCAGGAAATATGCGATTTCATTGAATCTAATCCTAAATTGTTTTGAGCTTATTCAAGTTTGGTCAATTTACTGGCTTTAGACCAAACACACACTTATTCGATTTCATCCCCTTTATCTGCCTCCCCTCTTCAGCTCCAGCTGTTTCGTTATCCCATTCTAGACACACCTTCATTTGGTCCAGCAACTGACCGGCTATTCTTGATTTTCTTCGCATTTATCTTCATATCGTTGGAATTTAATGTCTTCTCCCCCACCCCCCCCCCCCAAAAGGCAAAAAAAAAAAAAACATCTGCTAGTCCATTTCTCAATGCAGTCAAAATGTTTTGGTCGATGAATGTCATGACTCAGCCCGTAAACATTTTAGAGGTTTCAGAGGATTGTAAATGCACATCACTTTGAAGTGCAAGGAGTGGGTTAGCAATTTAGCATTCTGTTAATGTACAGAACAAGTGTGAGCATTGGCACAGTCAATGAGCCATCAGACAAGTACAACCCTGGTGTATTCGATGGCAAGTCAACTGCGTTATATGCTATAATATGGAAAGAGATTAACATAAATAACCAACCATTTGATCATTAACGGGAGACATCATGGCGGAACTGCAGAATGGTATTGCCAATTTATACTCCAGCCTCCGACAAAGAGATTCCTACATTACAGAAAGACCAATATGTTCTAATAACATGGTGTAATAATAGGTATTCATTGTGGGCAGGTTTTTACCTATCTTTGCTTCTTTTCTGCGAGTGGGCTTCTCTCTCTCTCTCTCTCTCTCTCGGGGGGGGGGGTTCTGTGAATGAATTTATCCAAAAGTAAACGGAATTGGGGAAGCGGCAACCTACAGAATTGCCACAGGAGTACTGATGAGAGCTGAAGCCAGTCCACTGACAGTAACATTTATATCAATCCTTCAAAAATGATAAAATTATAAGAATAGAGTTCCTCCCTGCAATTTATAAATCAAGCATGATTAATATTTTAAAAGCAATCGTAATTAGCCCATAGTCTACTGAAACATTATACATTCCATGCCACTAATAGTGTCACTTTCAGTTATTGGTCAAGAAAAACTATGTCACTTTTAGCCGTGTAGGCTTGTTAGGAAATCAGTTTTATCTCCAAGCAGTGAACCATTCTTTTTTGGGGGGCCCAAAAACAGTCCAAGATTTTTGAACCTGAATAAATGTTGAAGAATTACCTTTAAGGGTGGAACCATCGACCTCAATGAGTCCAAGGAAATAATTAATTTTCTCTGTTCCTCTCACAAATTGCCTGGCCAGCACATGAGAAAGGGTATTAAAGCAAGTTACTCAGAAAATAGCATTTATTTAGGTCCAAAAGAAAGACTTCTTATTCTTCCAGGACCAATAACATATTGTCATCCTGTTCTCAATTAAATCTTGTAGCATGTTGGGATTTGGCCATTTCCTTTAAGACAGCACCAACAATTGCCGCCTGCTCAAGGCAATCAGCCTTATGCAATGCATCTAAAAGAACAACACAGGTTTTGCTATTTATACGACAGCCTTTCATGCGGGTCTCTTCAAAAAGTGCATATGCATCTATTGCTTTATTGGCATTGCTTAAGCCTTCTATCATAGCATTATAACAAGCTGAATCAGGTATGCCACCACCTGCCTTAAATCTCCCAAAGAGATCATTAGCCTCATAAACATTTCCAGCCTTTGCAAGCCCTGCAATCATGTTGGTATATGTGAAGGTATTGGGCTTTAACCCCTTTTTCTGCATCTCTTGCCAGAATACAAAGGCCTTGTTAAATTTTCTAACCTTGCAAAGACCATTTATCATAATGCTGTAAGTTACGACATCTGGATCACATTTCATAACTTTAGTGGATTGAAAGCAGACAAGAGCTTCATCAATTTCCTCAGCTCTTACCAATGCATCAAGCAAGCAATTCCATGTGAATATACTAGGGGTCAGGCCTTTCTGCATTAACTCCTCCATAATTAAATATGCTTCATCAATCCTTCCCACCTTCCCAAACCCATCAATCAAGCTACTATAGATTACTATGTTAACATCAATACCTTTTGATTTTGCTTCTTCAAACAACATGTATGCTTCATCAAGCCTGTCTATCTTAGCAAGTCCATCGATGACAGAACCATAAGTCACAACAGTAGGTTGGAAACCCTTAGTCTTCATTTCCTCAAGCAGCTCATAAGCTTTATTTACCTTTCCAGCCTTGCAGAATCCATCAATAACAGCATTGTAAGCACGGGTATCCAAATGTAGTCCTCGCTCCTTCATCTCATAAAATAACTTATAAGTTTCTTTTGCAAAACCTGCTTTAACAAGACCATGAATAAAAATTGAATAGCTCCTAACATCAGGAATTAACCCTTGAGCCTTTATTTCTTCAAATAAAGCTCTCCCTTTCTCAATCTCACCAGATTTGAAAACACAGTCCATATAAGTATTTAGGAGCACCAGATCAGGAGAACAGCCACTATGGAGCATCTCTTTGTAAATTTTGTGAGCATCCTCTTTCCTATTACATTGGAAAAAATTCCTGATCAGGGAAGTATATACAACAACGTTTGGAATCCGACCAGAATCTAACATCTGCTCATACAGCTTGTAGGCATCATCCACCCTGCCATTTCTGCCCAAGCCATCAATAAGAGAACAAAACGTACCTGCATCGGGTGTGCAAACATTATGGTCCAATTCTAAGAATATGGAGCAAGCTTCATCAAGTCTTTGAGCTTTGCACAGTCGATCAATCATTATGTTTATAGTAATGATATTAGGGAACAAACCAGCTCTTTTCATCGCATCCTGAATATCCAGAACAGAATCAACTTTTCCTGCTCTGCAAAGCATGTCAACTAAAATATTGTAGGTTGTAAGATTGGGTGATGCGTCCTTTTTCATTTCTTCATAGACTCTCAATGCTTCCTCTATTTTACCCTTTTTCCCTAGGCAAGTAAGAATACAATTATATGCAATTACACTAGGAATACATCCCTTTCTCTTTTGCCTCTCAAGTAAACTGTATGCTTCATCAAACTTTCCAGCTGAACCATAACCCATAATCATGGTATTATAAGCATATACACAAGGTACACTCCTATTGAGATCCATTTGCTCAAACAACTCAACAGCTTCATCCAACCTCCCAGCCTTGCAAAGAACCCCTATCATGCTAGTATATGTCACATCATCAGGCATTAACCCATGTGCTTTCATTTCATGGAAGAATTTCCAGGCCATATCCAACTTACCACCTTTGCCAAAACAATCTATACAAACATTATAGAGAACGACATCAGCATTAACTGAGTTACTCTTCATCTCATCCAAGAAGGAAAGTGCGGCATCAACTAGGCCCTCCCTGGCAAATACACGAACAAGGGTAGTGAACAGATGTACACTTATTTCATAACCTAGTTCTTGCATCTGACGAAAAAGTCTGAGCATAAGATCAGATTCATTAGCATGAGATGCAGAGAGGGCACCGATCAGTGTTGTGTAAGCTGAAAAAGCAGGGCGAAATTTGAATTTCCTCATTGTTTCAATGATGCCAAAAGCTTCTCTCAGTTTCCGTGATTTGACAGAGGAAGCAACCAACTCCACACAAGCATCAATAGATGGTGCAAATCCAGCAATACTCATTTCTTCAAGAATCTGTTCAAAGTAGTCGAAGTTTTTGCTCCTAGCCACAACCTTGAGAAGTGAATTGTATGCTTCAGGATGATGTGCTTGTTCAGTTTTTCCCTCCACCCACCTAAAATAGTGTAATGCCTTCTTGACATCCTTTAACCTTCTCAATACCGCAACAACTATTTCTGGTTGAGACTTTTCAACAAACATGGAGAGTGCATTCTCAATAGCTGGTCCCCAAGGATCAGGCTCCAAAACCCGGCATACATCATCCACCACTTGTCTGTGACTAACCAGATTTCTAGAATAATCTTCATTGCTCCCCTCCACAGATGGAACAACTTTTCCGTACATATCGGAAGAAGAAGGCCCATTTGACGAAGATGAGAACTTCTTAAATAAGGGGTCAATTTGCCGGCACTCCAGAACATACCGAAAGTTCAATACTGCAACAATGACAACAACAACAACAACAACAACAACAAACTGAAATTAAAAAGAAAATAAAAAGTTCAAGAAAAAAATAGAATTATAAAACAAACGTATTTTATATTGCATCCATTGAACAAGGTTTTTGGTAATGAAAGCAATGATAATTCAAACAAAAACTACCTTGGCACTTCAAGTGAATCTTCATGTATGCAGACCCCAGGCAAGATGCCGATGTGTACTCCCTGGGCAGCTTGTTGAACTTTGCGTCAATTCATAGAAGAACTAACGATCCAGTCAATGAGAACACGAACACAAGCACGGTCATTCAAGCTTGACTTGGCCAAAGAAGAAATGGGGTTTCGTTGTTAAATTATATAAATATATATTCAAACTGGAGGGAAGAGGCAATGGAATCCTTTAGAGTTCAGGCAGAGGAGTTCAATAAATATCGGCAAAGGGAATTGGAGGAAGGGATTTTCTGTGTTGGGTTCAGGGGATGACAATAAGCCCTTCGTTAATTAAGATTTAAGAGCTTAATATGGATTCCCTCCGTACAAAGATATTCTTTGGGAGTCTTGTTTATAAAATACTTCTTAGAAATAATTTCTGGTCTAGATATCTTGTAATTAATAAACTAATTTTTTTAATTTTATCTTTTTTGATTAGCATAAAAATATTAAACATAATTTTATTATTATTTAAAGTTAAAGATAAAAATAAAAGTATATTTTACTTTTTAATGATATTAAAAAAATTAAATTTTTTAAATATCTATAAAACAGTTGAAAGTATCCTATAATAAAAATAGGATAAAGTATAAGATATCTTTTAAAAGTTAGATATTAAAAAATATAATATATTTTTAGTCTTTTAATATTCTTATTAAATAAATTATTTATATTTATTTTAAAAAAAATATCCTATTAAATAGAAGTAAATATAAAAAGATAAAGTTAATTTTAAAAAATGTAACTATTTTATTATGAGGAGATTCAGTAAAAAATTATATTTTTTAACAAAAGGATTAGCAATTAAGGTTTTTCTTGTTTAAAAATAAATAAATAAATATTGGTGAAAATAATTATGCTAAACAAAATTCAAATCAGAGCGTCAATCTAGAAAATAAGGGTGATCAAAACATTTTTTATCAACTGATTGAGAAATTTTTAGGAACAACGATAGTTGAATTTTAAAATATTAAATTAATAATAGTTATATTCTTGATAAAAAAATTTAAAAAAATAATAGTTATATTCTTGATAAAAAATTTAAAAAATAAGTTTCTAATATTGCTTTGGAAAAATTATAAAAAAATATTATATACAATCTGAAAGATACATATAGAATTTCAACATTTTATTTGCCATTAAATCTTATGATTTGTAATTATGTTATTCTATATTTATTTTAGGGAAATGAAAAAAATTAATTTTTATCTTAATTTAAGATAAAAAATTTGGAAATTTTGCTATTGCAAAAACTCCAAAGGAGCTTTGAGCAATAAAACACACAATGAAAGTACAAAAATTTTCATGGTGAATTTTGGCAATTAAGTTGCAGTAATTGTTGTGTTGCTATTTTAGACAAATGTTAAACTACTCCTACGTACTACTAGAAAGACCAAAATTCCACAAACTTGACACCAATCTTTTTGTTTTTAACATGAAACATGGAAATAACTTGTTTTATTCATATAATCCCGATTTTATGATTTAACGCCTATATATATTCTAAACTTTAACACACAAAAACAAAAAGAATTTGACAATAATCTTTTAGCCTTTGATATGAAACCTTGAAAGCAACTCATACGTAAATTAAAAAAATAGTTAAAATGGATTTCAATTCAAGGTTACTCTTACTTAAGTTTATAAATGAAAATTCTGTTAATCTAATTGGAGTAAAAAAAATAAGAACATTTTTTAAACATCCCACATATGTTTTATTAAATTCTGTGAAGGATTAATCCAGATTTTCTGCTGTCAGAAAACAACTTCATGAGCTGTGAGAATTAATGAAGCATAAGCCAAAAAAAAAAAAAAATTCCCTGAGAATTCTATTTTGCCAGGAAATCATTAAAAAAAAGTTAAGTAAAAATGTACCTTTGTCCTCTAAATTTAATTATATAAGATTTTAGAGTTTAATTTTTTAAATTTTATAATATCTTTTCAGTTCTCAAACTCTAACTCTTCTAGTTTTAGATGATTATATTTTATACCAATGAGTACTATTTAAAAAAATAAACTTAATATATCAATATTCAAAAATGTTTTATCAATATGTAAAAAATAAATGTAGGGACCTTAATTTTTGTTGATGACAGCAATAGTATTAAGGTTATAAGACTGAAATACTTAATGAAATTAAAAAACTAAAATGAAATCTTAGAATAAGTTAAAAGATTGAATGAACACTTGAACCAAAAATTTTAAAATGAAAAATTTGTTGATTCATTCACATACATACATACATGCGTGTGTGTGTGTATCAGCAGGCTTTTTCCGCAAACTTGTTATTGCGTATATTTCTTACCACGCACATGCACGTTATTAGCTTGCTGGCTCACGCTCCAGAGAATGCCATACTATACCTCATCATCAACACTAATCCTAACAATGCAAGTTATTAAATCAATTCTTCACAGCAACAACGTAACTAATTGCATGTTCGAACAATTGCCAAGGCAAATGCAGAATGAGGACATTGTTTCCCAAAAAACAAACACATGTCTATTGTAACTTCTTCAACATGTGTAACTAGCTAGCTAGGACTAAAAAACAATATATAAAAATATAAAAGAGAGCCATGCCATCACAAGATTGAAATAAGACATATCTTCTTGGACGCATGCAGAATTCCTTGGCATGAGCTTATCTGTCATCATCCCCATCATGTGGTTGGTCTATATATTCAATGAAAATGGTACCAGATTTAACTAACCCCATGACATTTAGGGATCACAATCAGATGGTTTTTCCTTCTCATGGTGGTGCCCAGAATTTCAGTCATATCTAGCGTTTCCGGAGTAGTCCCAGGAGGAAGCTCCCCGTCAAAACGACAGAGAAAGTGTGCAAGATTCAAGAACCAGTTCAACACTAGCCACACGAAACAACGTCCCAGGACATATCCTCTTCCCAGAACCAAACTGTAAGTACTCAAAGTTGCAAACTTTGAAATCTACGCAGCAATGCTCAAGAATCTGTCTGGCAAAAACTCTTCTGGTAAATCCTAATAATTAGGGTTTCTCGCAATGGCCCTGATGACGTTGACAAGAATTTGTGTTCCAACTGGTACATTGTATACCCATTGATCTCACAAGTCTGTGCACACTCTCTTCGGATTAGAAATGGAGCTGGAGGATGTCGTCTCAGGGTTTCCTTGGTCACTGCTTTGAGATATTTTAGGTTCTCAAGAGTTGTCTCGTCGATACATCCTTTGTTGTCAGAAACTACTTGTCTAATTTTTGCTTGTACCCTTTTCATCAATCTTTCTTAGAAGTTCTGCCATTGCCCATTATATTGTCGCCGATGTCAAGAAAAAGATATTATTATTTCAAATTAATAAAAATGCTAACGCAAGAAACAAACGCACTGAAAAACATACATAAACAAACCAATCAAATAATAACCCATGTAATGATAATCCGACCAGTCAAGTACTCAAAGGCTAATGATTAAAATCATCAAATTGTGATTAAGTCGATCTTAAACAAAATATTTTATTAAATCAATTAAAATATTGGTTCAATGATATACCAGATCAATTAGTCAAAATTGACTCCAATTTCAATAATGATTCAAGTTTATTTTAAAATTGCTCATTATTTCAATTTCTAAAATATAAGGGTGAAGGATACGTAAGAGCCTTATAAATAGATTAATAACAAATCAAGATTTTTTTAAAGATTTTAGTACTGAAACATATTTAGGAGAAGTAAGAATGTTAATCTTAATTATGAAAAGATTCGAATACATTAATATTTTTATGAAAGGCTCGTTTAATTTGACATTCGACATCTGAATAGATATTTCTCTCTCTTCCCTTATTTAAATGAAGATATTTCTTACCGTTTATAATTTAAAAAATAATAATGAAATTTTGGATTTCACTGATATTCGAAAGTTTACTTAAAATAATTACCAGCGTGACAGCTTTAACGTTGTCTAATGTAAGACCGCACGCCATCTTCCTTAAAATTCAGCAGAGCAGAGAGGAGACAATCTTCTTCGCCTCTGACAACCTTGCGTGCTGCTCCAATCCCACTGATGGTCTTCTCAAGAACTGTATCGGTCATTCGATGCATCGTCTCCAACTTATTTTTTATTCCTGTGATCACAGCCGGCCATTTCTGCGATGGAAACAAGTCGCAGATGCTTTCTGATTACTGATGACTCCTCTCAGAGATAAAGCGAAGTTTGTCTTGTGCTCTGTAGTAGTTCTCCCCAAAAGCTGCCTTTGAAGTGATGTTGAAGATGGTGGTGAAAACTTTCTCAGTCAGATTCACCAGTGACGATGATGAAGATCTTGCTTCTTCTGATAATTCTGTGATCAAATTCAATCTTGACACTTCTTTATCTCTCGGTGGTTGGGATGATCCTGCATGCTTCGCATTTACCTATATTGACAGTGAAGAGAGACAGTAAGTATTAGTAGTGAAAGCCACCCAGAGATCATCACTTCAAGCTGGAGCCGGAGCCGTGGAGGCTTCCGGTGATAGGAAGGGTCCGCCACCACGCCGGCGATCAGCCGCACCGTAGGTTCAGAGAGTTGTCCATGAAATATGGGGCGGTGATGTGGATTTAGCTGGGAGAAAAGCCGACGACTCGAGAAAAAACAGTGATGTTGCAGTAATGGAGAAGGCAACGGCGACGTCCACGTCCACGGAACTGAAAAACGAGTCCAGATCCACTGGCAAAGCAAGAAGACGATGAGGATGTTAATGTTCAGCTGCAACTTCACAGTTTATATGCTGGTAATAGCTAACTGACAATAATGCTCTTTTTTTTATTTTTAGGAAAGCTAGCTCTTGGCTTTCGTGTAGTACGATTTGCATGTGTTTCGTATATAAAAAGTAATAATGCAAATTTTTATTCTTTTAAATTTATTTTTAGTTATTAATTTAGTATTTTAAATTTTATTTATATCAATTTAATCTCTTATAATTTTTTGTTAAACTATCATATTAACCTTTTAAGTTTTAAAACATAAAAAGACTCTTAAATTAGTCTCATATGAAAAATGTATTAATAAATTGACATGTATATATAATCAAATGAAAAAACTTAATTTAATTTTTAACAGTTATTCCCTTGCATTGCATTTTGCGTTTTTTTTTTTAAAGAAATTAGAGTTCTTTTTTTTTACTACATAAATAATTACACTTATATTAATTAATCTACATTATTGTAATCAATACTTTCTTATGCATGTCAGTAAATTTTATCAGTATTATTTTATTTTTAAATATTAAGGACCTGATCAATTATTTGAAAAAATTTAAGCGGCCAAATTGATGAAAATTAAATTTATAGACCAAATTAATAATTAAGATAAATGTTAGAGAATAAAAATTTTAATATCTTTTCTATAATTATGTTCATGGTTCGTGTTGCTCGGGTTCTCTTTATTTTAGTAAAATTTAGTTAATCCATGAGAAGAAGATAGTTTACAAAAATATTTATTAAAAATTATTATTTATTGCTTACAAAATACTAACAATTAACTTATTATTCATTTTTGGATCTTCCTTTTTGTTTTAATCTAGCTTGAATTGCTTCTAATACTTTCACAGTAGGGCCCATCACTCTCCTTCTATTGTTTTCGCTTGCGTGCAATACTTATGCCTCGTATTGGTATAACGGAAGAGAGCTTTTTTTTTTTTTTTTTTGACCAGTTGATAGAAGTAGAGATGGACATGAAACTTAAAAACATGTTTGGTATGTTTATATCATCATAATATTATCTTTATTTAAAATGTATATTTATAATTTACATCAAAAAATGTGTATTTATATTGTTAAAATACAGAAATGCCCTTGCTTCAAAAACAAACCTAACCTCCACCATTGGCGGCCCCAATCCCCAGTGAAAAAATGCAAACGCAGATTAACATCCACCTTCACCATCAGAACCCATTCCAGAAATCACACCAATTAATCTTTAAATGGGAAAAATCTCCTATCGTGAATTTTTCATAGTTGCCTTCTAATTCTACAAGACTATAGTATTTTTGTTCCCTTAATCCACTATCCTTCAACGTCTTTCTCGCATTATCAGTCTCATCCCACTTCTCATCTGAAGCATATAAGTTTGATAACAAGACATATAAAGTGAAGAACTAACCGGTCGAGATCCAAGAAACCCCTTCGCGTGACTTGTTCGTCGAGGTCGGTGTTTGCCGTCGGTTGGTGCTCGCCAGAGTGAAGGATTAGATGGAGGAAGGGGTATAATGGAGACGATGAGATGAAAAGGGAAAAAGAAATTTGGGTACCATCGGGTTTGAGATGGAATATGAAATTTGGGGTGCTAGAAGCCTCTAATAATATACCGCTCTTTAATGTTTTTTTTTAATGCCTTAACTTTCTAATTTCATTTTTAAATTGTATTTAGATTCTTTGCATAAAATAAAAAAAACATTTTGATATTTTGATATTCCGATAAAGGCTTATATTTTTATGATTTTTCAAAAATAAAAAGATGTGTTTGTAATTTTTTTAAAAAATTGTAAAAAATATAAATTTTCACTTATCTGGGATGTCAAAATTTTAAAATATCTATCATTTTATGTAAAATTCATTAATTCAAAGAAAAATAAAAAATTAAATTGAGAAGTCAGAACAAAAAAATATTAAAAAATGATACATTAAAGACTCTTTTCAAAATTTGAATATCATGGAATATGAGATGAAAACCAATTCCACCTATTGTGGTAGAAATGGAATTGAAAATCATACCAAAAAAGCATTTATTTTCGATTTCATATCCATACCATTTAATTTCATTGTACCAAACAAACCCTAAATAAATGGATGCAATATAATATGATCATGTGTTTTTTTTTTTAACTGAACTAAAAATCAACTTGATATTCAGTACTTGCATAAACACATTAATACATATAACTTCATTTCAGGCCAACGGTATTAATTATCAAAATGTAACAAACTTCTCCGAGTTATATTAATTTAATTAAAACCTACATGCAGATCCCACTAAATATAGTATCGGACCAATATCTAAGCCAGTTTAATGTCAGGTTTGATTCAACTAATTGCACGATCTAAGATTACTACAAGGAGTGGGAACTAGGATGAGATGGCTTTTCTTTCTCAAGGTTGAGCCCAGAAAAACTTCATCCATGTCTAGTGTTTCTGGAGTGATCCCAGCAGGAAGATCCCAATCAAAATAACACAACAAGTTTGCCAGAAGAATCTCTGTAATGGCAGGACCAAACAACATCCCGGGGCACACTCTCTTCCCTGCACCAAATGGAGTGTACTCAAAGTCAGATCCTCTGTAATCAACAGAACTGTTTATGAATCTCTCAGGAATGAACTCTTCTGCATCAGATGAGGATGACGAAGTCCAATACTTGGGGTCTCTTGCAATGGCCCAAGCATTCACGAGAACTTGGGTTCCCTCTGGTATTGTGTAGCCATTGATCTCACATGTTTGTGTGCATTCTCTTGGAGCCAGAATAGGAGCTGGAGCGTATACTCTAATAGTTTCTTTGATCACTAACTTCAGATATTCTAGTTCTTCTAAAGCTATTTCATCAATACAACCTTTTTTATTGAAGACTTGTCTCACTTCTCCTTGTGCTTTTTTCATTATTGTTGGCTTTCTCGCCATTTCTGTCATAGCCCATTCCACCATTTTAGATGCTGGCTCAAATGCTGCTAGTATCACATCCTGTATGTTCATATATAATATAGATTGTTAAGAAATTATAATTTCCTTGCCTTCTCTTCCTCAATAACAAAATTACCAAAATAAACTATATATTTGTGTGTGTATAAAAATTTTAACCTACTCTAATTATAATTTATAACTGGACAAATGTCCATATTAAAGGATTTTTTTTAAAGAAATGAATAACATTATTGATAGACATATGTGTGCATTTTTTTATGTTGAATGATTGACTTATCAGCTATATTTTTTATTACACATGATCTCGAAATGAATAATAACACTTTTAGCCCATGACAACATTTTTTACTTTAGGCAATAGATTTGGTTGCAATAATTCTAAAAGTGTTGTTTAATGTAGATATAAGCAACATTTTTTGTGTGTTGCTATTAATGCATACTTTAAGCAATAAATATTTGGTAACATTTAAAAACTATTTTCTAAAGTAGAATAGGCAACAATTTCTAAATGTTGCAATAAAATTTTTAAATAGGCAATGTAAAAAACTGTTGCTAATTATAATGACACTTTTCTTAGAATATTTTAAAATTGTTTTCCATTTTAATAGGCAACAAACAAATGAATGTTGCTTATAAATATTCATTTTTGGCAACATTTAAAAACTGTTGCCTATTGTTTTTCTATTAATAAAAATATTTTTATTTTTTTTGATAACCTATTTATATTCTTTTATTTGTTTATTTATTTTATTTTCTTAATTTATTATTTATTAATTAAAAAAATTTTAAAATTTAATATATCAATTATCTATATATAATGTTTTGTATTATAATAACTAAAAGTTATATTGAAAGAGTGGTTAGAGTCATCTCATTGCTTCAAGTGAATTAGGGCTTGAATCCAAAGTGAAGATGAAAATATCAAATTTTGACTATTTAATATTTTCACAATAATTCTTAAGCATTGCCTATATAATAGGCAATACACACAAATCGTTGCTTATTTTAGCACCCCAAAACCATTACCTTATGTTTCACTGTAGGCAATGGTTTTATAATTTATGGCCTAAAATATGAGAAACCATTGCTTTAGATTATAGGTAACAAGCAGTGGTGGAGCCAAAACTCAAGATTAGAGAGTGCAATATATTTTTTAAAATAAATAATCATGTAAAAATTGTACATATGTATATATATGATTTATAATTTAGAAGGTCTTATATGGTAAATGTCTTATATGAATCACAATTTATTATGATTGAAGATTTGATATGTCAATTCTAGAAAATAAAAGATTTCATACATAAATTATAGAAGAATATTATTCCTTTTACAATAACAATTTTCTCTTATATTGTAAATACGCACAATGTATAAAAGTAGAACAAGTCCGTGTTGAAACCTAAAATAACAATGTTTAAATGCTGGTGGATGAAAAGAAAGAACAAGTAATTGGTGTTACTAATTTAAATAATGGTTATTTATTATTCAATATTGAGACTATTCAAGGGAGGGTGCAAATTAAAGGAGAAGTAAGGGCAAGAGATGAAGATTAATACCCACAAATACATAAGTTTCAAAATTTGAGGGGTGCATTCCCCCCGCCCTCAATTACACCTAGCTTTGCTAGTAGTAACGGGGAAAAGTTTCGTACCTAAAAGCTATTGCCTATGCCTATAAGTAATGGTTTTTTACCTATAGCAATAATTTTTGATTGTTGCCATAGAACAAAAATATTGCAGTGGCCTCTTAAATTTATTTTAATTATTGATTTGAGTCATAAAATTTACTTCTTTTCAATCAAATCCCTAAAATTTCTATTGATTTGAAAAGAAAATAATAGCATAATATTAATGACTATTTTTCTATGATTGTGAAACTTTAAAGACTTGATTGATAAATAATAAATTTAAAATATTAAATTGATAACTGAAACAAACTTGAAAGGTTTAAAGTTTCATTATTCTCCCGAGATTCATGTATTATCTCATGTTAGCAAAAAGTTAATGAAAGCAAAGCATGTGATCATAGATACAAAGGTTGTGTATCAAGACTTTAATAATCATGTAAATGCCCGACTTAAGTTTCAATATAATTTTCGTATGAAAGCAAATATGCGATGGATGGACTTATATTGGAAAATGCGAATTAATTAAAAAATAAAAATACAAAACATATTCAATTCACATGATATATAGCAGCTTCAACGTTGGTCAAATATAAAAAACACCACTCCCTCCTAATCGTTTTATAGAAAGACATGTAACTAAATTATCCAGATTAAGGGATGCATGCAATATTTTCATAATATAAGACAAATTTAACTAAATTTGAGTTTAGTAAAAAAAGAGAAGAAGAAGAAGAAGCTATATTCTTAAAATTGTTAAAAAAATATGTAACTTTTTAATTTTACTCTTTTTGCAATTAATAATCATGATAAATTGTTATCTATGAATTCAAAAAATAATAACAAATAAAGGATAGGATACTATTAAGAGAGGTTCAATGTCCCAATTATATTAGATATTTTAATAAAAATAAGATTTAATTAATAATATTTTTTAATATTATCATTTTTATTATATTCTTTTATAAATGGAGTAGTATTAAATGAATTTGATAGTTTATATTTTTGTTTTAAAAAATAAAATTGTAAAGTATATTTAATAAATTTTATTAATATCTATAATCTTGTCTATTAATTTGGGACGAATGGAATATTAAAAACTGAAAGGAGTACTTAAGATTAATCAATATATTTTAGATTTATTTTATTTTATCTAAAAATATCCATATCGATTATTTGACATGGTCACCGTGTGGGCAATAAATGAGAGTATTGTATCCCTAAATGAAGGTAAAAAAAAAAGATTTTATTTTTAAATAAATGCATAGGATTTCAGAAAATAAATGAATTAATGCATAAAATGATAAGTTATTAGTTTTTTAATACTCTCTTTAATTCTATTTATAGAGTAAAAAAATAAAAAAATTTATCTTATTTATAAGTCACATTATTAAATTTTTATTACAAATTTTTTTATCTTTCATTAAATGTTATAGGAAAAAATGTATTATTAAAATATGAATATTTAATAAAAATAAAATTAAAAATTTATTTAATTTTAAAACAGAATTAATAAATTTTAAAATTTTTTTATATTAATAACATATATTAAAAATAATTTATAAATAGAATAAGAGGATTGTATTTTAGTTATTTGTCATGAACGCGTTTAGAGGTAGAGGCATTGACCCTGAAACAAAAAATCAGAGGATGAGACGGTACCACTTACCAAGATGACGGCTTTAACGTTGTCTATGGTCAAATCACCATGACGCTTCAAATTCAGCAGAACAGTGAGTAAACATTCTTCTGATCCAATTTCACCGCCGACATGATTGGCGATGATGTTTTCCAGAACCACATCGACTTTCCGACGCAGCTCCTCATGCTTCCGTCTTGCACCGGTGGCCACCTGCAGCCACTTCCGGGAAGGAAACAGATCGGAGATATCTTGCGGCAAGGAGAGAACCGCAGTACAGGCCCACATAATTGCTTCTTCCTGGGAGCCGCCGTGCATCTCGCCGAAGGCCGCCCTCGAAGCAATCCTGCACGCCGTCGCAAATATTCTCTCACTGAGATTCACAGCAGAACCAGCTTCTTCCGATAAGCGTTTCATCAGACTTGACACTTCCTCTTGCCTCAGTGATTGGAATGATCTCACACGCGTCGCGTTTAACTGTCAGGCACAAAAGATCAGACATGTAAAGAGGATGAAAATAGAGGTTGGGCTTAGAGGGTTAGGATTGAAGGCTTTAGATTAAGCTTTGGGTTTGAAAAATTTCAGTTTTTTCAAAAAAATTGGCAGGCCCAAGCCCTTCAAACAAGAGTCAAATTTCAAAAACCCAACAGCTTTTATTCTTACATTTTTCAAATTTTAGATTTGATTTTTTTTATCATATCAAAATATTTCTTACAATTTAAGGATGTGTTTGGTTTAAAAAAAAGAGAGAAATTTTAATGGAAGAAGAGTTTTAATATTATTTTATTTGATTCAGAAGCGAATGAAAGAAAAAATAATTATATATAGATAACTTTATCTTTATATTATTAAAATTATTTTTCTCATAAAATATAGTTATGAATGTTTTAAACATATAATTATAAATATATAAAGTAATTATCATTTTTAAATATATTATTAAAAATTTTTCATTGTTAAATTTGTTTAAAAAGATAAAAAAGTAGCAATTAAAAGGAGAGGCATATATTAATCATTGTATAACAAAATCATATCCTCCCCTTCCCTCTTCTCCAACAAAACATTGCCTAAGTTATTGGATAAGACATTCATTGAATGTTATGTGTCATGTGAGACATTTTGTGTATTTGCTATCATTCACCAATCTAAATCCAGTTAAGTTAGGAATAATAAATTTTTAGTCCTACGAGTTGTTTTCAATTATCAATTTGATTTGATCTTTTAAATTAAATTTTAAAAATTTAGTCCTTTATATTTCTTTTAATTATCAATTTAATCCTTATATTAATTAAATAAGAGGTAGCATTGTTAAGTTTTTTTGACATGATCAAAATGAAATGTTGATAATAACCTTGTAGATTAATGAAAAAATGTAATTATTTTGGTATGAAAAAAACAAACTCAAAAATTTAAAAAAAAATAAAAAAATGCATAATGTAAGAGATTATATTGATAAAAATTAAATTAATTTAAAAGATAATTTATTTACATTTAGTTATATATACATGTGAGAAGTAATAAATATACTCCACACATTAGATGATATAGTCGATTGTGTTTTAAAATTTAAAGGAATGACACCATGGTTTAAGAACACATATGGAATCATATTAATAAAAATTCAACTTAAAGGATTAAATGAACACATGACAAAGATAACGAACTTAAAAGTTTCATTATCCCATCAATATAATTATATTTATTTTGAACCGATAATGTAAAAAAAAAATTGTGTATATATATATATATATATAATTACCAGATGCTGAGATAAAATCTTTCTGAGGAGTTTCCAGTAATCTCCAGTGGGGGACAAGACGATGCTACTGGGACCATAAAGAACAATATCAGTACCAGGAAGAAATGGCCGTTGCCCAAATATATGATCCTTCGTTTTCATAACTTCTTTAGCTGTTTCTGCAGATGACACCACCACCATTGAGATTTCTCCCAGCTGAAGGTGCATTAACGGCCCATGTTTCTCCGACAATTCTCTTAATCGCCGGTGGAGTAGGGGACCGGCGCCACCGACGTGGTGGGCGCTTCCGATGATCGGAAGCCTCCATGGCCCTGGTGGTAGCTTTTGTTTTTTGCTTCTGAAGCTTCTTCTAATTACCGGTTTCAGACAAGTTACAAGGAACAAGATCGAACTGAGAAGCAAGAGCAAGGAAAAGAAGAAGAAGGCGAGATCCATCTATCGTCAAAAATACAGAGTGATGGGTCAAGACGGCACATCACCGATAATATATGCATTCTTGATTCTTGATGACTACGTTTAGTTTATACTTTTATATATTTTGCTTTTGTCTCTGCTTTCTTGTCCGTACGTTTTTTACATTGTTGTGCCATTTCATCTTCACTCAATATACATACATACATACATACATATATATATATATATTAAGGTGAAGGATATTTTTGCCTTTCAATTTCACCTAAATATTATTGGGTACTATAAACCTAATTATAAGTTAATACTGTTCCTAAACATTAAATATCACATCTTTTAATATTTTGTATTATAAAATATTTGATTTAGTATTATTTTTGCTTCTTAACTTTATCTTAAAATTAAACTAAAGTTTAATGGACACTCTGAATTCAAACATTATACAATAAAAAAATTAATAAATGCAGTGTGAAATTCACTAACAGTGAAATAATAGTAAGTTAATATTAAGATGATGAGAGATGAAATATTTTAATGTTAAGAAACAAAATTGACTGATAATTACATCTAGAGTGTCTAATGACCCTTCCGACAAGGTTAAAAGAAAAAATTACCCTTAATCCCTTTTTTTTTTAATTAAACCATGAATGCAAGAATATGACATAGTTGTGTGTGTGTGTTTCCTGTTTCACTTACGCTACTGTACGCGGAAAATTAGCTTGTCATCACCACAATATTTATGTATAAACAAACAATATAATCTGTTTTATCTTAGACTCTATGTAGTAACTAGTAATTCACTGGCTAATGGGCCAAGTTAAACTGAATAAGATCTGAGAAAATCATATTTAAAATTGATCATTTAATTTTTCTATAAATTACTAGTCATGCATGTGACTTCTGATCGTGAATTATTCGGGACTTTTTTAAGATTTATTGCTATTATTTGTTTTTTTAGTTATATTTAATGTATCCAAAAATTACGCGGGCCACTTTAAATCATTTTATATTTCTTACTGCTTTATTCTCTAACTCTCAACATTAAAATGAAAGCTTGTCCCTTAAATCATAAAAAGCTTTAGAATTATCACAATTAAATTTTAGGTTTATTAATATTTAAAAACTGTTCGCTCATGACTAAAATCATTTTTTTAAAATAATTTAAGCTTTTAAAATTCTTCAATATATAAGTTTTATCATTTTCTATGTCTGAATATATAATTTTGGATTTCAAAATATTAAATTAATGACAATTAAGTATGACAAATTTAAAGAAAAAACAAGTTAAAAATGTTGATCTAAATATTACAAATCTAGGAATTTTAATTGCAGATAAATATTTAAGTATCAAGTGTAACTCTTATCTTATAGCAGTAATTTTATTTGTAACTGTTTTAAATTGATATTTATAATTTATTTTTAAATTTTTTTTATCAATAGCCTAATTATTATTAATTTAATCTTTTAAAATTTTATTGTCATTCTCCCTATATTTTTCCCTAGAGTTGAGAGTTCGCTTTCGGATGTCATTTTTAATTACTTTCGTTTTTCGTTTTTCTTTCTTTTCAGGCCGGGTTTGAAGCTAACTTCAAATATGCATATATAACTATAAATAGCTGGTTGTGGTGATAAAGTTTGTCTCTGAAGATGGAAACAAAGAGTAACTTTCAGTTTATTTGTCAATCAATTAGTGGATCTGAACTTAATTAATACTTTAATCACTAGTGGGGACACAATTTTCTTAAAAATGGAATCAATTCCTTGCCGGCCTAAGATAATTGATTTTTTAATTAAAGTTCACATTTTCAGGGTGATCTATTTGAAGACTTTTTGATTACGACCCATACCACATTATTTTCATAACAATCTGTATTTTTTAGTTATAATATACACCCCCTCCGTCCCTATATAGGATATTTTTAAAAAAATTTATTTTGTCCTTTAATATAAAGTGTGCCATGATATTTTTAAGTAATCAGATAATTTTACATTTGTCTTGAAAAAAAGAAGAGATATTAATTGTGGGCCCATGATAATAATTGACATTATTAGAATTAAAATTAAAAAATTATTGTGATTTAATGAGATTTCAACTAAATGACAATTTTTTATTGATATATATATACGTGATTTAATTAAAAATATTTTATATATGATAATAAAAGGAGTGTATATATATATATTTAGATTAAAGTGTAGTTTTCATACTCACTAACAATGTTTGAACTTTGTTAGAAGTTTCTATATAAATCTCATAATATTTCTTTTATCTCAATTTATGAGACACTTTTAGATAAGATCACACATGTCAATAAAGTTTATCAAATATACTTTACAATTTTACTTCTTTAAAACAAAAATATATATGCTTTAAAAAATGCCCTTAATTTAATAAGCTATTTATGAAGGAAGATTAAAAAATATATATATGTGAAAGGTAATATTAAAAAAATATCATTAATAAAATTTTATTTTTATCAAAATATCTTATTCTCAAATTTCCTTGTACTATTTTGATTCTTAATTTGAGCATAAAAGCTTATGCTATGTCTTGATGAGTTATCAAAATCCAGCTGTTTGCTTCAACCTTCGAAGTGCCATTAAAAAATTAAATAAATCTCAATCATAGCCATGTGTAATAAAACTAACCAGCTTCCGCAATCTGCTACTTAGGATATATAATTTCATTTTGAACCATTGATATTAATACACCATCGTCAAAGTAAATATTACATATACGCATTTATTTCACAAGATTTGTATAGCCATCCATAACTATACAACCTAACTTATTCTCAAGCTCTTTCCAAAGGTCATTCATCAACTACTTGCACACAAGATTAATTACGATGAGGAATAGGAATTAGGATGAGATTATCTTTCTTTCTCACAGTTGAGCCCATAAGTTCAGTCATGTCTAGGGTTTTTGGAGTGGTTCCAGAGGGAAGATCCCAATCAAAATAACACAACAAGTTTGCCAGAAGAATCTCTCCAACAACAGGACCAAATAACATCCCAGGACACACTCTCTTCCCTGCACCAAATGGAATGTACTCAAAGTTGGACCCTCTGTAATCAACACAACTATTCATGAATCTTTCAGGAACAAACTCTTCAGCATCAGACAATGAAGATGATGAATTCCAATACTTGGAATCTCTCCCAATGGCCCAAACATTTACAAGCACTTGGGTTCCCTTTGGTATTGTGAAGCCACTGATCTCACATGTCTTTGTGCATTCTCTGGGAGCCAGAAGAGGAGCTGGAGGATGGAGTCTTAAAGTCTCTTTGATCACTCCTTTGAGGTATTCCAGTTCTTCAATACTTGTTTCATCAATATATCCCTTGGTCTTGAAGACTTGTCTCACTTCTTCTTGTGCTCTCTTCATTATTGTCGGTTTTCTCACCATCTCTGCCATGGCCCATTCTACTAGTCTTGATGCTGGTTCGAATGCTCCTAGTATCACATCCTACATGTACATTATATAGCATAAATAATATTAATTGGACTTGTTATTAGTAAAACACTCCCTTCATGAAAAAATATGAGACATTTTTTTAAAGTGAGATGTTAAAAATGCTTTATAATTTTAAATTAAACAAGTATATATATGTGTGTGCGCGCGCACGCATTTATAATATACTATTTCCAATCTTTAATATAAGATAAAATTAACCAACTTCGCATTTATTAAAATATAGTAGTTATATACTTAAAATTATTTAAAAAATACGTAACTTTCTAATTTTACTCTTATTTGTAATTAATAATTCACGTAAATCATTGTCTATGAACTCAAATAATAATATATAAAAAGGGGTATACTTGAAAAAATATATCAATTACTCTAACTTTATCTTATGCCAATAATATTAGGGGGGAAAATCCCACTAACCAAGATGACGGCTTTAACATTGTCGATGGTCAAATCACCGCGACGTTCCAAATTCAAGAGAACAGTGAGTAAACAGTCTTTTTCTTCTTCTCCGCCTTGTCCTCCTGCAGCACCATCGTGATCGGCGATGATGTTTTCAAGAACCACATCCATTTTCTGACGAAGTTCCTCATACCTGCGTCTGGCTCCGGTGACCACCTGAAGCCACTTTTGTGAAGGAAACAGATCGGAGATACCATGTGACAATGAAGTAATCGCATCACAAAGCCACATCATTGCTTCTTCTTCTCGGCCATTGTCGTGCTTAATATTATTCTCGCCGAAAGCTGACCTTGAAGCAATCCTACAAGCCGTTGCAAAAATCTTCTGAGTGAGGTTCACAGGAGACCCAGCTTCTGCATATAAACATCTCATCAAACTTGACGCTTCCTCTTCCCTCACTGATTGGAATGATCTTACACGCGTCGCGTTTAACTGTGCGGAATAACACGCAGCACACATATTTTTGTAAGTGAAAAGTTCGTATAAATCTCGTGAAAATTAATTACTTATAAGTCCCAACCACTTATAAATACTAAAATTTTAAAATTTTACTTGTAAATAAGCTGACAAAATAATTAACTTTTTATTCAGGACTTGACTGTAATTTTTCTTATTTGTAAAACTCTAAAACTAAATATTTATATTCATTTCTTTGTGTGACCTACTCTCTCTTGTCTTTGACATAGGTGAAGTTTGAAAGCATTTTTTTATTCTTAATAAAAGGCAAAGTTAGAATAATTAATATTTTTTTATAATTTCAAAATTATAACTAATATTTCTTAATAAACATGAAAGTTTTAGCTCTCCAGAAAGAGTCTAACTTCATAGTTAGCCCTTGAGAAAATTTACTTTTAGTTTATAATTAAGTTGACCGAAAAAGAAAGGAGGTCATGAACATGTGAGCTTATATTTTGAAATAATATAAATATAAATGGAAAGAATCAATCTATTATAAGGAACCGATCAGGTACGCAATTCTATTTCGTTCCTTGAATAAAATTATTTTATCTCTTCTTTGGTCAAAGAAAGTTATTTTGCTTTTGTCTTTCACCTTTTGTTATATATTTTTGTCACTTCAAATACATATTAAGTTTGAAAGATTAAAATCGCACACATATAATATATGAAATTTATATACAGACAAGAAACTAATCTAAAAAATCTCTCAAATTCTAATGTTTTTAATAAGCCATTTCCTCTTTATTTTCTTCACATAATTCTAACTTCAACATTAATTCACACGTTTTGGGTGGAGCGCACGATAAGAGAGAAATCGTAAAAAGAAAGTAATCCTAACAGATCACTCATCAGATTCAATATCAAATATTTTTTTGGTAATCTGCAATAATATAATTTTAAGTTATTCTAGGATAACGCACTTGATTTAGTAATCTCGATATTTTAAAACTTGATTCCATGCTTATGCTAATTCAAAAGCAAAGGCAAACTCAAATAAAAAGCAATTAACTGAGTTGGTTCCCAGCATCCACCCCCAATCCAGTCCCTCCTTGCTCATATATAGCTTTCTCACCTTTGAAACTCAAATCTCAATGGTTGAGATTTAATATATAAAATTATGATTATTATAATATTAATATAAGAAACTAAATCTCAACTACGAAGTTATGAGATTCAAGGATGAGAATGATAAGAGGAGGGAAGTCAACTAGTCCTTCAAATATTATATATTTGTATATAAACATAACAAAGTTAAAATTAACAAAAATGTCAAAGGCATTTCGAAGCATCTATAAAGCTACTATTGATAATAATGGTCTCACATAGCAAGGATTTGGATTAGTCTAATTGGGCAGTGATAATACCTAGGCTTGTCAAAAAAAAAATATTAAAATGAATTACCAGTTGGTGAGAGCAAATCTTTCTGATGAGCTTCCAGTAATCTCCAGTAGGGGACATGACGATGTTACTGGGACCGTAAAACAAAACATCAGAAATTGAAAGAAGAGGCCTCTGACCGAATATATGATCCTTCGTTTTCAACACTTGTTTTGCGGTTTCTGCAGAAGAAACCACCACCGTTGACATCCCTCCCATCTGCAGGTGAATCAACGGCCCGTATTTCTCCGACAGTTCCCTCATTCGACGGTGCGGCAGCGAGCCCCCCAGGTGGTGGACGCTCCCTATGATCGGAAGCCTCCATGGCCCTGGTGGCAGCTTTACCACTTTTCTGCCACGAACTATGCTTCTGAAGCTCCTTATAACCAGTTTTAGAATAGTTATGAAGAACAAGATAGAACAGAGAAGGAAGGGCAAGGAGAAGAAGTTGTGGCTCATCGCATCACTGCCAAATTATACTGATCAGCGAGGGGTCAAGACATGGCTGATGCGCGTGCTACGTATGTATATATGCATATTTTCTTAATGAATCCGTAATTACTTTATTATTTTATTCTGTTTTTTTTTTTTATTTATTCTTCACACAATTATTGCTGTTTTACTTCCGTGCAAGGAACGTGTATGGATATATAATATTCAATACTGTTGAATATAAATTGAAATAAATTTTATATGCCATTCTTCACACAATGAAATGATTTTTTTTTTGTTTTTATATTCAAAATTGTGTCCTTATAAAATTAAGACACATTTCTGTAAAGGGTCATGCAGGAAACTAAAAATCACTAAGCTTCTGTTTGATTATTAGAATGAAATGAAGTGAAATAAATTAAAAAAATAAAAATAAAAATAAATTAAATCATCATTTTTTTATGAGAAGCATGATAAAACTCATTAATATATATTACAAATGTGAAAATCTCAATACCCTTAAAAAATTTTATGAATCATGATTCCTAATTCTTAATCTCATAGACTAAATTATCTCTTTTTTTTATGAATGTGTTCATCTATCTTATTTAATCCTCTTATTTTACCTTTATTTTTATCAATCCATTTCTTTTCATTCTTTTTTAATAAGCAAACGGAAGCTAAGATGGTGTCTATAAAACCAAAGTGTGAGTAACTACACTTGATTAAAGGAAGTGTTAGTCTAATGACACTTTACATATTAAAAATATGTTACTTTTTATGAAAAAAAATATTTTAAAAAGCCATTAGCTATTAAAAGTTAGTTTAGTTCATGAAATGATATAGGATTAATTATAATTTTTTCAATCGAAGAAAAAAAAACTCTCAGTATTATATCCAATAATTACAAGAGACCTTTTAAATAATTTTTATACTTCTTACTACTTTATTTTTTGCCAAAAATTCTTACTGCTTTACTTTCCATCTCTCATGCATCATTTTAAAATACAACCTAATCCATTAACTTATAAAGGGCTTTAGAATGATTACTATTAAATTTATTTTGATATTAAAAAAACTGTTCGCTCATGAAAAAAATAATATTTTTCATAATTTGAGCTTTTAAAATTCATCAATATATAAATACCATCATGTTTGTATGCTTGAATATACTTTTCCATTGAGATTTTATTTTTTATTTCTTCTTTTCACTTTCTAGGAATTATTGAAGCTAATTAATTTAAAATGCGCGCGCGCGCGCACACACACATAGCTGGTTTTTGTAGAGTTTTGCGGAGACTGACAGGAACTTAATTGATATTTTAATCACCAGTAGCACATAAAATTTAACTTTGATTAATCAAATTAATCCGAAGACTTCAACTCTTACGCTGGCGGCTAAAATTTGATTAAAGCTCACACTTTTTAGGAGTATTATTTTTTTAATAATGTGTATATTTGTGGTTGACGTTTGGTGGCTAAACTTTTTTTTTTAAAAAATTATCCTGAAACTTTCAAAAAGAAATAATTTCATGAGATCAATGCTCATTCTAGAGATGAGTACATAGTCCAAATTTGAACTGTACAGAGAGCATCTAAATAATTAATATATATTAATTAAAAAAATTTAATATTAAATTAAATCATTAAAATAAAAATTTTTATTTTAATAAATATAATATAATATAATATTTTAAATGTGAATCATTCAAATTAAAATTTAAATAATCCAGATCTCACCTCAAAAATGGTACACCATCTTTGGGATGAGTAGGAACCCAGTTCCATAATTTCACCTGATCACCGTAAACTCTGACTAACACTTTACTGTTAAATGTGATTTTGACCAAAAAAAAAAAATTGATGTGGCATGCTGACTGGACTTTTCTCACCCTCTTCTTTCCCTCGTGAGTCCACTCTTTCTGGCGCGTCGTAGTACGACACGGTCTTCTTCTTCCTCCTCCAAAGCTATTCTTCTCCGTCTGGTATGATTATGAATGCTTTATGTTGAGAAAGGCTATGGTATGATTATCGATTGCATATCATCATAAGGAAATGAATCCTTTGCAGCTATTTTTTTTTTTTTTTGCAGACTTCTATTCAGCCAAATTAAAGCACTCTGTACAAAAATGTGGCTGCAGAGAATCCTCTCCCAGGCAAATAATTCAGATTTGTGCAAAACCAAGGCTGGAACTTGCAAGCTAAGACTTCTTAAAATGGAGTCGTCAATGTTCGACACAGAGGCTTCTTCAGCTTTTGTTTGCTCGTTGCAGGAGCTTCGTCCATCTACAACACCAAACCAAAATCATAATAATAATAATAATAATACTTTGATCATCACACACACAGACACACCCACGAATTTGTACAGAACATACGATATATATAGAGCCTACCTGTTGTAGCTGTTCTGTGAGAGTCTCATGCTCTTCCTTTAGAGAGCGCGTTTTTGCTCCAACTCATTCGTGTAAACCTCTAGAGAGAAAGAAGGTCAGGGAAGTAAAAATAAAAAGCAAGAGCAAATGGAAAGAAGAAGAAATATTTTCCTGCTTGCGAGCCCAAGATCGTGCAGCGGATTCGCTGTTCTTGATCGTACGCTTGCTTCGCCTGTCACCGTCAGATTCGAAGAGCCTCTTGTGGGTGGAGCAGGGACAAAGCGAAGCAAAGGAAGCAAAGCTGGGATTAGCAAGAAGACGAGTCAATGCGAAAGGGCTGGGCGAGGAATTCATGGAACTTGGAGGCTGAAGATGAAGGACGACGAGGGCACCGACAAGCTTCCGAAGAGTGAGACCGGCGAGAGTTTTTTGTTTTTTTGTTTTTTTTTGGGGCGGAGTTGGGGGAGGGGAGAAGAGGGTGAGAGAGGTCCATTCAGCATGCCACGTCATTTTTTTGGGTCAAAATCACATTTAACAGTGAACTATTAGTCAGACAACAAAATTGTTTCATTTTTTAAAATTTCAAAAGAATTGCTTCGAAAAAAATTCAAGATACTTTAAAAAAAGAGATATTTTTGCCCTTTAATCCTATATATATTAGTGTTAACATGAAAATTTTAAGATAAAATTACTCCAAAAAAATTCAAAATACTAGTCTTCCCTTGAGAAAAAATTTCAAAACATTTTTGACTTTTAATCCTATATATATTAGTGTTAAGTTGTAAAAGCCAACTCTTGATCTCACAAGGGACTTGAATATGATTAATTTTTAAAAGCTATAGTTTACTATTTCATTTCAGGTGCACTTAAAACCTAATAGAGTTAGCTTCTCTCCTCTTATTCTTCTATCTTTTCCACCATTAAGTTTCAACTACAATGGTTGAAATTTAATATATTATAAAATTATTATAATGTCATAGTAATACTATTACAATAAAATTTTTTTAAAATATATAAATAATAATTTAATCTTTAAAAATGTTATAATTTTTTTAAAGTCTCTAAGGACTTTTCTACTAGTAATGAATTCATATAAATTATTAAATTATCCTTATTGAAAATAAATAATTTATAAATTTTATTTAAATATTTATAATTTTTTTTATATTCGTAACAATGCTATTTTTCAAGACTTGTTAAGGTCGAGCTTCAAAACTCAATTTTTTTAAAAATGCTATTTTTTCAAATTCAAACCCTCATAAAAATAAATTTAAATGAAGAGTCCATCAACCTCAATTCTTAATCCCTACTTTAGTTTAGAGGAAGAGAGCAAAGTCAGCACCTACCAAGATGACGGCTTTAACGTTGTCTATGGTCAAATTACGATAACATTGCAAATTCAAAATAACAAGAGAGTAAGCATTCTTCTCCTCCAATTTCATTTTCAACATTAAAAATAAATAAAACCTTGTCCATTGAATCATAAACACACTATGGCATGGATTCCATTTCCTATTTTGCAGGAATCGGGCATTTTTGAGAATAGCATTTATAGCATGCCAAACACACTATCGCGTGGATTCCATTTTGGACTTCCTTTCCGTCTTATTGATTCCAAACTACCAAACAGACCATTAGAGTTATCACAATTAAATTTTAGGTTTATTATTAAAATAACTGTTCGCTCACGACAAAAATCATATGTTAATAATTGAAGCAAATTCTTCAATTATAAGTTTTAATGTTTTATAATGTTTCTATGGTTCAATATAAGTTTCCCTTGAGAGAGTTGAGGTTTCGTTTTCGGATGCATCATTTTTAATTACTTTTATTTTTCATGTTTTTAGGATTTGAAGCTAACTTTAAATATGCATGTGGCTGGTTGTGGTGATACAGTTTGCCTCTGAAGATGGGAACAATGAGTAACTTTCAGTTTATTTAATTTGTTAATTAATTAGTGGATAGGATTAACTTGATTAATTCCTTAATAACTAGTGGAGACACAATTTTCTTAAAAATCGAATCAATAACTTCCTTGCCGGCCTAAAATAATTGATGAAAGTTTACATTTTCAAGTGATCTATGTGAAGACTTTCTGATTATGGCTAGAAAATGAAAATTAATTCTAGTTTTATTTATAGAGCACTTCAATATTTTTATATTTATTTTTATATTTTTGCCTTATTAAATGCTAGAAAAAATTATTAAAAATAATTTTTTGTCCTCATTTAGGAGTAAAGATGAAAACTTATTAAATTTTAAAATATAACTAATAAAGTTTAAGGTTTTCATTTATCCCGATGAAATATATTGAAAATAATTTATAAATAGGACCAGTAAGAGTATAGTATTACTCTCTTCATTTTAAATTATAAGACACTTTTAAATAAAATTTTACATATCAATAAACCTTATTAAATATACTTAACAACCTTATCTTTTCAAAAAAAAAAATACAAACTTTTAAAAATATCTATAATTTAATATATTGAAAAGAGAAGAGATGGAAATTAATTATAGAGAAAGAAAAAGTAATATTAAAATTGAAAAATTTAATAAAATCTCAATTTACCAAAAGTTTCTTACATTTTAAAATGGAGAAACGCTTTCAAAAATACCCTATAATTTGAAATAGAAGGAGTATTATTTTTGTAACAATTTGTAATTATATTGAAATATAATTCCACATCAGTACAAAAGTTAATGATGTTAATCACATGACCAACATATTTAATATCGTTGGTGCTTGCACATCATTATTCTTTTGGATATATTAAAAAAAAAGATTAATGAGCACACAGGATAAACCTAGAGTGGTTTGAAACAATGAAAAAAATTATAGGGACATATACCAAAACACATTAAAATTATAGCAACTAATAATTGTATTTTGTCATATATATATATATATATATATAAACAAAATTAAAATTAATTACCAACTGGTGAGAGCAAACCTTTGTGATGAGCTTCCAGTAATCTCCAGTACGGGACAAGATGGTGTCCATGGGACCGTAAAACGAAACATTAGAAATAGCAAAAAGAGGCCTTTGACCAAATATATGATCCTTCGTTTTTCAAGTTTCAACACTTGTTTCGTAGTTTCTGTAGAATAAACCACCACCGTTGACATCCCTCCCATCTACAAGTGCATCAACGGCCCGTATTTCTCCGACAATTCCCTCATTCGACGGTGCGGCAGCGAGCCCCCCAGGAGATGGACGCTTCCTATGATCGGAAGCCTCCATGGCCCCGGCAGCATTGCTTCTTTTCTACCATGAACACTGCTTCTGAAGCTCCTTATGACCAGCTTCAGAATAGTTATGAAGAACAATAGAAGGAAGCCCAAGGAGAAGAAGTTGAGACTCATCATTGCCAAATTATACTGATCTATACTGATCAACGAGGGGTCCAGACATGAATGATATTATATATACACATATGATCTTACAGCCTGTTTGGATTGCATAGACAATTGATTTTTTCAGCCATATAATCGATTTTAACAAAAATTACCCAATCAGCCAAAAAAAATGTAATAATTAATTATTGAGCCAGAATTATTATTTGAAATAAGCTCTGAAAGATTGCTTATAGGTTCAGTTTTATAGTTAAATAATATATTTTGCTTCTTAAATAAATTTTAATAAATTTAATGATATTAAATACAATTTTATCAGTAATTTAATTTTAAAAAAGTACTATTTTTTATGATAATTTATACAACTAAAATTAATTTTAAAAAAATAGTATTTAAATAGATTGTGTTATAACATAATTAATTATAATTAAAAGTAATTTTATTAATTAATTATTTTTATAATCAAGTATATCCAATTGAAATTCAAACGGGCCCTTAATCAGCTTGTTTACTTTATTTTATTATTCTATTTTTGTTTGATTTATTCTTCACACAATGATTGTGCCTGGATAATACTCCCTCTAATCCAAAATATAAATATTTTTCTTTAATTAATCTTAATTCAAAATATAAGTAACTCCATTACCTATTATATTTATTGACCTAAACCTTTATTTAAAGTTATCTTTCACTCCTCATGAAGTACATTGATAATTGAGAGTAAGAGTAAAAAAGTAAAATAATATTTTTTTTTGCGAGAATGAAAACTTTTTTAATATATGTTTTTTTTTAAAAAAAATGATTATATTTTAGAGCGAATAGGGAGTATTATTCAATACTGTTGCTTCCATCTTAAGTTATGACTTATGAGCTAATCTTTTGGATTTAGTCAAATAATACAGCCTATCACCTCTTCTCATCAACTCCTACGCTGGCAGCTAAAATTGATTAAAGCTCTCATTTTTAAGGTGATCTATGCGAAGACTTTCTAATTAAGGCATATTATTTCGGTAATAATCTGTATATTCGTGGCTAACACAGACACACACACATATGCGGAAGAGACATTTAATAGACCATATATCAATTAAATCAAGCAAAAGAGTAACATGTGGAATGAACTTTTAATTTCCTGTCAAAATCCCTCATGTGTGGAGAGAGAGTTTGGGAAGAAAATAATATGAGTCCCACACATATAATATTTTCCCTCAATTTTTCTCTCTCTTACTTTTCTCTCCTTATCTAAATAAGAGAAAAATATTTTTTTTAATTTTCTCTCGTAGTTTTTTTATCTTTACATGTTTTATTTCCATCCAAATAGAGTATCAGTCTTGATGAGTTATTGGGATTGAACTCACTTTAATTTTCAAATGTGTAAATAAAAAATCAATAAATTTTAAATTGAAGATTTCATCATCGTCAAAATATATAATATGGACAAATTTCTTGTATGAAATATTAAAGCAAACACTTCATTACAAATGTACATGTGGCACAAGATGTGCATAAATTAATTTTAAAAATCCGATAAAAGCATGAGTTTGTATCAGCTAGCGATGTGAGGGCTTTGTTAACGGAGAATCTATATGAATACGTTGGTCATCGTTCTTTGAGCAATGAAGCTTGCTCTAGTCTTGACGAGCCATTGGAACCTAGTTCACTTCAACTACTTATCAACATTCCAATAAAAAAATTAAATAAATCTCATAATCAGCCATGTGAAACTAACCAGCTAGCTTCAAAATCTCTCCAAGTTGATTCAACTATGTACAGACAAGATTAGCATGAGGAGTGGGAACAAGGATTAGATTATTTTTCTTTTTCAAGGTTGAGTCCATAAGTTCAGTCATATCTAGGGTTCCTGGAGTTTTCCCAAAGGGAAGTTTCCAATCAAAATAACACAGTAAGTGTGCCAGAAGAATCTCTCCAATGGCAAGACCAAACAACATTCCTGGACACCCTCTCTTTCCTGCACCAAATGGAATGAACTCAAAGTTTGACCCTCTGTAATCAACAGAACTGTTCATGAATCTTTCAGGAACAAACTCTTCTGTATCAGATGATGAACTCCAATACTTGGGATCTCTTGTAATGGCCCAAACATTAACAAACACTTGAGTTCTCTCTGGTATTGTGTAGCCATTGATCTCACAAGTCTGTGTGCATTCTCTTGGAGCCAAGAGAGGAGAAGGAGGGTGTAGTCTTAGAGTTTCTTTGAAGATAGCTTTGAGATATTTCAGCTCCTGTAATGCTGATTCATCGATGTGTCCTTTGATCCTCAAGACTTGTCTCACTTCTTCTTGTGCTCTTCTCAGTATTGTTGGTTTTCTCACCATTTCTGCCATAGCCCATTCTACTGTTCTAGATGGCGAATCGAATCCTGCTAGTATCACGTCCTGTACAGTCCACAAAATATAATGATACAGCATCAATAGAGGTGGTTATACACACACACACACACACATATATATGTAATGTAATTAGAGATTTCAATTATCATATAAACTTATAATCTCCCTCCTCTCTTGATTGAGAGAAAAACTATATGTTTCAGTATGCATAATGTATATCGGGATCTCACATGTATGTCTATTTTATACGGCATTAATGGAGACTATGGAGTAGTAGTAGTGCCGAACAATATATACTATTGAGCGAGCATATAAATGATAATTAGACAAATAACAATATATATTTTGTCTTATATCAAGAATTATTGTGGAAAAATTAATCATTTGTTCTCATAGTTTACTAGATTCAATTATAACACAGTTTCTAAATTTTGACTTATGTGTACTTTTGCTCTTATAATTTTAACTTAATTGTTACTTATTAGTATCAAAACTTTGATTGAGTTGAACTCAATCCCTATAATTTTAATCATTTAAAATGTTAGTCCTTATATGTTAAAAAATAAAATTACAAGAACTAGTTAAAGTTATTTCTTAAAAGTTAGGGACTAATGTTTTAAATAATTAAAATTATAAGAGCTGAATTTTATTGAATTAAAATTTATGAACTAAGTTATAAAGATTATAAGTTATAATTGAGTTAAAATTATAAAAATTAAGTGTCTAATTTTCTTAATTATTAGGAATGTTCAACAAGAATGTTTTGAAGGGGAAAATCTTGTTATGAACTTGTTGGAAAATGTCGGTGAAGTTCAATAAAACAAAAACAAAATCCCGAAACACATTTATTTGGTCAGGCACCAACCAACAAGACATCGCATGCGTGGTCAAAAGAAAGGTACTAACCAACATGGCGGCTTTAACGTTGTCCGTCGTCAAATCACCATGACGCTGCAAATTCAAAAGAACAGAGAGCAAACATTCTTCTTCTTCTCCGGCATCATCACCGACGTGGTGATCGGCGATGATGTTTTCCAGAACCCTGTCAATTTTCCGACGAAGCTCCACATACCCACTCCGGACTCCGGTAACGACCTGAAGCCACTTCTGAGAAGGAAACAGATCGCAGATTCCATGTGGCGACTTGAGAAGCATATTACAGACCCCGAGAATGGGTCCTACCTGGTCCTTGTGCTTCTCACCGAAAGCTGACCTGGTGGCCATCCTACAAGCGGTGGCAAAAATTTTCTCAGTGAAGTTCACCTCAGAGCCAGCTTCTGCAGATAAACATTTCATCAAACTGGTCACTTCTTCTTCCCTCGCTGATCCGAACGATCTTACTCGCGCAGCATTAAACTGTAATTAAGGAGCAACACATAATTATATTATATTACTCACGCAGAATTAAAATCCGGGCTTATTTTGGTCATTGATCATCGTGTGCTGGTTTTGCATATATTATTTATGTGTGTGTAATTTGGTTTTAAAAATTGTAAAAGCTAGTGACGTTAAAACGAGAAAATAATAGAAGTGATCAGATTATATAAGAATATATGATATTAATTTCATTTGTCTTTAATTACCTACTCTTTATTTTATTAATTTTGGAAATAGTTTGCAAATTTTTAATCTTATAACATCGAAATTCATACGTACTACGTGTGCGTGAAGTTAGATAACAAAATAATACTAAAAAATCTATCAGATTTAAATGCATTTGTCTCTCACTCAGTCTTTTTGTCTTTCTTACATCACAAGAAATTTACAATCTTTTAATTTTAGAGGGTATCATGCAAAGAAACTAGCTAGAGTCCTAAAAAATCTCTCAAATTCTATTTCTTTTAGGTGAAGTTTCAAATTCTTCGAGTACTTCTTCCTTAAATTATCTCAATAATCTAATCCTTCATTTTTTAATATAATTATCGGATATCAAATACTACGATGGTTCTCTTGATATGATTTTTTTCATCTATCAAATTTAAACTCTCAACCTTGCAAAACGATAGTCAAGCCTATTCCACCTCATCGTTCGTCTAAACCTTCTTTCTATGCATATTCCAATTCGAGGATATAAAATCTTAAAAAAAGAGAGAAATTACATATAAGTCCCAGATAAGGAAACTACTCACTTACAAGTCCCATTTATTTGCAAATACTGAAATTTAACATGTAAATATTGAATTTTAATTTGTAAATGGGGTGTTAATCTAAAAAAAAGGTCAAATGATTATGGGAAGTTACCAAATGGTGAGAGAAAATCTTTCTGAGGAGCTTCCAGTGATCTCCAGTAGGGGACATGATCATGTCAGAGGGACCATAAAAGACAATATCAGAACCAGCAAGAAGAGGCCGTTGACCAAATATATGATCCTTCGTCTTCAACACTTGTTCTGCAGTTTCTGCAGAAGAAACCACCACTGTTGAGATCCCTCCTAGCTGAACATGCATCAACGGCCCATATTTCTCCGACAGTTCTCTAAATCGCCGGTGGACCGCTGGCGACCCGCCCAGGTGGTGGAGGCTTCCTATAATCGGAAGCTTCCATGGCCCTGGTGGCAGCTTCTGCTCTCTCCCATTTCTGAAACTTGTCAAGATTATGACGAACAACATAGAACAGAGAAGAAAGAAGAGCATGGAGATAATGAAGTTGAGTTCCATCGACAAAATTCAGATTGAATATGGATCAGGACATGACATAAATACATATCTATATATATATATGGACACAGACACACACTTATACATATGTTTATGTATTTGTGTCCCTGTTCACTTCGTTGTCTTTTCTTTTGTTTTTGTTTCAAGTTGTTGTTTTTAAAATATTTAGCAGCCAGATAATTCCTATGTTACGTTGCCCAGCTGGATAGAACCTTATATTTCAGTCTTTATTTTATGAACAGATACAATCTTTTTAGATTTAATTAGTCTAATCTTTTCATTAATGAGACCGGGGAAAATTACATTTAAAGATCTAAATTTGATCCACATTGCAATATGAAATACATTACAACTTCAAATTATAAGGGACTTTTTGATGTTGTTGTTAGTTCTGATGTATTGGTTTTAGATTTCTTGCTACTTTACTAAATGTCCATGCTCATGGAAAAAAAAAAATCATATTTTAATAATTTACATATGGGAAAAAATAATTTAAGCTATCTTGGAGGAGATAATCTCTGCTATTGGCAAGGTTTATTCCTCATATTATTAAAAAAAAAATCTAAGCTTCACCACTGGGTGCTTAGATCAATGGATAAGGAGGTTAATCTAATTTAATAATTAGAAGTCTTGAGTTTAAGTCTTGGATAGGTGGGTGGCATGCCTCCAAAGAGTTACCCACAAGCTATATTAACTGTATTAGTTAGACTCAAAGACATGAGGTATTGTAGATTACACAAAAAAATGATGATTTAAGCTTTTAAAATTCTTAAACATAAATTTATAAATTTTGTTATGTTTGTGTGTTTGAATGTAATTTTCCCTCGATATATTTTTTTTCTGGTATATGATTTTTATGTTTGTTTTTCAATTTTTCAGGGTTGAAGTTAAACTTAAATATATGCACACACATTTGTATAGTGTAGATGGTTGCTGTGATAAGGTTTTCTTTGTAGCGGTGACATGGACTTAATTACTATTTAATTAATCACTAGTGGCATATAAATTTTTCTTTAAATCAATCAATCCGTGGATTTAACAATTCTTTGGCCGCCCTTAAAGTTGGTTAAAAGTTCTATGCTTTTCAGGTTATCTATGCAAAGTCATATTCTAATTGCGAAATTTAATTATTTAGTCAAACATATAAAGCAGCTATATCAAGAACAAATTAATACTAATTTTTAATTATATAGGAAAAAGTTTTTAACAAGTTGTGTGTGTCTGCATGTTTCCTCGCATATAATAAAAACTTTAAAAATTAGTTCATATATTGTAAAAATTTTATGTCTGTAATTTTCGACTCGCTATAAAATTTATATTTTATGTTGATGATTTTTTTTTTGGTTGGCTGGATTTTTTTTGTTGATATTGATGATGCAGTTTTTATCAATTCTAACTTTTCTATTTGGTGAACAACAATTCTAACTTTTGATCAGACTACGGGAACAGAATAAGATTGAGAATTAAAGGCTTTCTTGACCTACGAAGTCCGTTGACTTTGTTCAAATGTCAAATTGCCAGTTAGAGAAAAACAAATAATGTGGTTTATTACAGCTGACCCACATGGAAGGACTTCCTTCTTTGTTGTTTAAATAATTTAATTATTAGCAAAATGTTTATAAACGTGCAGCTCCGAAATTTTGAAGAGATAGTTGTCAGCAACTCAAATTTGAAAGAAGTCAACATTCAAAAAGTTACGTTACGAATTTTTTTTTTTTGGATTAAAACGAAAGTTTTTATATCAAAAGGATTTCTATGACTAGTTTAGCTATTATAATCTATAGGGAATTTTATTTATTTTTCCTTTAATTTTCATTTCAGTACAGATCAAAGTTAACCAGTCCAGGACCTATTTGTATTCTATATGTTCTTTCTCACAATTTTTAAAACCTTGTGTTGAATGAGACTTTAAAATAATTTTTATTTTTAAAATAATTTTTATTTTTTATATAAAGTTACTTAATATATAATGCTATTAAGTTATGTTCAAGTATGATTCAACTTAATTGAAAATATGACTCAAATTGGGTTTAGATTTACCTAATTTATAACATACTAATTGACTTGGGTTTTTTTTAATACGAATTAAATTCAGGGAGAATCACAATAAAGTTTTAAAATAGAGAATTTTTGATAATCAGGCCTCTAATAAAATTTTATAAAAAAATAAATTATAAACATTGATTTAAATAATAAATAAAACATTTAAAAATAAAGATAAAAAATATAATTTAAAGCTCTCAGTGTTATTTAACTTAATTAATATAAAGAAAATAGTATTTTTTTATTTTTTGGTAAATTTTTTTTATTTTGTTTTAGTCAATAATCAATTAAAGTAGTCGTAATGGTCATTAAAAATAAATATATCATTTTGTTAAAAATAAAAATATTAAATAACTCTTTAAAAACTAAACAGTAATTATAATATTTGAAATAATTAATTATTATTTTTATATTTTAGAGATATAATAAAATAGAATAGTTTTAATTTTGTTTTTTTTTCTGGCCAAAAAATCGTTGTCTTTTTTCTTTTTTCTTTTTTTTTAATCGGTCTCCTATTGTTTACTGCATCGGACCGAAGGTCATATTGGGATGTCATGGAATAGAATGCGAGAAGCCAAAAATGGTGGGAAAGGGAGAGAGGTGCAGCTCGCGCGTAGACGTACTAAGAAAAATTAAAGGTAACGAATCATGATGGAGTTTTCGAAATGCCAAAGAAATTTTTAATAGATATTTTGCTTTGTGTTTGCAGAATTCACTCGAGCATTGGTTGATGATCTGGAGAACAGTCGGTCACCCATCATTATCATTGATCGCTTCAGAAGTTACTGCACCAATTTCAATTCAAACTGGTTCCGTTCTTTCTAATTTAAGTTGGAATGACAGTCGGATTATGTCGAATTCATTTGATAAATCTGTTGTTGCTTCAGTAAACAGCCATTTTTTGAAGGAATGATCATTAATTTAAGTGTTATGCTTACTTGCAATTAATGCAGCTATTGTGGTTCTGATTTGCCATGTGGAAAGGAAGTTCTAACACTTTGCACGGAAAGCCATGTTCGTAGACTTGGTCAGTTAAGTTGTGCTTTCTGCTTATGATTTATGGACTCTGGATTTTCGTTTTTTAACCAACACAGACACTCACTCACTCGGTGGGTCTTGAATTACGTCGACTGCCATGATGAAATCTTGCGCTTTACACTCCAAAGAGGGATTGATCAAATTGTGGGTCATTTTAGACCTTCATATGTTAATGAGTTATTATTTGGCTATCTGCAGATATTATGCTGCGAGTGCTACTGATTATTCAGCGACTTTTGCAAGAAAACAAGCATAGTTCCAAGAGAGACATCTATTATATGCATCCCTCTGTGTTTTTGGGTGAGTTTGAGTGTTCGCAGCTTGATGATTGTGCTTTAGTATTGAGTAACGAGATGATTGAGATCCAATTTGGTTCAACGTGTCCTTGAAAAATAAATGCCATGGCATGTTTGTAGTAGAAGTGATTTTGGTTTCAAATTGTAGTGAAAACATTGCCACAAGTTAAGCAGACCAGTACTCATGTCAAAATATGAAATGAAAAAAGTCTGCTCCTCACACATTCTAGCATTTATTACAACTTAAAATTTATGTGAGTTCTTAATATCATTGACTGAATCATAATTTTCACTTCACTATTTCTGCAAGATCCAATTGAGTTTTTGGAATGTTTTATTCCCATTTCTTCAGTTGTCGACATGCATGACTGATGAGGGGTCTCCTTACAGTAAATGTGCAGGAGTGGATTAGAATTTCTTTTTGTTGAAAGTCAAATTTTTATTGTCATAATATTTGTATATTAAAAGTCAGTTCCATGACTATGATGAACTGCTAATTCCCATGGCAGTTTCTTTTTGGTTTCTTTATCAATGAATCATATCATCTTCCACGAGAGTCCATGACACACTTGTTTCAAATTCATGACTTATCTGTTTTACTTAATGCAGATCAATCAGCTGTAGACCGGGCAATAAATGATATATGTGTGCTTATGGAATGCAGTCGCCATAATCTTAATGTGGTATATGTCTTCAGAGTTCAAAGCTTTATCTTCTCTTTACTGATTTTCTTTTTGGTATGGTTCTTTTTGACAACATCCTCTCCTTATGGCGATTAAATGTTTTCACTTGAATTTTAAAATCCTTAAACAATCAAATTTAACCCCACCCACCAAAGAAATAGAAGAAAAAAAGAAAGAAAGAAAAAAACAAAAAAACCACAATAATATAGCAAGGTCCTAAAAAAATGTAGCCCTGTAGTGAACTGAAACCTTTTCTTTTCTATGGCATGGAAAAGAAAAAGAAACTGTTTTCTGGTAAATTAACATGACGCTGTGGTGCTATTTTATTATTTTGTTGTTAGCATTATTTTTTATCATTACATTTCTTATTTTCTGTATCTGCTAACGAGGAGACTGATATGCTTACTAATGGACCTATTTTATTTTAAAATTATGATGTTTGTAACATTTCCTATTCATTTAAGACAAGGTTACTTATTTTAGGATGTTCATACCATAATTTTTTTTCTTTTTTTATGTCTTTGCAGGTTTCTGCTGGGAAAGGGTACATTTGAACTCATACTCAATAGTGGAAGATGCACTTCTCCACTTGAAATCTCTCCTTCTGCTAACTATAATATAGTTTTATTTGTTGAGATGCCATACTAAGTTTATATTATGAATAATTTATAAATTTTAGTGGGAAACATCATCTAGCAACTGACATATCAAGAACTTGCTACGAAAACAAAAATATTAAAACTTTTGTATTATGACAGGCTCTTCAGATTTGCTGTTGATAATGCCCATTCCATTAATAATCGTAGAGCTACAATAAGCTTCCTGGTTAAGTTTTGTTCTATAATAAAACTGGCAGATCGAGTATTCTGCCTCACAGCAAAGCCAATTCTTCATAATTATTGTCAGTTTCTAATATGCTCTCTGCTGATACTTACAGGTCAAATTTGTTCTGTTGCAGGTTGGTTATGGGTTGGATACGGTTCTTTGAAGGTGAAAGGATATTTGATTGTATCAGTTCACTCAATACTGTAAGAACCAAACTGGGTGTTGTAATTTATTTTAATTATTCATAGTACTAGGTCAAAGAAAAAAAAAATTTTTAAAGTCCTTAATACATTCAGCTTTCCTGCAGGCTTACCCTGTTCCTGTTCATGCTGAAGAAGTCAAAGGTATCCTGCTTTCTAGGAGAACTACTGTAATTTTTCAGTTGCCTAGTTCCTACTTATTGATGTGAGCAGGCTATAACATAATATTTGATGATCAAAATGGTAACAACCAAATTAAATGGTAACTTTAACATACTTATGACTTCATATTAAGCTTGACTCCAGAATAATCACGGATGGATAAACATAACTTAACTCTTGCTTGTAGATATCATTAGTGTTGCTCATTTTATATTAGTTGTTGAGAAGGAATCAGGTAAACCCATGTTATTTGTTGGGGGGATAATGAGGAAAATATAATGATGGTTCCACTCCAGATATAGTTCCCTTTGATAAGCCTCTTCTTGTTGAGTTTCATACACAGTTTTCCAAAGACTAGCAAATGACCACTTCTGCAATGCATGTCACTGCATCGTTCTCACTGTAAGCACTTTCCAGTGACGTTTCCCCATTTTCTAATATGCACATCAATGCTTTTAATCTATCTTCATTCAGGGGAGAGGCTACCCTGATGTTCCTACAAGAAGGTATGAACCACTTTTTCCTGTTTCTAAACTATCCTACTAACATTCTGCATGCCAGATTGACTTCATATTTTTCAGTATTGGCATTTGCACGTGTACAAACTGTTGCATGTTCTTGCTTGACCTTTGTTTGATCTTTCGCATTTGTATTAAAATTAAAACAGGTTCCTGCGGCTTCTGATTGAGCATTTGCATATACCTGCGTTTTGCTTGGTTGATTGTGATCCGTATGGCTTTGATATCTTGACCACTTACAAATTCGGTTCAATGGTCAGTATTTGTAAGATTATCAATTTCACAAAATATATTATTATAGGTCTAAAAGTTCAGAATTTAAAGAATTGCTTTCAGTCTTTCAGCCTAACTTACATGTTCTCCCTTCTCTGTTAGCAAATGGCACATGACACAAAATATCTCCGTGTCCCTGAGTTACGCTGGCTGGGAGCTTTTCCTTCAGATTTTGAGAAATTTTCTGTTCCAAAGCATGTCTTCTTCTCTCACTGCTGAAGGTAAACATATCTACTTGTGAATTACCTGTGCATTACTCAAACTCTTTTAAGTTTAGATTGATGCTGTTGGCATATATAATCTTAGTCAATATTGTTTCGCCAAAATTCTTGGCAGACAGGAGAAGAATAGAAGCCATGCTGCACAGATGCTATCTGCAAAGGGAAGTGCCAGAATGGAGGTAATATTTCATTTACAACTTCTAACATATTTATCTGCTTCTTCAACTGGACTGAGATTAGTCGGAGTATGTCTTTTCTTCATTGTGAAGATTGGAGCTAGAGCTGATGCTGCAAAAAGGGGTGAAGTTTGAGATTGAAGCATTCTCCGTCCATACACTTTCCTTCTTGTCACAGACTTACTTACCATCTAAGATTCAAGGTGAACTGAAGGTCAAGTATGTGTGTTAGAAGAACATTAGTTTCTTCGATCATATTACTATTTGCAGAAGAGTTGTATTTTTGATGGTTGCTCCTCAGACGGCCTTTTTGAGGTTGATTTAAAACTCTATGGTAATGAAGCTGTCATGCACATTTGGAAATTGGAATTTGGTTTTAGCTTCTAGACATGGGTATCCTGTCACTATGACAAAAAAAATGACCAAACCCAGAAATAATTGTGTGTAGATTTACCTCTTCCAGCAAATAACGATCAAACTGTCCATTTTTGACAGTGTTTTTGATTTCCTCACCTTTCATTGTTAACCTTCTGATAGAAAATCGTGATCCTCCTATTATTTGATATTTGTAATCGACTGCTGAATTGGATGAAGGAAACAAGTCAAAACCTGATCTGGTAAAAATTTAGGAAAATCGCCGACCGTGGGGATCGAACCCACGACCACGTGGTTAAAAGCCACGCGCTCTACCACTGAGCTAGGTCGGCTCGTTGATGAAGAGGTGTTTGGTGTATTATATGGTATAAAAAGCTGAGTTGTTTTTTTATCAAATTTATTAATATTAAATCATTCTTCTTTTTTTTTTAATTATAAAACGGAATAAAAATGCTGAAAATGTGGATCAAAATGGGCCGTCAAAAACGGCATAAGGGTCAATATCCTTGTAGGAATTTTTTATGTTTTAAAAAGCATGATGTTGCTTTGAGACAAGCGTGCGTCTTCTACATTTGGGCGGCCAGAAACTACGACTTCTTGGTTTTTTAGGGCTGGCTATTGCTGGAATTTTCCTCTTTAAGTCACTTCTTGCATTAAAACATTGTTCCCTTCATTTTGTCTTTTTAAAAGAATTATATATACATTTTCCCGTGAATTGTGCTTATAGTAAAAATGAGCATTGTTTATAATTTGTAAATAGTATAGCTTATTATAAATTTTATATGTTTTATAAATTAGCTATTAGATTCATGTATTGAACAATATTTAAGATGATTCATTCATACTGTTTGAGACTTAAAAAAGATACAACCTTTTTTTTCAGATTTTTATATGCTTTTGATATTAACATGTTGATATCATAGCTTCTCTCTATATTTGAATGTTGTTAAACCATTTTTATTGTGTGTGTGTGTGTTCCCTCTAATATGAATTTCAAAACTAACAAAGAGCCTGCCTTATATGGCTAATCGTTATTTTTCGTGTTAATTTTTTTTGTTCATCTTTGAACATATATTTTGAAAATATGTTGATAAATTATCAATGAATATAGAAAGATTAATCTAATTGATAAATATATGGCATATATCTTACATGATTGTAAGTTTAAATTACTCTTGTTGTTGAGTTAAAAACCCTGTTGACAGGCATTCTATAATATAGGTACTCTTTGAATTTAGAAATTTGTTATAATTCTAACGTAGTTTTTAGATTCAACTCATTTAAATTTTTTAATATAAAAAAATGTACAATTTGAAGGTCGGCAATTGGGTTGGTCAAAAAGTAAAAAAAAAATTGCACAATTTAATTTTCCCATCTTTTAACATATTTTGAATTGAATGTACATTGCCGACATCGTCAATCGAATATTAATTTTCCAGGAAAGGGAGTAAATGGATGAGAGATTTCAGGAGCTCAGTATTAATGGGAATCATAATTAAAAATATTAAAGCCTCATAAAACTCATTATAAAAAAAGTCAAATTACCAAGTCCGTCATGATTAGATGAATGAAGAACCCAATTAGAACATTCTCTAGTCTGCTTTATCTGATAATAAAGCTCCATTTTTCTCATTCAAAGACTTATTCTCATGGAATACTCTTCAGCTCAAATGGTACTGTACTGTGACGCCAAATTCCTCAAATTAACTTTCCCAGTCTATCCCATAAAATTAAGTTGCTTTAATCTGCAATTTCTTCTTTTTGTTCTTTTTTCCCAGACCTGTGTTCTGAAGCTGAACACCCAGTGTGAGAAATGCAAGGAGAAAATGAAGCAGATTCTGCAGAATCTCACTGGTATGTTTATTTCTCTTCCCCATTGATGATATTCTTCATATCATGAACAACATGTGGTCCAGTGAAAGTGATTCTTGTGGGAGATATTTTTTTTCATTGCAATAAATTGATCATCATCCTAATTTCCCTAGTCTGGACAAAAATATCTTGTCAGTGAAGTCAATTTCAGATGCACACAATCTCGTGTCTATTATTATTATTTTTTTCAATCCCTTAATTTCAGGATCCTACTCTATCACCATTGATGGAGAGCAAGAGACAGTCACAGTTACGGGAAGAGTAAATCCTAATTCATTAATGGCTGTTCTGGAAAAGTATGTGAGACATGGTGGAGACCTTAAGTATGTCAAATTTGATGGTGAGATTAGACAAACAAGGCCTTATAATTATTATAATTATTCTGGTCAACATGAATATGTTCCATGTGGTATGTCCAACCCTAGAATTCCACATCCATTTCCATGTCCTCAAAACCACTTGTATGAAGCAAATCTCCGGTTTTTTCCACCTCCGGTGCCACCACCTCCACGACCTCGTCCCCTGGTAGGCCCTTTTCGAGTGGCACCGCCTTTTCCTCCTCCCATGGTGCCATTTCAGGCAATGCCGCCGCCGCCGCCGCCTCCTCGTCATTTTTCAAGAGGATTGGCTGTTGGAGAGAATGAAAAATTGGAGAAGGAACGTAAGCATTGTACGTTAATGTAGAGCATAGGAACTAATATTGTTATTTTGTTAGTAATTAGACATGTTTTTATCATGCATTATGTGGAATCCTCAATAACGATTCTAACCAGGAAAAATATAACTTTTAATTTCTGAACTTTTCTTTAATTATTGATTCATTTCCTGATATTTGGCTCAAAACAATTTAGTCCTTTTATAATTTTTTTTACTTGCTATAATTTAATCCTTATAATTTTTTAATTCAATAAACTACAAGAATCAAGTCGTATTAAGTGACTAAATTGATAATTGAAAAAAAATTCAAAGATGAAAAATTATATTTTCCCTTTTATAGTATTTATAACTCTGCCATAAGGTCGAATTCTCAATTATTAGTGATGCACATCGTGATAGGTTTCAGGGAAAAAATAAATATGGTATCTGGTTTATACATTTGAATCATTTTGCGGGAGATGAGTTTAAGGAGAGTTTGATGATGAAAATTTACAGTACTGAAAAGAAACAATTCTGGTACATTCACCAGAAAAATATTGAAATCTCTTATGTTATCTGTCATTATACTCTGCTGAACTTGCAGTGCTTTGAATTGATCATCAAGTCTATCCAATAAATTTATATTCTTAGCTCATTAGACCAGGTAAAGAATATATATTGAATGGATCAGATTAATCCAACAATCCTTGAATAAAGACATATCAAGTCTCTCAGGTCTTTGTCATTGTCATCCTGATATTCTTGGGTGGTCCTACCTTGAAGTCTGTCTTTCTGCTATAAGTATAAACCCTGCATCATACACCTATGCAAATACGTATAAGCATGAGATTACATAAGATTTTGAATCCATGGCTAGGTTTGTCGAAGAGTCAGATCATACCTGAAAAAATCCAGTTACTATGAATGTACAGACAACCATGAATTGAACATACAATATGTATGTTAGTAGTTGTGGTGTAGAGGCCATGAAGACAAGAAATGTGGCTTTAAATAAGGTCACATGAAAGTGGCAATACAGAGTCAAATCCTTATCAGAAGACCAGTGAAAACTCTGGTTTATTAGGTAGAAGAAGTGTATTTGTTGATCAAATCATACATATAACATAACAAGTTAAACTTGACATCAAACTCATATTGGAAAGGTCGGTTCAAGTTCTGGATTAGATCACTTTCTCTCGGATAATTTTTTTGTTTAGTTAAGATTTGCCTCCCTATTTTGACATCGACATGACAAAGTAGACTTATGTTTTGATTCACGTGTCTTCTCGTGGCATGGTATTAACCTAGCTATGTATAGTTTACATCTCTCTTGATTTGCTCAATATTAAATCATCAGTATAGCTCATTTGTCAAATTCTTTACAGTGCACGAAATCCATGTCTAATGTCTTCTATATCTCAAGCTCGCCTTTAATTTAGCTAGACATGTTTTTTCATACATAATGCTGAGTCCGAGAAAAATGAGTTGTACTGATTATAACTTATAAATAGTGCAATTAGTTATAAAGTTTATATCGACGTAGTTTCATGATTGAAATGGGAGGCCCCACTTCCATTATGGAGCATAGTGTGCATTATTGCTATGAAATGAACAAGTATATCAACAGTCTTCATCAATGAAACGCAAACTTGTGTAATATTGATCCACGAAGACTCATAATGCTAATTCAATAATTCATCGATCATTTATATATATATATATATATTTTTTTTTTTTTGAAGATAAAAGCATAAAAGCAACCTCACGTGCATCTTCATCTTTCCTCTCTTCGCATGTACAAATCTGTACCTTTCTTATTCCTTTTCTGAGATTTGCTTGTTATCCATTGCTGAGTCAGTACTCTGAAGTACACAAGGACACGCTTTGGTTTTTACTTCCATAAACACACCTTTTTTCTGTTTATCTTTTATGATCAATGACATTTATAAAAAATACAAAAAGGATATTGCACTTTTGATAGAGTGAAGTAAAGTCCTTTATATATGTACATGGCTGGATCAATCCTTGAATTGACTCAGCACAGATTCTCATTCTTGTTTTGATTGTGCAAAGATGTTTCAAAGTTTATGAGAATTAGTGACTGTAATCTTTTCTTGTTCACTAAGAATTGTTGAGTTTGATAATGGATTCAATGAAATGACACATTCTTTTTTACCACGGTCCTTGAATAACATGTTTCATCATGACAGACTCAGTAAGACGCAGTAGAAGTTCATCCCAATCACTTGTTTGTAGCTTATGAGATGAACAAATGACTGATTTAATGAATTGTGGACAGACAATTAAGATAAATTTTTAGGCCCCACTTGTTTACTAAAAAAGAATGGATTGAAAAAATTAATACAAAAATGAACTAAATCATCCCCCTATGATAAGTATGATAAAACTCACTAATATATATTATATGGGAATCATTACAACCTCCAAAAATCTTATAAATCATGATTTCTAATTTTATAAACTAAATTACCCTTCTCCCTTTTGAATGTGGTTCACCATCTCTTTTGATCATTTCATGTTTACCTTTATTTTTTCAATCAATTTGATTTCATTCATTTTTAATAACCAAATAAAACTTTACAGTAACTAAAAATTCAAACAAAGTAGCATGTGAATATTATGAAATTTTTTCCCTTTATTTTCGTAGGGATTGAGAGTTTGGGTCTATCCATAAGAAGCATTGAATGTTTAGCTTATAAATAACTCCTTCTTGCCTTTCACCCCTCAATCACTATAAATGCCTTAATCAATACAAACCGAACCCAACTAGACATATGATAACCTTAATTGAAGATGGGCTAAAAAAATTAAATTAAATATAAAATAAAGTCAAATATCATTGAGTTGCTCCTGTTAGGCTAGTACCTAGCCAATTCAATAAAATATTCAACCAATCACTAGGTGTTGGTTTTAATGAAAAGAGCTATGGTTACTTAAATGAAAGGTTTTAGGTTTCATTTTATATAAATGCAAAATAAGAAAATTGTGTAAGTTAACCATCGTTGGGATCCTACTATTAAAAAACTATAAATTAGCGAGAGAATTTAATGAGAGATTGTCTATTCCTCTTTAAAATATCAAATTAGCAAAAAAATTAATGAATGATGTTGATTTCGTAGCTTGACTTAAAATTAATGAAAAAAATAGTGAGGGACTGTCAATCCCTCTCTAAAATAAGAGAATTAGCGAGAAAAATAATGAGGGATTGTCAATCCCTCTCTAAAATAAGACAATTAGTGAAAAAATAATAAATGACTGCCAATTCCTTTCTAAAATAAGATAATTAATGAGGAATTCTATCCTTAACTAATTATTGCAAAAAAAAATTAACTTTTGGCAATGATTATTAATTATATATTTAATTATTTTTATTTAAAAATAAAAATTAAATTTATAAATTAACTAAAATATTCATAATAAAATTATTTAATATTTAATATTTTCTTTATTTTAAGTTAATTTTCATTAATAAAATAATATTTTATTAAAAATATAATTAAATAATAATTTAAATAAAATATAAGTATTGTTACATATTAATAATTGAAAATAAAATTTAATATGTATATATGTGAATATTTTTATAATATATTATTTGATATATTTATGTAGTTAAATAATATATATTTAATTTTTCATATAATGACTATAAGTGCCTTTCAGTTCAACTGGCAAAGAAGAAGAGCATAAGACTTGAAAGGTATGAGATTAAGGGTTCAAGTTTTACCTTTAGCATAAATATAATGAATATATGATATGGTAAATAACAAGTGACATGAGGGATTAGCAAAGGATTAATTCCCCATTAAAGTTATTGAATTTTGAATAGTATTAACAAGTTGGCTAAAGACTGAATCTCTCACTAAATTTCTCTCTAATTAGCGGGAAAAATATGATTTAGTGAGAGACAAAATATCTCACTAAAATGCAACTTAGAGTGGAAAAATAAAATTTAAAATTCCTCACTAAATTCTATTTTTTAGTAGTGATCTTGACCTAATTCAAATTCCAATTAATCAAAATCTAATGTGATTTTAGGTATAGAAATATTTGTCAAAAAAATAGTCATGTCCCTTTTGTGTGAAATTTTCTAATACTCGCCTCATTTTATAAAATATTTTTGAAAAATTGTGAATACTAATAAAATCAATTAAATATAGTTTAGAATTTTAAATTCTCCAAAAAATATAAATTTTAAAAATATCTTTCATTTAATAAAAATAGAGAGAAATAAAGATATTTAAGGAGTTAAATAATGAGGGGTAATTTTAAAATGAATTGTATTAATGAATTATTATTATTTTTAAAATATCTTATATTATAGAATAATTATTTGTTTTCTAAAGGGATGATTCTATTCATCTTATTATTGACGATTAATTTTTTTTTTTTAAAAAAAGATGATGAATTGAGAAGGGGACGAAACTCCAAGAGACAATAGGCATAATAATGAGTTGGACATTACTTTGAAATTTGGATGATGTAGTGTCTTGCTTCCACACGTTGAATATTGATATGCTACATATTAAATGCATATCTCAAACACCTTCATTCAATTCTGAGATGGACTTATCCTCCTCCCTTCCTTTCAATCTCTATCACTCAAATCAAATCCATGATCTTCACCATCAACCTTGAAACTTCTCTAGTTTCCTACCAGCTAACACCTATTCCCTCTACATTTTCCATCAATCTTAATCTCTTCTATTCATGCATCATTGTTATATAGCTAATTTTTTATGCTCTTTAAAATAAAAAAAAATATAGTTTTCAATCCTTTAAATTATGACCAACTTGGAATAAAGTTTGTGCAATTTCCTAATTTACTCCATGAAATTATGGTCCATTTTAATAAAGCTAAAGTCATTCCTTTTACAAAATATCATTGTCACACTAATAATGCATTGTCTTTAAGAGTTTTGCCAAAGATTGACCATGATTTTAACGACTAATTTCTTAATAAGAAAATTATAAAGATATTGACAAGTTAACGACAACTTAAGAAATCAAAATCTATGTTTCCCTTACAAAACTACTCATCTTTTTATTATTTGAACCCATTATAACATGGAAAGAAATAGTGAAAAAATACATACAAAGTTGTAATGAAAGGGTTGGATAAAATATGTGGGGAAAATTTTTAAAAAAAGTTACATGTAGGTTAAAAAGAATCACATTGTGAAGACTTCTAAATAGTATCTCTACCTATCAATTCTACTTCTAGATTGATACTCTTTTCATTCAAAAATGTAAGACATTTTTAATCGAATCTCACCCCTCAATAAAGTAATTAATTACTTTCAAACTAACTTTATCTTTTCATATTTACTCTATTAAACACCCTGTAATAAATATAAAGTCATAATCAATAGAGGCACTTTTGCAAAAAAAAAAACAATGATTACACCTCGAAAGATTAAAAATATTTTATATTTTTTAACATCCAACTTTTTAAAAAATGCCTTACATTTTTAAACAAAGAGAATATATGTAGGGAAAAAAATTAGTACAAATAAATTTTATATACATCAATAACTATCTACATCATTTCCAATTTGATGATATAATAAATATACAACTAGCTGCAAACCATGTATACAGTTTATGAGACATGTATACATGTGAGCGTATAAAATTTTATGCAAATGTATTTTTTGTCGAAGTTTTTTTTTTTGGGGGTTAAGGTGGCACATTTTGAAAAGGCACGTAGCCAATAGACAATAATTGAATTATTGTCAATTAATTGGCCACCTTTGCCGTACAATGTTATAAATTGACAAGCCATGAGTTGCTTTCAGTATTCACAACAATATAACTCAATGCTTTCTTTTCTTTTCTTTTCTGCTACAGTGGTTTTCAAGCCTTCAAGTTATACCTTTTTAGTTTACATTAATCAAGTGGCTTTTTTCAGGCTGTGCTCAGGAGTAGATTGGTAAATTTATATTGTAAATTTTTTTGTTCATCAGTTAAATATTAAAAAAATGTTCCCACCATATCAATTCAAACTAAATAACATATGATAAACTGCCTTACCTTAAAAAAATCATGCATAATAGGAATAAAAAATAGTTAAACAGCTTTTTTTTTTTAAGCTGCAGCTAGGTTTTGAATGAATCAGATTCCAAAAGTTTTTAAAAAGTTGATATATATTTCTATTCACATTGAGCTATTAGTCATTTTACTAGCTTAATTAATTTTCTATTTTTACCATGAGAGATGTTACATCCACCTCTGGTCCTATTTATAAAATATAGAAAATATTTATCTTGATCCTATTTCCATAATATTTCAATATTATTATATCTATCTTTACCTTTTTATCCAAATTAAGTGTTAGGAATGCTAATAATGTTAAAGTATTTTATTTTCAAGGTATATATATTTGTTTTGTTGAATTGTTGTTAACCACTTCATTGCGTAAAATGATATTTTCCAATTTATATATTTCTTTTTTAAGAGAAAATAGAATGGAAATTATCGTTTTTTTTATGACCTCTATTCATATCTTACCCCACTTAACCACTCTTACTATCTGATCCAGCCTCTGGTAGATTAATATTGAGGAAAATATCATTTAAAAATTATTATTAAATTTTTTGTAAAATTCGTGTGTAAATTAAATAAGTCTCCATTTATTCTTTTTGCCAGCCTCCAGAATTGTTGGTGACAATCACGTTGCATAAAATAAATGAGAAAAAGGGTTGTATATAGATTTTAAGAAAGTTTGGAGTTTGCCGAATTATTATTATTATTTTGGTTAAAAGGAACTGAATGAATAAAGAAGATTTGATTTTGCAGACATTTGTGAGTTCTAACTTCACGGTGCATTGAATCTTCCTTTTGACATTTCTGAGCCTTCACTTTCAGCGTTTGGCTTCACTTGATGAGCATTTAGAGAGTTCAGATTTTTGTATTTTTATTTTATATTTATGATAAAAATTATGAAATTTTAATAAATATATTTTATTATCAATCTAGATCTAGACAATATAGATTTAATATAGATAGTCTAATTTAATATTAATTTTTTATAATTTTTATAAGTTGACTATCCATAATCTAAACAGTCTGAATTTAATATTAAAATTTTTAAAACATTTTATAAATTTTTTTAGTAAATTTAATATTAAAAAATAACAAAAATATTCAAACTGGAATTTAAAAAAAATTAAAAAAAATTATAACTTAGAAAATTTTAAATCTAGATTATCTAGAATGTATCTAAATAATTATTTATAAAAATTATAAAAATATTTAATATTAAATTGAATAATTCAAATTAAATTTGTATTATCTAAATTGATAATAAAATAGATTTATTATTTTTTATATTTCTTATTTTAATAAATATAAAATAAAATATAAAAATAAAACCTGTAAATTTGAATTTAAATTACTCATCATGTAAAAAGCACATGCATAAACTGAATGCTGATTTTGAAACTGGCTCCTTTGTGTCTGCTTCACTCATCTTCTTTGCACTCATCTGACATCTCCGAACCTATTACAGGATACCTATATATACATAAAGTACATATCTTCATTTTTCACTATCAATTAATTTTTCTCACTATATAATAGCAAGCTTATAATATTAATAGCCATATTCAATCATAAATTATATCTATATCTATTATATAAAATATAAAATCTATTAAAAATTGCATTGTGTATAACCTACAACAATGGAACTCACCTTACATTTTTGTGTATATGGATCTCACAGTCTAATTTTATTTAGGACAACTAAAATCAGTTTAATTATCAATTTATTTATTCTTTTATATATACAATGTAAGAACTTGGCTTCATTATTATTATCCCACACACATATAACCTTTAAAAGTAAAGAAGCAGGGTGTAATTGAATGAAACCAAGAAATAATAAGTGCAATTCACTAATCATACGCTACGCTGTTGAGAGATTGTTGAGATTAGGGGCAAGCAGAGGCGATCAACAGAGGTCACAGCTTCTCCAAGTTTTAAAAGTTTTCCGAATACTGTATAGATATTATATACTTTCCACTTTTTCAAGATTTATCAAAGTTTTGTAATGTATATGTTTTTTAATCTAAACCCCCTTATTATCAAATCTGGACTCCGCCCTTGGTTGATATCATGATGATCATAATGTTTGAGTCATAAAGAAAAGAAATGGAAATACATATGTTGATTGACGATTGACTCATCAAGTCTAATGAATAGATACTATTATTAGGCTTCTTAGAACACTATACCATTAGAATTTGCATGATTTTTACCATAACCTTGTATTAAATATATATATATATATATATATATTACATGCATTCGTGCAAGGGATTGTAATTAGGTTAAGGGGAAAAAACTGAAGTGACAAAATAAAATTGAAGTTTAATCTTGTTTAAATTCGGATTCACCATATGTGGATTAGGTAACTAGTAAGAGTCAAATTCTATTTGAGATTGCTCTGCCTATTCATCAGTCTCTATCATCACCCCCTGATTGCATTCATGTTCTCTTCTTCTTCAACAAATGCCACTTTCATTCTTCCTAGCCACACGCCCCACTCTAATCATTAATTCTCTTCATCAATAGACGGTGGTTGACTCCCCAATTCTTAACCGCCTCTTTAATATATAACACTGCTCATTAACTCATGCCCTTTTTAATTTGAACAAACTGAACTTGCTATCCCAAAATAAAAGGTAAAATTGATTAATTAGATGATTTTATTTAAAAAAATTAATCATTTAATCCTTATGATTTTAATTTAATTAAGACCTCAGCTTGAAATTTTGGGACTAGTGTTTTAAATTGCTAAAATTATATAACTGTGTGTTGTATTGAATTACTAAAGTTTAAGGAAAACCATAGAGAATAAATGATTAATTTTTCGAACCGTTGTTTGATTTGTTTTAGGAGTGAGTATGTATCCCTAGATCAAAATATGCACGCCTGACCCCTTTGTTTGTACTCTTGGAATTTGGATGATCTTACTCTCTTTTCCTGTAGGTATCACACAATTAGGTGTTTAAAGCTATTGTGTTCTTAAAGCACACGACTTTACTTCAAACCCTTTCTCTGCTTCCTATTCTCAGGTTAGGAACAACACTTCCCTCTGCAATCACATGAGCATATGAATTGATCTATCAATTCTGCTAAGTTCCATCACGTGATTTAATTTAAGTTCTGCAACAAATCTTAGATTATGGAAGAAGAGGGATGTACTTAGGATTCCATAATTAAAAGGGTAGGAAATACTGAGGTTGCTTCTTAGCACCTGCAATTAAAACTGCAACCATGCATAGAAGATACAACAATTACACTTGATCATTAGGCCCTACGAAAATCCTAAGAACAGCATCCTAGAAAAATCTGAATCATGGCTACTGCTTCTAGTGATCATTATTATTAAACCATGATCAGTTGTTGTCGGGCTTCGATCCTCAAATCCTCTCTCATCCTTCTAATGAAGTCATCGAACTTCTTGTTCAATTCCTCTGTACTTAACAGACTGCTCTCTTCTTCTCCTTCTCCTTCTTCATAATCAATTTCTTCCTCTTCTACGTTTTCTGGGATCAGAAGGTCGTGACCTTTTGATCCTTCTTTGTCCCCTGCATCCAACATTCCAGATTCTTCATCATCTTCCAGAACCGAATGAGAGATTCTCAGTTCTTCTTCTTCTTCTTCTTCTTCTTTCTCTTGATCAACCTCATCTTCTGCAATTGCCTTCTCTATATCTTCATCTCCTTCATGGTACCTGATCTCAACTGCTTCATCTGGAGGAATGTTCTGTTCATCAGGTTCTTCCACCTCCAACAATAACGGCTCCGTGGCCTCAATATCTGAGAACTCAGACCTCGAACCATCATCAACATACTCAGAAGAAGAAGAAGAAGAAGAAGAAGTAGCATCCTTCACATGAGGATCATCGCTGCCGCTAGACCCAGAGAAAGATCTGGCGATACCCACAAAAACCAGAAGGCCATTGCAGAGGAGGAACATACAGTTCTTATCTACGGTGTGAGTGAAAAGCTGGAGAGGGAAGGTGGAGCAGTAGAAGTTGACGTAATGGAATAAAGCGAGCAAGGAAGAAGGAGAGAAGAGAAAAGAAAACACGGACACAGAAACTAAGAACTGAGTAAACTTGATAAGATACTGAGCTTTGAAGCTCTGATAATTCAGAGATTCTAAGCTTGCAGACCTTACTTGATCCATGATTTCAGAATGGAAATGAAACTAAGGATAGTTTCAAAAAGGAGTTAGCTCTGTAAAGAGAGGAAGCTTGGTGTGTACAGGCCATGAAGGCCTCCTCACATATATACATGTATGTTGGTCAGGGATGTCACTTTGGGTTGTTTTTTCTTAATTCCGCAAATACCCATGTGGTTGGAAAATTATTCTTGGGCAAGATTTAACATTTTGTGTTATCCTAAAGCAGCTCACGTGTTCTTGAATAGACAACTTAAGCCCTATCAAATATTGGTGCGCAAGGACTAGGCTCGTGATCTTTAAAAAGTTCCTCTAGCGATCAAATCCTACATGTGATTTGTCATCTAGTGATTATTATTGATTTTATTTTTAACTATACTAAAATTGCCTCCTAATTAAAGACATGGTTCAATCAGAGTTCAAGCTAATGAGTCTGAATGACTTGTTTAATTATAATGATTTTTTTTTATAACTATATGATATTTAATATTATTAGCATATATTCAAGCATTTTTTTTTTGGTCCAGTTGGAGGAAGAAAGAAAGAAAGAAATGTAAATCCCCCTTGACATAAAAGAGCGCTCTCTCTCTCCCTAATGTAAAGTAATTAATATTTTAAAATTTTACTCCTATTTATTTATTGTTGTTTAAATTCTTAAACAACAATTTGTTATAATTATTACTTGAAAAGAAGAGCAAAATTAAAAATTTATGTATTTTTTATAATTTTAATGTTATAACTAACATTTCCTCATTCCGTTTAAAAATGTAAGGCATTTTTTAAGAAGTTGGATATTAAAAAATGTAAAGTATTTTTACTTTTTTGAGGTGTAATCATTACTTTTTTTTAAAAGTGTCCTTATTAATAAATGACTTTATATTTATTTTAGGATGTTTAATAGAGATAAATATGAAAAGATAGAATTAATTTAAAAGTAGGTAATTATTTTATTAAAGGAAGAAATTTCGTTAAAAATGCTTTAAACTTTTGAACGGAAGAAGTATTAATAAGTACAAAGTTTGTTAATTTTTACTGTCAAAGCACAAAAGGTTGAAATCCACTGAAACATTGTGTAATTACTATAATATCCAAACATCATCCAGTTCTGGGACAAAAGATTTCTCCTTCCGGGAGAGATTGTAATAAATGGGGATGGATACAAGAGGGAGGGTATTGTACAGTTTTTGAACATAGTATTTGCCACAAAATATAAACATGTATAGGAACTGACCACATAACAAAAGCATCTTGATGTTGTTGTGTTCAAATATATATGAGCGAGGCTGACTTGTCCAGTAACATTCATGTGAAGGCTGGTCCCAAACTGCATCCAAATTGTGGCTCTCGTAACGGATAGAAATGTGAGTCTGTGAACAACCTTCAAACTCACCACACATCTTTACATTATAGTTCAATGCACAAGTCATTGTTTATGTGACTCTACATGGGCTCTTACAAATCATTTTTCTTTTTTCTTTTTAACTTTTTGGGTGATTTCAACAGTTCTCGTTCTTCATTTTTTTTTTTGGGGGGTTCGACTGTGGTATAATGTGTTCAGGCTTTTTTTATTTATTAGATTTATTTACTGAAAAAAAGGGTTGAAATTAATAAATAACATAGAGATATATAGATTAAAGATGGGGTTTTAATTTGATCTGAAAGCTTAGACTGATAATATGATTTATTTATTTATTGTGGTTTAGGGAATAACAAGATGTTTTGTTTGATAACTCACTTGTCCTTATCTGTATTAGTTATCAATCAACTCTTGTTGATTGTCCAAAACTAAATGTGACGCCCTCAATTGCGCATAATTAATCTGAGTAAATGTTGCAATTTAAAAAATACCCCTTAATTACCCCTTTGTCTTGATTTATAAGATATTTTTAAATAAAATTACAATTATAAAAAAGTTAATTAAATATAGTTTGGTTAAAGTATACATTTAATTCTTTAACTTTATATAAAGTTTCATTTTAGTCCATTAATGTTATAAAGTTTTTTTTAATCTTTTAACTCCAACACCATTAGTTTTATTCTAACAACTTTTACGTTAAATTTTTAAATATTGATAAAATATTTTTAAATGTTGACATATTAAGTTTAATTTTTTAAAAATAACAATGACTGATATAAAAAATAATCATTTAAAACTAATAATATTAGGGTTAAAAGATTAAAAATATACTTTACAAAATTAAAAAATTAAATTGAAATCTTATATAAAATTATAGGACTAGAAGTATATTTTAGCCATATAGTTTATAATTTTATCTTAATTTTTTTATAAACTTTCAAAAATACCTTCTCTAATAAGAGTGGGAGGGAAATAAATTTATTTAAGGAGTGAAATAATAAAGATTGATATCAAAATAATTATTATTAATAAAATCTTATTTTTTAAAACGTCTTATGTTTTATGAAATCAAATTACCTTAAAAAATATTTTATGAAATGGGACATAGAGAGTATAATATTTTATTTGTATTTTTTATTGACAAGATCATTGATACCTTCCACCATAGTAGAGTCATCTCTTGTCATTGTAAATATTTTGGATATAAATTTACCTATCAACATGATCATATAAAAGTAAAAAATAAAATAAAATTAAGCAACACTTTTTCATAATATACCGAAAAGGTTTAATTGTTGATAGAGTAAAATAATATCATATAATTCATATAATCAACTCCACCTAACAAAATAAGAATTATTATCATTGATGTTCCTGGTTTAAAACATTGCCAATGCAACCATCATGTGATTGAATTGATGGGAAACTGTGCTAACTTAAATAACAATTTTGGGTTTGAATCAACTTGTATTAATTGAATATCGGATGGTTTGATTTAAACTTAAAATAAAATAATATTTTCTTGAAAAAAATCTGAAATGATGCGTCAAAATCAAAAGACCCGTATGTCAAATAATGAAGGAAGTACAGCAGAAAACTCATGCAGTTAGCTCAAGTCTATTTCATCAAGAAAAGCATCGTGTAATTAGAGCCATAAGGCTTTGAAAGAGAAGCATGATTAGATTTAATTGCTGCTTAATTTGGAACCATAAATTGTTGTATCAAAACTTGGTATATGTCTAGAACTTGCTTACATTAATGACATGATTATCTCAGCATTAATTATCATCACTAAGATGCCTTGCCTTGATTCGTAAGCAAACTATCTGTATCACACACCAAGAATATATATATATATATATGATCATATCATTATCCATAACCTTTCCTATAGGGCACGACTCCAAGTATAACATTATTTAGGCCACAAAAATATGTGTCGAAGTGTCCTCTTCTAAATGTAAATTTTCTTTCAGCAAATCCCTATAACTCTGCAGAGATAATTTTAGTTACCCATGCTATTTGATTGAAATGAATTGGGTGAAATTTCATACCATTTAAATATAAAGTGTCACTTTTGAGCAATGTTGTGGAGAGAAAAGAATCACATTAAAAGAATTGAGAAGAATGAAAGTTAAATCTCATGAATAGAATTAATGATATTTAGGTTCTCGATAAAATTTTCATAAATATAAATTGTAAATACTGATTTAAATAATTAGAAATCCAGAAATTTAAATTACAATTAACATTTTTTAAATTTTAAATGTAATTCTTAGTTTGCAATTGGGATTATCATTTGTAATTATTTGAATTAATAATTATAATTTTTTTAAAAAATATTATTGGGACTTACTTGTAATTAATTTTTTTCTTTAGAACTTTATTGTTATTCTTCCAAAAAAAAAACTTTGTCAAGTATATTGTGAAATGATATTTTTTTAATTGTTGCAAAAGTATCGTATTTGATAAACAATCATGGTCAAGGTACAATCACGTATTAAACACACTTACTTTCCCATAGAGGATGTGTATAATGATATTTAAATAGGAATTAGTATATAATGTCAAACAAAAGACTGTCTTCACCGAAAAGAAAGTAATAATAATTTGTCTTATTGAAAATTAAAAATATTTATTAAAATATCATTAAGTTCAAAAAGGTTTAATAATGGTAGCTCAAATTTGTTTGAATTCACAACATTTAAATTTTTTATTTTGTTAAAGGGAAATCCCTTCCATTAAGGAAATAATATTTTTAAGGGAGAACTCCAAATGTGAAAAAAAAATGACTTGCGGGGACACTTGTCACAGGGACCCACAGTGTAAGTTTAACCCAGGTTTTTGCTTTTTGGTCAATCCAACCATGGCTGGTTAAATTTAGGTATATTGTAGAATTTTGTTTTAAAAATTAGGGAATATCAAAGACTTACTTCAAAAAATACGAATATTATAAATATAAATAATGACGAAGATCAAAATAGGCCACAGGAATGCCAAGTAGCGGGTGGTCGCCTTCGGCGTTTTGAACGACCAGCTCACATTGTTTGCCAATTATTGTATTCATCATTGCTTTTCACAATTATGCATATTCATTGTTCATTCTTCTTCAACTTTGAACGTGCATGTACCTACAACCTCAATCATTTGCCATTTCATCATTGATTATGTAGCTTAATGTACCTTAAACATAAATATTCGACAATATTTACAATTATAAAGATTGATTTTTTTGTAAATATTCGTTTCTTTTTTTTATTGGATTTCAGGACAGAAACAGCCTTGATTTCAAGTTCATACTCAAACAAAATTTATTGGTTCAAATGTGAATGTGTGATTGGATAATTGAAGTATACTTCAAATATTCTTAATTTTTTTTAATTCACCAGAAAATAAACGACCATTTAAATTTAAATTAATATATATTAATTTAAATATAAAATTTAATTGAAGTGATATTAAACGAAAAGGAAAAGCGTCTTTCATAGAGGATCCCCAGCAAGGCCCAAATGAAGTCCGTGATTCTCAAGGGGCCTAAGTGGCGGGACGGAAGGGCCCAATAAGTTGGAGATAGCCGCCGAACGGCGGTTTTCTTTATTCCTACTTGGCTACTTCAAACCAGAACTAACCATCAAGACCGCCTACAAACATGTCTTAAGCCGGTCTCGTCCCCAAGCCAAGGTCCAAACACGCCTTGATTCTTCCCTCTGCAAAACCCTACAAGGAAACCTCAGCTCTCGCTGACGCAGATTAAACAAAGACTGCGACATGTCTTTGAGGGTTCTCGGATCGCGCGTCATTCCCTTCGTATCGAAGCGCAATGGGCGACTACTTTGCTCCATCGCGGCTTCCAGTGCTCCCAAGGAGCCGCTCCCTTCCGCCTCCCCAGAATCCGATGTGAGTTCAACAAAAGCAGGCTGGAGTGTTCTCAAGTTCGCCCTCGCTGGTGCACTCACCGGAGCCACCGCTGCCGCTGGCTACGTCACATACGGTTCGAGTTTTTTATTGCTGCTGTTATCATTGTACTTGTCATTTCGGTATCATTGGTGTTGCTGGACGGGTTTTGGTTAACTTGGGGTATAGTTTTGTGTTAGGGAAATGTAATGTTATTAGCCTTGAATACGGGTATGTATGATATGCTGAGTGCTGCTACTTGATTTAGGCGTGATCGCTGTTCTTAACAAATACTGCCAATTGCCGTTTTATGTCTGCTAGACTGAAAATTGGAAAGCTTTGGAATTTTGCAGCTTACAGTTTGGATGAAATTGAAGAAAAAACGAAGTCTCTCCGTGAATCAGTGAAGTACAGTGCAGGCGAAAATGCCACTGCCCTCGATGTGAGTACCTCTGAAGGTGTCTTGACACTCTTATCAATATTCTGTTTGGTGGTATTTGTTTTACTTACACATTATTCTATTTACTGGATTCTCTTTTATATTTTTTTCGAAAGGATTCAGTAATACCAGATAGAAGTTTCTATTATTTTTACCGTTTGGTTGACTGCAATCTGAGTTTATTGGTAAAGATATATTAGAAGGTATTGGGCTAGATTTAGTTATATGGAGGAATCGTAAAGTTAGTTCTGTTCATAAGGAGTTCAGCCTCAAAAAAACGTAATTGATCAGTCCTAACCGTTAGCCTTGGTTTGAAGTAGATAGAATGTTTTGGATTATGCCTCTCTGCTTAATTGAGTATGAGGACTTTTAGTAAGTTCTCCCAATTATCTATTTTGTTTAATGCTTTTAGATATGGAACACTCACATCTTTAGTCCTGAATGCCTTCACTTTTGTGAAGCTCTGGACTATGGCTCGTTTTGATGCGGTACATTATCATTATTTCTTTGGCCCCTCCATATTTGTTTTTGGGAAAAACTTGTATTCTTAGCTTTATATATTTAAAGCGCTTATTTTCAATTTAATCAAGACATGTGAATTTTTTATAGATTATTTATTCTATAATAAAATATTGTTATTAATATTATTAACACAATAAAAACTGTTTGTCTTGATTTGATTGGATAAAAGCATGTTAAGTATATAAGGTTAGTTACCTTAGTCTTACCCTTTGTTTTGTAGTACATAAAATTAGTCAGTTGACATGTGCTGGTCTAAATTTTGTGCAGAAATTTCAGCAATTGCTATATTCAACAGCAATGACAGGTGAATTCATGAGCTACTTTATGTACATTACACCCTTCAAACTAATCTCTTACCTTCTTCTTTGAAGAAAAAAACTTGTTTTTCTTGTTGTAATGGAATCCTCTTCTTTTTTTCCCTGGGATTGTTGGCTGCTATATGAATATCATGGATTTGAGTTAGTCAATTAGATGACATCTCTACTTTTTTCGTAGTTCTGTTAAGTGTTCGTACTTTCCTTTCTATATGACCATGAGCAACCCCCAAAAAAAAAAAACATGGTTGGGGGAGAATCGTGTATCAAACAATATTTTTCTGGGCAGTTGAAGTAATATTACCACAAAGATATGCTTTTATTGACATGTGGATCTCCATGTGACTTTTATAAGATCCTACTCTTTGGATGGAAAAATTAATCGTGTCAAAAGTTTGTGCATGAGATATTTGCATATCTTATCTTTTCTCTCTCAGGTGGAGAGGGGGTTCGGTTAGTAGAAATGGAAAGTGTGGCTTGAATATGCTGCATTTTTAAACAAAAATATATAAAATTCACAATGAGAAGCACTGAGATGGTTGACTAGATTTACTTGAATACTTTCAGTTCTAAGAATTCACAACAAGGAGCAAGCCGGGTATTTTTGTGGGGTGCAGGCCATAGGCCTAATTAGACTAAGATTGGAGGTCAACTGATTGTGTCAAATTCAATACAAAATTTTTTAGTTTGGATCACAGAAGATAGCTATTTTAATATGAAATGCACAGAAGTTGTTTATATCAAGCTAGCTTAATATTAATGTTTAAAGAACCTATTCTAATCTAAAAAGTTACAAGGCCAAAAATACGGAATTATTAAAATTGTGAGTTTAAAGGGCTTAAAGCAAATAGAGAGAATTTGAAGGGGGGGACATGTGATTCATATAGAGGTTTGGATTCAACACTGGAGTGTGCTTTCGCTAAACTTTTGAAAATATTACAACATTATAGTTGCAAACTCAACGTCGGTTTATATCCAATTGCCCTTTGAGATGTTTATTGGAAGATGCCAAAGAAAATTTGACATATCTATGCTCAAATCATCCAGCAGCCCCAGATAAACTATTTTCACTGTATATTTGTCCACGAGCTCCAACATCTTTCCTAGTACTGCTAGCATAGGAGTATGTGCTGAAAGCAAATTATCAGCTCAAACCTCTTACTTTCACTATCGTGCTCTCTCTCTGTTGTTAATATACCGCCCATAGCAGCAGAATGTTTTCAGTTCAAAAGGCCAAGTTGGTCAGTGAAATGCATCTGTGAAGAACTCAAATCTTGTATTAAATTGGTTGTTGGTGTAATCCTAAAGTTTAAGCTTTCTGGCCAATGACTTAAAAGCTATATGGTCTATCACAAAGGTTCTGTTTTACACTTGCTACTGCAATTGCATTGGCCTCCTTAGTCCAATGATACTATTGTTTTCTCACTGAAAAATTCATTATATATCTGCTCAGGTTATATTTTGTTATCCGTCTCTGAGGTTCCTCTGCTGTTTGATGTAATCATTTATTTTTGATGGCTAAAGGTGACTAGATGATAATAACACACCATCTGTTTGTTTATGTTTTAATTGCTTTTTATTTGTAGTTAGTATTGACAGCATGCTGGTTCTTTTTTCTGTAACATCACAGTGCCTGCTAAAGCAATAGAACTCTACTTAGATGCACGAAGGCTTGTAGAGGAACAGGTTCAGGTAAATGCCTATCTTTCCTCTGATTTTCTATTTGATTATTCATATTCCTGTTAATTTTTTTCTTCATTTATTTTAATACCTTGCTCTTGCTACACTTTAGAGTTATACGGAACCATACTCAGATAAGCTTCTTCCAGATTTACTTCCTCAGGAGCGACATGTGTTTACACTTGTTCTAGATCTCAATGAGACCCTAATTCACTATACATGGACGGTATGTCATGGAATGTAGATAATTATACGCTTTTTAGTAGAAATAAATTGAGAAATCTTATATACTAGCAATGTGATTTGGTAATGCCAGAATTTTTTTCAGCAATGATTTACACGTTGTATGAAAGTTCTTGACCCTTTATTATCAAGATATTGCTTCATATTATCAAAAGTTCTTGAGGTCAATATTGAACATTGTAATCTTTTTCCCTTGTTATGTAAAGAGGGATACAGGCTGGCAAACTTTCAAACGACCTGGAGTTGATGCTTTTTTGGAGCATCTAGCACAGTTTTATGAAATTGTTGTGTATACCGATGAACAAAATATGGTACTCTGCCTTTTTCTTTTTTAATTGTTCCCATTCTGAATGGATGCTTATCATTATTTCTTGAGTATTGTTATACCTTGTTCTTGCTTTTTGCAGTTTGTAGACCCTGTTCTTGATAGGCTGGATACCAAGCACTGCATAAGATACAGGCTGTCAAGGCCAGCTACCAAGTATCAGGATGGCAAGCATTATAGAGTATGTTTGTCTTATTTCTTTTCAATTATATATTTTTTCTTCATTCTGGATGCCCTTAGGCATAGGAAATAGGAATCTTCAATGTCACGGAGTTTGGACCTTAAATTTTGTATCTACAACCTGATACAGTAGAGAGTGTGTGTGTGTGTGTATCAGATTCAAGCTTGATGGATTCTTGTACTTATATGGCCTGGTGTCTGGGTCAGTTACCAATTTTTTTTTAAAAGTATGTGGAGGCGCAAACTCTTATGTTGGTGTGACTTGTATTGTTCATAGCATCAATTGAAGATTTAAACATTTGGTGCTTAACATATTGTTTTTATCATATTGATTACAGGTAAGTTATCTTAAAAATCTAATACAGAAGGAAACTTCCCATTGTTTGTCATAGTGAAGAACTGACTAAGTTTCTTGATACCAGGTCCAGTTAATTGAATTTATTACGTCATTAGGTGAAGCTGATGTGGTGTAAATGTAATTCGTTAACACACAAATTTGGGGGCTATTAACTTGTATTATTGTTTGGCATGTTGAAGAGCATGCGAGAGGCCAGTATAAAGTAATATGATGTTTCGAGTTCATGGACACTTATGTTGAATTGAAGCATCATCTCATGAGTTGGAATTGAACTGTCTTATTTTCTTTCCTCTTGCCTGGCAGGACCTGTCAAAGCTAAACAGAGATCCAGCAAAAGTTCTTTATTTGAGTGGCCATGCTTTCGAAAGTTGCCTTCAAAGCGAGAACTGTGTCCCTATTAAGGCCTGGCAGCAAAATGATACAGAGGACACAGCTCTTTTGGATTTTATACCATTTCTCGAGTGTAAGCACTTTCATAAGATATGTTAATGAAATCATGTATGAAGTAATGAAGATATTGTTGACTTTTTTATGCTGGCAAAAATTGCATTACGTCTTCCATTATCTTGTGCAGTTGTCGCCCGAAGCAGCCCAGGTGATATAAGGCCAGTGTTAGCATCTTATCAAGGATGTGATATTCCAACTGAATTCATTAGGCGGTCCAAAGAGCATCAGAGGTAAAATTTCAAGATGTGTAACTTTTGCAGGCATTGAAGCTAAAACAGTATTTAGTGTATGCTTGTTTGTTATTTTTGTCCTTTTGAACTCATGAGAAAGATTATTTTCGCCTTTTCGTCCATGTAACTAGGGGATGTTGCTTGTTGAGAATTTCGGTGACTTTGTTGGTATTTACTGTATGCTTGTTTGTTATCTTAGTCTTTTTGAGCTAATGAGAAAGATTATTTTCGCCTTTTCCTCCATGTAACTCGAGGATGTTGCTTGTTGAGAATTTCTGTGACTTTGTTAGTATTCTAGTAACATCTTTTTTTTTTTTTTTAATTTGCTCATCAAAATGATGCAGGAGAATGCAAGGACAGAAGCGTGGTTTTTGGAGACAGTGATACCAGTAACACCAGAGTGTCGATTAATGCCTCCTAGGAAAAATTAGGAGACTGATTATGAGAGTTTCATCTCAAATTTGATTCACCTGAGATGCGGAAGTGATTAATCGTTGTGTCAATTTGAACGTCTAAGAAATAGAGAAATATAGATTGTTTTCCTCGAGCTTGGAATAATCCATTTTTGACACTAACCAATGTTGCTGAAAGTTGATGACAGGTTTTGGGACTACCCATTTATTAATTTGATCTCCTTGTTTACACTTCTACAAGCTCAAAGGTCTAGTTTGAGATCTAGAAGTTCTCGGACACGTTTTGCAAATGATAGATTAGCAATTCAATTATAAATGAACAGTTGGATAAGGAATTTTCAGTGGTATTTACATCTTAAACGTGTCTATAAAACGGTTCCAAGTAAGACTTTGTCGGGTTTTTGATCATCTGATTCTCCTAAAAGCGTATCTGGGGCTGTGGGTTTTATGTTTGATTTGAATGTTCATTACTTTTCTGTGTCTTCCAATATATATGTGGATAGTGAGACACGAGTATATTTTAAATGAATGCTGGGATTTGAATAATAAAATAATTTTGCAGGTAGTTGGTAGTTGTGTGTGTGGTTTTGATTCATTTTCAAGTCAGGCGACCAACTACGGGTGCAACAACCAGGATATTGGAGAAATCATCATTACTAATCACTAAATAATATAATAATTTGTGACTTAAAATTCTTACTTCTGGTTCTGTGTTAGTGTTGATAAACGAGTTTAAGTAATAAGGTTGTTATATTATTCAGGATGTCAAAGGGGCTAAGGCTTGCATTTAATTTTAGTTTAGTTTAATTTAATTTCTTAACTTTTATCAAAAATATTATTTATATTATAATTTAATTTGCTATATTTATTGTAAATTTTACATTCATCCTTTATATTAATTTTATTCATGTGATCTCCTAATTTGTAACAAGTATTTAGGCATCTCGTTCCATTCAACATGATGATTTTTAAAAATTAAATTTAATATGTTAATATTTAAAGGTGTTTTGTCAATATTTAAAATTTTAATGTAAAATGTTTTGTTCGTGAAATTAATGGTGTTAGGATTAAATGATTGAAAAATATTTTATAGAATTAAATAATTAAAAATGAAATCTTACACAAAATTAAGGAACTAATTTAATTGTTTCATTAATTGTAGGGAGAATGACGGGTAACTCTAAAATAGAAAAGTGACAATTTGATTTTGCAAAATGTGGTAATAACAATAGGGTCTTAAAAAACTTCTTTGAAATTAAGTTTTTGTATAAAATCACTTTGATATTTCTGCAATTTAAAAAATTATTATTTTTTAATTTTTTTTAGTCATTGGTAGAACCTAACTTGTGATTACTTATACTAAATTTATAAATGATATAAAATTAGTTAAATTTTGCTAATAGAAATTTGTTATTTTCTAAATCACTTTAATTATGGGTGGAATTAAATTTGCAAATGCATATGCCAAACTTGTAAACCATATAAAATTAGCTAAACTTTACTGAATAAAGAAAATTACTAATAAAAAGTTATAATTTTTTAAATCATTGTAGTTATTGGTAAAACAAAACTTGTAAATACTTATATTAAATTTGTGAGTAATATAAAATTAGCTCCAGCTGGGCACTAAAATAATTTTACATAAAAAATTAATTTTAAAGAAATATTTTAAAACATTGTTGTTATTATCATATTTTGTAAGATCAAATTGTTATTTTACTACTTCAGAGAAATTTATATATCATTCTTCCATCATTGTATCTCCTTTTTCACTTTGATTGACCTACTACTTGCTCTAAGGAAAAAAAATTGTTTCCCAAAACACTACATGTTAGAAAGAATTTGTCAAAATACTACAATTTTAAACTTGGCTTGTACCAAATCAATTTATAAACATGATAGAGTGAAAAAAGAAATTGGCTTAACATGTACTCAGTTTTTTTTCAATGTTATCATGTTAGAAGCTAGCTTCATTGAAACCAATTTCTCTCTCATATATTCATTGTTGCAACATCATTACCCACCCTATAAATTTTTTTCCCTCTTTCTAGTTCTGTCAACTAACATTCAACTCATTATTCCACTCTCAATTCCTCCTCCCTTGTTTAGAGTTGAGAGGGGTGGACTTATTTAGATAGAACTTAAAATATTTAAATATATAAAAAAATTATATAACTAATCCTAATCCTAACATCTCGAGCTTATTTGAGTTAGTTCGAACATTGAATTGTTAAAATGTTATTTTATTCTATTCTTTTTTAGCATATTGTAATTATTTTTAATTGTTAGATTATTGTTTTTTAAAAAATATTAATTTTTAAAATAAATTATTTTGCACCTATAACTAAGAAGAATATATAATGGAGAAAAAATAATATTAATTTTTAATCAATTTTAGGATTCAAAAAATTTTAGGACTAGACTTCAAGGTTTGAAAAATTTTATTTGCTTAATACTTATCAAGGCCGCCCAAATTTGAATAGGCTTGGCTCGAATACTTGAATTTATTTTTATTGATAAAAAATTAAAATAATATAAAAATTAACAATCTTAATGTTTTAAAAATAAAAATTAAAATTGAATAAAAAATAAAATAAAATAATATCTAACAATTCAGGTATTTGAGCCCATTTGAATGAGCTTGAGATGCTAGAGACAAGCTTGCTTAATGAACTTTTTGTTATATAGTTGAATATTTTAAGCTTGATTCAAATAAATTCGGCTTATCCAAATTATTGGCTATATTTATTAGATGACAAATTGGGGCAAGGCAACGAGCTCATGGGAGAATTATAATTTAGAAAGAGAAAAAAATAATGGTGAGGTAAGGATACTGCAACATATAGATGTAATTTTTTTTTTTGTAACAACAAACAAATGTAGATTTGATAATATATGAGAGAGAAATTAGCTTCAAGAAGCCATCTTCTAATCTAACTACATGAAAAAAAGAACTTGATACATGTCAGGCTAATTTCTTTTCAATCTATTATGTTTATTAATCAATTTGAAACAAGCTAAGTTTAAATTTATGGTATTATGAAAAATCCCAAAAAAAATGTAGTATTTTGGGAAATAAATTTTTCTGGATAGCTCACTAGTCAATAAGCCGATGATATGAAAACAGAAAATGAGGGTTTATCCGAAACAATTGAAGAGTGCTGACTTTTCCACACGCTTATGAAAACAGTTTTGATCATTTGAGTTATTATCAACCCATGAAAATATCTCCTCGTCCTACAAACCATAGTCCTACCGTTCATACCTCATCAAGCCATCCAATCTTGATGTCAATCTATAATATAAATTTCATAAATAATAAATAATTGTAACTTGCTTTAAATTCCGCATAAAGTACGGGCTTGTCAGTCTAGTTTTTGTAAATATTTTGTGTGGGATTTTTTGTTTGTCTTTAATCTAAATGAGATTTTAATATTCAATAAATCCAATTTTTTTTATCTGAAATTTGCATCTTAATTATGTGCTTCCCAATGTAACCAAATGCTACACACACACAGTTCCATTCCAAGTATGGGTTGTTGAAATAACAGCCGCAAAGTCAAGTTGAGTGTTTTGTTCCTCATAATGCATAACATCACCCTGCAAGTGTTACATGCACAAGAACGAGGTGTAGGTCTGGGAGAATTTTAATGAAGACATTTTGATCACATTTTATTTAAATTCAAAAATTTTAAATTTTTAAAATTATACTACAGTCTAGAGATACTGATTTGATATTAAATTTTTTTAAAAAATAACAAAATTATCCCTTATTTAAATTAATATGATAACTGTTCTACTTTACTTGTTAATTGTCTTACTTTAATTATTAATTTATTAATGTAATGTTGTAAATTGCCATACTTAATTTATTTTCATTTTAGGTGTTTAAATTATATTAAAAAAACTTATTAATTCATATATTATATGTTGCTAATTTATTTGAAGACTGGTATTCATTATTTTACTTCATTTGTTTATTGCGCTACTTCATTTCTTCATTGCCAAACTTTTACTTAATTTCATTCAAAAGATATGAACAAGTAAAGTAAGACAATTAACAGTATTTTATAAATAAATGAATAAGTAAAGTAGGGTAATTAATAAGTACAATAAAATAATTTTGATATTAATTTAAATGAAGGATAATTTTATCATTTTTTTATAAATTTAATATCAAATCAATACTCTAGGATTACAGTGAAATTTTTAAAAAATTTAGAGGTTTTAAATTTAAATACTTGTGATCAAAGAATCTTTATTAAAATTTCACCATTGGGTTTCATCGTTGATTGTTTAAACATGATTAGTTTCATTGATTGGGCTAAAACTGCCACTTGATCCATATGGAAATTATTCACATGGCTTTATCCTCGTTCCTTCCTCAGTTTTAGAGTGGTGCCATTCAAGTCACGTCGCTTATCTATTCAAAATATTTGAGTATTAACTTCATCAATTATTGTATACTATCAATTCAGTTTAATATATAAGGACTAATAAGTAATAATTGTACTCTTTTTTTTTTCTTTTTTAATATATCGGTCTCAGTTTGCAAAGGCTAAATCAAATCAAATGTATATGAACATACATTCGAAGAACCGAAAAACGTAACGTATCAATTCTCCCAAGAAAGAAGCTTTTTGCTATTTCGATTACCTGACTGATTCAACGACCTGTGATTGGTTGGTTCCGTTGGTTGGATTACATTGAACACTGGGCCCAACCTCATCCCAAATTTCATCCCTGTAATAACTTCGCAGTACACGTTCATTCACTAGTCTTCAATCTCGTCTTGCTCGCAGTACACTCTCTGTTTTCCTTTTCATCTCTGTGCAGTACAAAATCCAACCCGCCGCCATCACCTCACAAGCCTCCAAAACCCCATGACCCAAATTCCCATATAAATTTTTCCAAGTCGACCATGGGAGTCTTATCTCTGTCTCTGTTATTGCAACTTTGTTCCGTTTTTCCTAAATGTCTCGCTTTCTCCGCTTCTTGCTTTTCTCTCTGTTCTTTCTTCTCCTGCTCGTCTCCGTTTTCGCCCACAGTGGCCACCACGATGAAGACGGCGGTGGCGATGATGATGCTGGGGGATCTGACGGTGACAGGCATGATCTACGATCACGACCGTTGATTCTGGCTAAAATTTGGTGTTTGATTGTGATATTCTTTGCCACGTTCATTGCTGGGGTTTCACCGTATGTGATGAGATGGAACGAGGGGTTCTTGGTTTTGGGGACTCAGTTTGCCGGGGGTGTGTTTCTGGGCACTGCGATGATGCATTTTCTGAGCGACGCCAACGAGACGTTCGAGGATCTGACTCGGAGAGAGTATCCCTTTGCGTTCATGTTGGCTTGTTCCGGGTATTTAATCACCATGATGGCTGATTGCGTGATTGCCTCCATCTTTGCGAAGCAGAGCAGTAATGGGACTGGTGTTGGGGCTGATGTTGAGTTTCAAGGTTGGTGATTTACTGTTTCAGACTATTAATTATTTGTGAGTGGTGGGCATTATCCAACTAGTTTGAGGTTTGAACATTTCAGAAGACTGCAATTTCAGCAGTTTCTGGTTGTATAATATGCATTATTTTTTATAAAACTATGAATACGTTTAAGTTTCATGATTTACAGGATACTTGCATACATATGCAAATTGGGTGGATTTATTCTGGATAGGTCTATATGAATCAGCTTCCTATTATTGCTTTGATTGTTTTCCCACAGTTGTGTTTTGCATGCAATACCACTTTCTTTCTTTCTTTCTTCTTCTTGGAACAACTATTTAAGAAATTATAAACTGAAACCTTGTGCACCCTTAATTTCCTCCTCTTCTTTTCACCTAAATCTATATCTTAATTTTCTTTCTGGTTTATAGGTGCTGAGGCAGGCAAGGGTAGCAGCAATGGTTTAACTTCCCAATCGCAGCACCAGGTTAGTATGATCTTTTGGGGATGGCCCCGACTTGATGTATCCTGTTTATTTTATTTTATATTTTTTATATAAAGATAAACTATTATTATAAAAAAAGGGGGTGCCCAAAAAAAAAAAAAACCACCCAGATTAACCTGATACTAACTAGTACGACTTGGGTTGCGAAGACTCTACGAACAACGCAGGAAACAGCTGGCTTGCAAATGCAAGTGACAATCATAAAACCTAGTAAGTTTGAACTCATATAGGAACCAACTTGGGCCTTAGAGTATACTGCAGAAAAGCACATATATTAAACCGTTTATTTTATCTGGGCTTAGCCCGCTGCTTTGTCATAAAACAGAAGGTTAGAAATATGCCATTGAAGTGTTTGCTGAACAAAATCTTCCTTACTTCAAGGCTAAACTGATCCTGATTATGAGTCCTAAAGCTTGCTCAATGCTCTAACTTCACCTTGTTGGATTCTGCTACCTTTTAAATTTTCTAACGAGGTGTAAGGCTTGACAAAATGGTTTAGCAAACACTTGTTTCATCCAGGCCTTTTCATCATCTGGCACCTAACAACAACAACTTCTGTGCAAGCAGGTCCATGATGCCAGGACCGCCCACAACCTTGCAAACCCTGCTTTGACATCTGCCAGTTCTTTCGGAGACACCATATTGCTGATAATCGCTCTGTGTTTCCATTCTGTATTTGAGGGCATAGCAATTGGAGTTGCAGAGACAGAAGGCAATGCGTGGAAAGCTTTATGGACAATCTCTCTGCACAAGATATTTGCAGCGATAGCCATGGGCATAGCTCTCCTCAGAATGATCCCAAATCGTCCCTTGCTATCCTGTGCAGCCTATGCTTTCGCATTCGCTATCTCCAGCCCGATCGGCGTCGCCATCGGGATCATAATCGACGCCACGACTCAAGGCCGTGTCGCAGACTGGATCTTCGCCATTTCCATGGGTCTCGCTTGTGGAATCTTCATTTATGTATCAATAAACCATCTATTGGCAAAGGGGTACATGCCTCAGGACCCTACCAAGGTTGACACACCAGGATTAAAGTTTCTGGCAGTTTTTTTGGGCATCGGAGTTATAGCAGTTGTCATGATCTGGGACACCTGACAAAGTCGTTCTAAGGCAAGAAGCATTTATTATTATTAATATTATTAGTTGTAGTAATAGAAGGAAGAGGGATTTACAGTAAAACGTGAGTAAAGTGTAAGATTTAAAGTTATATTTTTACTTATTATTATTAATATATATAGAAGGAACAAAGAGTATTGTTAGAACTTAGAAGCTAAAATTTCTGTATGCTGGGAAATAGGGTGAAGTTTTAGAAATTTTCTTACATACGAGCTTGTATCTATAAGAATCCAAAACTCAAAACAATACAAGACGAGATCAATCGTGAGTTTGTTTCTAAATAAACTTGACTAATTCACTGCACCTTTTCTTGGCTATTCTTAGCGGGCCCAACTCAGGAGACTATGCTTTTATCCTTCACGCAACTTCGTAGGTTGTAGCCTTGGGCGCGGCTCCTATCAGGCCTTGAGTGTAAATATGGTTGCGCAGTGGCCCAATGGCCCGGTATGCCTGATCCTGTTTAAGCAATTCGGGCTCATCAGTCCGGGTCAAACACTGCCCTTTCACGGCGATCCCTTTGCCCTCCCTTTACATTTGAATTTTGATGATTTCAACGTTACTGATTCGAGAATTTGACGATTCAATTCAATTGCTTTCAATTTTACACGATAACAACTATACTAATTGACAGATAATGCAAACTCCAATTTTACTTTAAAATTCCAATCACCATGAAACCGGAGCCCAGTTTGCATGCCCATTTGCCAAAACTTTCAACACTGGTTGGATCTCCTTGTCACAGATAGGACGGATCCTGCTAGTGTTGAATCTATAGTTGGAACTGCACCAGAGAGAAATCTCCAGGAAAAATATGAATAATGGATAATGTTGGGCAATGTTCTGGCGGATGGGAATGATTGATCATGGTAAATGAAAAATTCTTCATGTAGTATGGGAATGTTTTGTGGGAGAATTAGTGATGAATCCAATAAAAATGCAGAAACCCCAAGAAGAGGCAATTAGACGCATACGTAGTGGGGAACAATTCAAAGGTATAGAAGACCAATGCATGAATTAAATGAATTACTTGAAACGAGAGGTCAAATGTGAATCTCAATACAACCAAATATGACTGACAATACACAGAGTTCATTGAAACAGCACGCGAACATGAGCAACAAATTTGAAATTCATGGGCGTACATGGCACGAAATGGTGAAGCACTGCAACATATATCCAGCTCTTGTGCTCCATATATAAGCCCACCACAACTGCGAGTGCGAAATTATTTAAAAATGAAAACATAATGTATAACAAACCTGTTATGGCGCGGGCAACGTTAATCTTTAACGATGAGCTTGCCGTCCTTTTTTAGAGTCTCCAAATTTTCAAGGGTTTGCTCTGTTTCCTGGCAAACCTCCACTTCTCGTAAGCTAGTGGAGGAACACAGCTCATCAGGAAGCCGGGTCAAGTTTTCGCACTTTTTTACGACCAGACGTCGAAGCTTAAGCATTGCACCATGCTTCATTTCCAACTTCTCAAATCCCAGGCTTGTCAATTCAAACACCTTGAGTTGGTTGAACCCTGCAGGGACGCGTAAGCATTTATACTCGTATGGATTTTCATATCCTCTTACTTTCAAATACTGCAGGCTGGGAAGATCCCCCAAAGCATTCAGGTTCTCTTCTTTCAAAGTGAAAACCTTTACCAATGTTATTTTGGTAAGATTTGGCGGAAAGTGTTTGCTTTTCTCAAAGAGTGGAGGTTTTGTTATTTTCAGTGTATTCAAATGGGTCAAGCACTCAAGGCTTTTAAACAAGCTTCTGACTCGCTTGTCCCCGTCCCCTGAATCGCTCTGGGCGAGTCCTAATTTCCTCAAATTGGGGAGCCTTCCCTTTTCCAATAGTTTTAAATTTTCCCGATTAAGAGCAATAAAACAGAGTGTTTGGAGATTCCACATAATTTGGGTTTCTAGGGACTTGGGCAGGGTTCGTGGCCATGACGAAGAGATATAAAAATGCCTTAGTTGCTTCAGCTTCCACATATCAGCTGGTAAAGAATCTGTGGACGAAGTGTTACTCCTCAAGTCCAAAGTCTCCAGATTCTCAAGCTCGCATATCAAATTCATGTCTATGGAATAAAAACTACTCATATATGCTCTTAGGTACCTCAAATGAATCAACTTTTCTATTTTCTTTGGGAAGTTGAATCCGGACACCGCCCCAAAATCCAGCACTCGCAGCAGCTTGAAGCTCTTCCGAAGCCACGACTCGCCGTAACATTTGTATTTCTCTTGTCCAAAAAATAACAATGAACGTGTGGAAGAAGGATCATAAGAAGCTGCAGAAAGAAAGAATGGTATGCTACAATGGACGGACAATTTTCTAGGTCTGCATGGCTCCCTTATGTTGTTAACAGTACGAATTTCGAAGAACTTGTCCTCCCTGCCCTCATCAATGCAAAGTTGTCGGAGGTGATCGTGGATCCGACATGTTTTGGGTCCTCCATCTGTCCTCTTAGTTACCACTTCGAGCAAGTTCCGTTGAATGAGTTGCTTCAAGTAATCATTTTCAGCAACCTCCTCGACACTTAGGTTCATCTTTGTCCCTACCAATCCTTCGGCTACCCATAGACGGATCAATTGCCTGACAGGGATCTCAAAGTCTTCTGGGAAAATAGCGAGATACAGGAAGTAAGGCTTCAACCTTCGAGGCAAGTTATTGTAGCTTAGTTTCAGTATATCCTTCACCCGACCCACATCATCCTCAGCTATTCTGGAAAGGACATCACATCATTCCACTCTTTCTCTGTCCTCTCCTTTTGACGCAGAAGGCCAGCAAGTATTATGATGGAGAGTGGCAGTCCCTTGCATTTTTCAACCATCTCTCTGGCGGGTTCCCTCACCTCGTCGGCCTCCTTGGGGATATCTTCTGCTTTAAATACTTTCTTGCAGAAAAGTAGCCAGCTATGTTCGTCGCTGAGCCGGGGAAGCTCAAAGGGTTTAATATCATAGATAGCGACCTCACGACTCGTGATTAATATTCGGCTACCGTTATTCTCATCAGGAAATGCATCTTGAATAGCATCCCACACCTTAATATCCCATACATCGTCCATCACGATCAGGTACCTGGTGCCCTTCAAGCATTTTCGCAGCATTAGTTTCAGTATGCCAACCACCTCCTCGTCCTCTTCTTCTGCCTTGTGGTAGTTGATCTATTCCGGGGGCACAGATTTCAAGGATCTGAGGAGGCTCAGCAGAACATCCTTGGGTTTGTAGTCCGCAGACAGGAAAGCCCAGGCGCAGTGGTTGGCGAAGTGATCTTGGACTTGGTTTTCTTTGAAGACTTTACGAGCGAGGGTGGTCTTACCCAGTCCACCCATACCGATAATGGACAATACTTGACGGCGAGAGCTCCCTTCTTTGAGAAGCTTGATGACGGTAGCAGCATGATCATCAAACCCCACTACCTCATGTTCCTCCACGTTCTCTCTGAGACTTTTCAGCGTTGCATCCATCTTTGGTTCCGCCTTAGCAGGCTGGCCTTCATTGATACCGTACTTGGCTTTGTTATCATAGATGTCGTCAATACTCGTGTTTAGATTATCTATCTTATTGTTGACTTCATGCAGAATTTTGCCGTAGTCAATGGCATGAAAAGCCCTGCCCAGGAGGGTTCTTCTGACCTGCTTGGCCTTGTAGGCGAGGTAGTTGTCGATGACATCCTGGGCATCGTAAACGTCGTCCCTGATCTGGTCGAGCACCGCTTTGACCTCATGGCTGCTCCGCTTGCCATCGCTGTCTCGCAGGAAGCCATTGATTCTTTTGAGCTTTTTCTGCAGGGATTCCACTTTGCCCTCAACGCCCCCAAGCAATTCCACTTCCTCTTGAAGAAGCTTGGATACGTTATCCAACAGGTAGGGAACAAGGCTATCCACCACGGCCATTTTCTTTCGGAAAAGGAGTTATGTATATCAGAAAGAAGAATAAACAGATGGATACGTGTGTGTTTAAGCGCCAGAAAGAGCTACTATATGGCGTCTGAGAGGGAAGAAAACAGGAATGGGATCACTTGGAGTTCACTTGCGGTGCATCGTCCTAGGACTTATGGCATCATATTTATGGAATATATTCGCAGTTTTGATCTTCCCAGGGCCAAACTAATCTCCTAGTAAAAGAAGACGACTTGGATCTCTCAAATATGGGTCGTCTTTGTTAAATCTTGGGAGAGTAGAGAGCCTGGAATTAGCTAATATTTTTAGTAAAATATATTATCTTAGTAGCAAGTAGCATATATTAATTTCAACTTGTACGCAGCTGACTGATCTGTCATAACTTCTAATTAGGCTTGATAAATTTTTTTTGGTTCCCTAGATTCAATAAATAAAAATGATTAAATCCTTTTCAATTAAAAAAAAATGAAGGAATAATGTGTGTGTGGCTGCCAGCTTTGTTTCTAGAGAAATTCCATCATAGATCTGGTGCACCATATCACCCATACTCTGCCTAGTAAAAACACACCATATCATATGATTATAAATATAAATTAATTTTATTATTGATAATGATAGAGAGATAAGAGACAAAAATTTAAATAAGTATTCTATTTCAAAAATAAAATCATTAAAAATAATAATATATAAATTTTATTTAATTGAATTAGCATGTTTTTATATTGAACATGTAAAACATGGATGATGTAATACACTGAATTCATGTCAGAATTTTTCAAGTTATAATTATCCAAGTATCAATGTGAATGGTGACTTGTTTCAAAGATTTGACACCCATAATCTTTCACAATTTATTTCTCATGGCTACTCAATAATTTTCAATTCATCCCTCGAATTAATATTAATCCAATGGTACCTATAACTTTGATTAAAAAAAATTAGCAATATATATAAAGTCTTCATGTGCAGCTCTTCAACGTATTATCGCCCCCATGCCTTTTCTGTCTTTTTAAATATCTAGTCAATGTTAAAAAGTCAACTTAGCATATTCATATACCTACTTGCAAAGTATTCATCCAGCTAATCCACGGTAGTGTTCGATTAAAAAAAAAAAAAAGGGAAAGCCACCCCACACCAGTGACAATTATGTTATTGACTTATTGTATAGTGATTCCTTTGGGACAATGTCATAGAAATATCCAGAATCCAGAATATACAATTACCCACCATTGGATCAAGAGCACTTCACTCGCAATCTTTTAAAATAAAGAAGGAAGAATGATATTTAAAACTCAAAATTTTTTTATCAAAAGTTGAATCTTAACTTATTAAATTTCTTAGAAAATCTTATAGCAAAAAATAATTCAGCTTTAACAACATATAAGTATTTT